AACCTAAGGACCAATCCATGCCAATATTGGTTGCCCCTTTAAGCAAGGGGAAAAGCAAACAAAAGCCACAAAGGGCAACTTGTGCAGTGAAGAAGATGAAGACCCAATGAACTTACTACAGGGGATAGCATCTGAACAAGAGTTATTAATACATGAATCAGAGGAAGAGGAAGAAGGAGTGGCAGAAAACTCCAACAGACGTCTGAGGTCAACACCTTGGCTTTTGTAGTCAGGTATACAGAGGATCCGAGGCCAGCTATACTCCAACTGAAAAAGAGATACTGGCAGCCTGTGAAGGGGGCTGAGCTGCTTCAGAAGTGATTGGCACTGAAGCACAGCTCTTCCTGGTTGCCCGTGCTGGGCTGGATGTTCAAAGGCAGGGTCTCCCCTACACATCATGCAAACAATGCTACATGGAGTAAGTGGGCTGCACTAATTACACAGCGAGCTCGAATAGGAAATCTCAGTCATCCAGGAATTCTAGAAGTCATCATGGACTGGCCAGAGGGCAAAGATTTTGGAATGTCACCAGAGGAGGAGGTAAGGCGTGCTGAAGAGGCCCCACCATATAATAAACTGTCAGAAAGTGAAAAGTAATATGCCTTGTTTATTGATGGGTCCTGCCATATTGTGGGAAAACATTGAAGATGGAAGGCAGCTGTATGGAGTCCCCTACAACAAGTTGCAGAAACTGCTGAAGGAGAGGGTGAAAGTTGAAAGGTGAAACCCTAACCCTAACCTAACCCTTGAAAGGTGAAAGCCATCCAGCTGGCCTTGGACATTGCTGAATGAGAAAAATGGCCAATACTTTGTACTGACTTGTGGATGGTGGCAAATGCCCTGTGGGGGTGATTGAAGCAATGGAAGCAGAGTAACTGTCATGCAGAGGCAAACCCATCTTGCTGCTGCACTGTGTCAAGATATCACTGCCCGGGTGCAGAACCTGGTGGTAAAGGTACACCACATAGATGCTCATGTACCCAAGAGTCAGGCCACTGAGGAACATCAGAACAACCAACACGTGGATAAAGCTGCTAAGATTGAAGTGGCTCAGATGGACTTAGATTGGCAACATAAGGGTGAATTATTTTTAGCCCTGAGGGCTCATGACACCTCAGGCCATCAAGACAGAGATGCAACATACAGATAGGCTCGGGATTGAGGGGTGGACTTAACAAAGGACACTATTGCCCGGGTTATTCACAAATGTGAAACATGTGCTGCAGTTAAGCAAGCCAAGTGGTTAAAGCCTCTCTGGTATGGAGGATGATGGCTGAAGTACAAATATGGGGAGCCCTGGCAGATTGATTATATCACACTCCCACCAACCCGCCAAGGCAAGCGCCATGTGCTTACCATGGTGGAAGCAACCACCAGATGGCTGGAAACATAGGCTGTGTCCCACACCACTGCCCAGAACACTATCCTGGGCCTTGAGAAACAGATTTTGTGGTGACACTGCACCCCAGAGAGAAATGAGTCAGACAATGGGACTCATTTCTGGAAGAACCTTATAGACACTTGGGCCAAAGAGCATTGAGTGGGTATATCACATCCCCTAGCATGCACCAGCCTCTGGGAAAATCGAATGGTACAATGGGCTGTTAAAAACTACACTGAGAGCAATGGGTGGTGGGACTTTCAAACATTGGGACACACATTTACCAAAAGCCACCTGATTGGTCAACACCAGAGGATCTGCCAACAGGGCTGGCCCAGACCAGTCAGAACTTTTACGTACTGTAGAGGGGGATAAAGCTCCTGTGGTGCACATGAAGAATTTGCTGGGGAAGACAGTCTGAGTTATTCCTGCTTCAGGTAAAGTCAAACCCACTCGTGGGATTGCTTTTGCTCAGGGACCTGGATATACTTGTTGGGTACTACGGGAAGATGAGGAAGTCTGATGTGTACCTCAAGGGGATTTGATTTTAGGGAAAAACAGCCAGTGAGTTCAATTATATGCTGTTGCCTGCTATATAACACTTTTTTAGCCGATCAGCTAAATGCCCATCACCATTCTGGGCTTTGAAAAGAAGATATGTGCTGTCATGAACATCAGCGGAGAATAAAGTCATGGGAAAAGCCAGCAGCAGCAGAACTGTCCTCAGGTCACCATCAACTGACCCTGACTTCCCTCCAATCATCACCCCAACAAAGAATGAACTTTTATGGAACCAGATGAGTCCAGCAGTGTCGTCAGCAGGCAACAATCCAACACTACACACCAACTCTCCCGCCCTGAAAGACTGTTACAAGAGATGGAGCCTGACACCATGGACTGAAAGAATTCAGCAAATTTTATGGTGATGGTCCATGGACTAAGGAATTGTATCTCTCTTTTTGTGTGTATATATGAGACAAAATCAATGGTATCTTGAAAAATGTGCAATCTGAGCATGATGTGAATGATAAGGAAAAAGGAGTGTATATTATCCTGGGTTCACCTGTAGCAGTCATTTTTCTCCTCCTTAATAGCCGGTGCTGTGCTGTGTTTTTGACTTTAGTCTGAGAATAGTGCTGAGAACACACTGATGTTTTTAGCTGTTGCTAAGTAATGCTTACTTAGCTGGATGAAAGCAGAGACAGGACACCTGACCCAAACTAACCAAAGGGGAATTCCATACCACAACACATCATGCCCAGTATAGAAAGTGGGGGGAGTTACCCAGAAGGCCCAGATCACTGCTCAGATTGGGTTGGGTATCGGTTGGTGGTTGGTGAACAATTGTATTGTGCATCACTTGTGTTTATTGTTTTCTTTTCCCTTTTTTAGTTTTATATTCTCTCCCCTTGTTATTTCCCATAGCATTATTATTATTTGTGATAGCAGTAGTAGTTTTGTGTTATACCTTAGTGTCGTGGTTTAAACCCAGTCAGGTAATTCGTTTGCTCACTTCCCCCCCTTTTCTTGCCCTCCCCCTGCTCTCGGAGGGACGTAGAGGAGAATCGAAAAGAATGCAACTCCCACGGGTTGAGATAAGAACAGTTTAGTAACTAAGGTATAACACAGATCACTACTGCTACCACCAATGATAATAATAATACAGGAAATAACAAGGGAAGAGAATACATCATCTCACCACCAGCCGACCGATAACTCGCCCCCCCAGCCCGACCAAGCTCTGACCGATACCTCCTCCAACCCTGCAGTCTCCCAGCCCTTCCGGCTCACTCCCAGTTACATCCTGGGCATGACGTGCTGTGGTATGGAATACCTCTTTGGTCAGTTTGGGTCAGGTGTCCTGTCTCTGCTTCCTCCCGGCTTCCCCTCCTCCCTGGCAGAGCATGAGGCTCACAAAGTCCTTGGCCAAACCAAAACATCCTTGTTATCAGCTCTGTTCCCGAGCTGAAAGTCAAAACACTGCACTGCACCAGCTACCAAGGAGGAGAAAAATGACTGCTACTGCTGAACCCAGGACACTTAGTTACTGGACTGTTCTTATCTCAACTCATGGGATTTACATTCTTTCAATTCTCTCCGTCCCTCCAGGAGTGGGGGCAGAGGCGAAGAAAGGGGGCGGATCAAGTGAGCGGCTGCGTGGTTCTGAGTTACTGGCTGAGCTTAAATCATGACATTGGTCAAAGAACCTGGGTGTGTGCCAGGGTGGCCACATCTGGCTCCTTCCAGCACCGTTTTTAAAACCCAGCTGTGAGCTCCACAGCCCCTCCAAAGCATTATTCACTGACATGACAGACAGCACTGTTGATAAGGGAGAACCATCACTAACCACACACACCCCCAGTAGTACTTTTGCTGCATAGCCTCTTTGAGCACGTCTACATGGATATCACTGCCTAACAGGAGGTGACTGGCTCCCAAAAAGTATCTTGGCTTGTCTTGGCTCCTTACGCTTGTGCTGGCTGACTACCACCACCAGTAGAGACATGGACATCTTCTGTGTCACCTCTCCCACCTGAGGGCCTTCTTCCCCTTCCATGGGGAGCATGAGGTGTCATTCAGACTCTTCTTCTCTAAACATTCACACCTCATTGGCATCCCCACCCAGGTTGACTGAGTTGAAGAGCACCTAAGTTGCTCCTTTGTGCCTTTTGAGATTTCTAAAGGTCCCCAAGGTGGGCAGTGGAGAGCACAGACCTTAGTTTTGATGGTGTCTGTCATCTCCTTGCTCACAGAAGCTCTCGTTCACTGTCTTCACCAGCCCTGGCTTGAGGTTAAACTAACCATGTGACAAAGTGAGAAACTCTTGGCAGCCCAGGACAGGGGAAAACTAGTTGGCCTTGTGTTAAGCTAGTGAGACAATAAAGGGAAAAACTACCAGGCAAAACACAGGAAAGCAGACCATCAGGATAAAGCGGTGAAGGAGGAAACAGAAGGTGCAGCTGTAACTGAGCTGGGGATGCCTGGTGCTGCCAGTCAGAAACCCTGTTCCTGTGCTGTGCAACCTGCAGCAAGACAAGAAATCCACTTGTGTAACCTGAGGATTGCATTCCTTTTGGATCTGGTGACTGGTTAACTGCTCACCCTCCTGATCAAGGTCAGTCTATGCCCCAGACTGTACAGGGGCCAAACATCACCTCAGAGATGGTGATGGCACCTTTTCATTCAGGCACCAGTCGGTGATGCTACAAGAAGAGCTGGGTGTCGTGTATTGCGGTGCAGAGTGTGCCAATACTTTCCTAGCCTTTAAGTTTGGAGGGCAACCAGTTGGTTTCAGCACAGCTCAGAGGTTGTGCTGCTGCTTCTGCACACGTGGCATGGGGTCTCTTCTAGTAACAGCACTGGCACGTGGCACAGTGAGAGCCATGTACAGACATGAAGCTGTGCCTTTGCATGAAACTTCCCTTTTTTTCTTAATTTCCAGTAGGCAATACTGCTGTTTATTCTCCATTTCCTGTCTTTTCCAGCACAGTATCATCAGAGAGCTGTTTAGTTTGATTTTACAGGAGGAAGCTACTGGACGTAAGCACAAACAGGTTTTCATTCCTCAGGGCCATATCTACTGCTCGCATCAACTTCTTCCTCAGCACAGCTTCTGCCAAGTTCATGGGCCCTGCAGGGCCTGTGTTTGTGCCACTGAGCCTCCTGAATTCTTCAGCATAAAGGAATGGTTTTGGCCCCCTCCGTCTGCCTAGGAAGGCAGGAGGGTTTGGGCTGGAAAAATATTTTCTTTACTCCTTAAGCAAAGACATTCTGAGCTTGTCTGCAGTGTGTTAAGTTCCTTTATCTGAAACTCATGGGATGCTAACAAAAGCTGCTCCAAGGTGCGCTTTCTGATCCTGCTGCAGTCATTCACTGCAGAGTGAGCTATTTAAGAAAGAATTGAGCTGCAGGGAGGTGCAAGGCTGTCACTTTAGCAATTTCAGTGGCACTGTAACCCACCAGAGTAGGGCAAGTCGGCCAGCTGTGATCCTGACATTGCTCAAGGCACTGTGCACTCCAGCCTGGAGCTGAAGAAATCCCAGAGCCACAAATGCTTGAACACACATCCGTGGCCTTGGTGTGGAAGTGGTTAAGGTGGTAACCCCCCGCTGTGCACCGGCCTGGTGACCTTTCCTGTCGTTCCACCTACACCCGAGTTGCTGCTGCTTGGAGACGCTCCGCGCAGCACCGAGCAGGGCTGTGTCTGCCCTCACTAGAGCAGGAGGAGCTCCGCAGCCTTCAGCTGAAGGCAGGCCTGGATCTTTCCCCTTCCTTGAGGCGCTGGTGAACCGCTCCTGCCCTGCTTGGGGGGGGGGGGGCGCTGAGGAGTGGTGTGGGGCAGCCCCATCCCGAGGCCGTCCCGGTGCTGCCCTGGCCGTTGCAGCCCAGCGGCAGTTGTTGGGGAGTGGCCGCACCAACGGTTCCCTGGGCGACTGCTGCCTGCCCAGGCTGCCCGCAGCCACCGAGCAGTTCCTGCGGAGCCGGGGAGCGACACTGGACCCTGCACAGAGGGGATCCTGCAGGAGAAGCGTGAGTTGCCCGTGTGCGGGCGGTGCCGGGCCCCTGAGGAGGGAGGAAGGGGTTCCTCTGGCAGCAGGGCCCGGGGCAGGACTGTGGCAGCGGTGTGGGGCTCGGCAGGGTTTGAACGCGCCTGCTCTAAGAGGGAGGTTGGGGAGGTTACGAGGGGCTTTAGCGGGTTCTAAACTTGCCGTGCAACTTGCAGCGATGGTGGAGACTTGTAGCTTTAGCTGTAGAGCCTGGATAAAGGGAGCCTGGGGGGCAGGGGGGAGAGGCTGAAGCTTGGGTGTCCTTGGTGATCTTCAGGTTGGCACCCAGCCCTGATACATCGGGTTTTCCTGAGACGTGTCAGGAATTTTAGCTCAGCCCTGGGCATATTTCTTCACTGCTTTCCCGGGTGGTCTGGGCTGTTGTGGCCTAGCACAGCAGGTCCTTCTGCGCAGGCTGAGGCCATTCACGCTCTGAACCCAAAATGGAGCTGCCTGTGCCGTGAGAGGGAATGGAGGGGAAATTGCAGCCCCTTCTTCCTTTCTGGGGCAGGTAAAGGGCTGTCTGAGGTGGGGAAGATAGCAGCAGGGGTGGTGGGCTGGAGGTGGGCTGTGTCCTGGTTGCTGTTGTGTCCTGCCTCTCTACGGAATGGTGTGGCTGCTTTCTTAGTGCTGCTCCTTTTCTCCTCCTTTGGGCTCTAGGGATGTGGAGTTGTGGGGCTGTGGAAGAGCCTTGCTCCATGCCTAGAGGGGAGGGGAAGCTGCTAGCCTGGAATGGGGGTGTGGAGAGTGGAAGCCCACTGGGACAAGCGCTGTGCACATGAGGAACAGGACTCACTTCAAGAAAAGTGAAATTACAGTTTAGACAGTTGGGACAAATGATCCAGTTATTCTCAAAACCCAGTAATAAATCACTGAAATCCATATGAATGTTGCATGAAAATGAAGATGCAAAGTACCATTTCCTTCCTTCTGTTCCCACCAAAAAACTGTCAAAGAGTACTAAGGGGCAGTTTGGAGATGAATAGAGATCTGATTGATATTTCCAGTAAATGGGGTTCTGTAATGGAAGGTGAGAAGTGCCAGCACGTTCTGGTGTCTCTTTGTGGCTTGTGGGACTGCAGTAATAGCAAAAGGCTGTTTTCGCTTGGGGACTGTTTGTTCTGGGATTTTACTTCTATGATCTTAACTCAGGTACTTAAATATGGCATTATCATGAAACAGGGTGGGGAGGCCCTATGTTCTCCGCTTATGAAGTGTGCCATAGCCAGAGACACAGGTGTATCCTTGGGTCTGCCGTGACTGAGATTCTGGATTGTGAAAGTCCCATTTTCACTCCTTCCAGGCGATCTCTGAGATACGGCTACTGTCAAGATGCTCCAGTCCATGGGGTCCTCCACAAAGGCTGGTAGATTCCAGAGCAAAGTGATGGCACCTCGTAATCTTGAGCTAGTCAGAGAATCAGAGGAGTCTGGAACTGTAAGTACATGCTACAGGCCAGGAAGGAGCTGTGTTGAGGCTGGAAACTCCCTATGGCCCTCATGTACCTGCCCCTGTTGTCTAGCAGCACTGTGAAGCTAGACACTACCTCCCCATCTCTTTGCTCCAATGCTTGTGGAGGAGGTGTCAATCATGGTGCAGTAGGTGATGGACTGTGTCCTGCTTCAGGGATAGTCCAGAGTCTTGCCTGGGTGTGCCACTGGAGCAAAGTTAAATGAACGTACTGGGAATTGCACTGGAGTAGCTGAAACATGAGTGTGTCCTTCTGTCCATCCTCTTTCTGTGGGCAGTCATACCTTCTGTCATGTAGGCATAGTTGCCAGTGCTTCTCTGGCCATACCTGCCCTCCAGGCAGCTGGGCATGTGGTGGGCTGCCCAAGCTCTGCCTCAAAGCTTGAGACACATGGCTGGTCCCAGATGGAAAAACTGTTTTGGAACCTCTTCTGTCTCCTATCCTGTGTGGAGGACAGATCCAGCCCTGCAAGCAGCAGTGGAGTCAGGGCAATTCCTCCGTCCCATTCACAAATGTCCCTTTTGCTGACTGGAGCCCACTAGACTGTCAGTGACCTAGTGCTGAGACCGTGTCAAGGAGATACCTCTGTATACTTCAGGGGAGACGTCTGTGAGGCCAGAACAGAGAGAAAACAAGTGCTAATTAAAAAGAGATCACTACAACCCATTCCTCTTCATCTCAGTCACAGAATCATGGAATCATAGAACAGTTTGGGTTGGAAAGGACCTTCAGGTCACCTAGTTCCAACCCCCTGCCATCGGCAGGGACACCTCTCACTAGGCTATGTCACCTTGTCCAACCTGGACTTGAACATTGCCAGGGAGGGAGCAGTCCTGCCACAACACTGCTTTTCTGCTCTCCTCTGATTCACCCAGCAGTGACATCTCCGTGCGTGTGTTGGTTGTGAGTGTTGTGCAAGGATGAAGTTAGGGGATTTTTGGGAACTCCTCCCTGATCCCTGCAGAGGTCACTGGCTCAATCCATCAAAACTGAAGAGGAAACAAACGCCTGAAGAGGAAGGTCACGAAGAAGAGAAGGTAATGGTACAGAGGCACTTGATGAGAGCACATGTATTCCACTCAAAATCGTTGATTTACTGATGTTAAATATTTCAGGAGGTAACTTCCAGGACTGTCCTTTGGCTGTGAGCACAAACTATTCATCAGTGGCACTTGAACAAGGAAAGCCTTTCTGAGCAAAGGTGTTTCTGTAGCTTTTGATGGTGTTTTCTGTTTCAGTTGACTCCCTCTGCCTTCCTGAAGGAGATGTCTCTCAGCACTGAGGAGAGGCTGGCCAGCACTCGGAAGATGAGGCGGCCCCAGATTATCCAGCTTCAGGACATGAGTGAAACCTCAGATGGAAAGGTAACCTTTTCCTGCTCTTTCCCTTGCTGTTTGATGTGACATTTGAAGAAGATGTGTGCTTGTGACAGGCTTGCCCCCATCTTATCTAAAGAGCTCGGTGACTAGGTCCTGTTGTAATTTCAAACTGGTGGTGGTGTAATTCCCTCCATTGCGGGAAAGGTAAAACATTTTTCTCCAGTGAGAGTCTGGGACCAGTGCAGCTGGAAGAAGGGAAAACCAGCTCAAAGTAATGCCTCTGCTCTGGAAGCATTTGCTGTTTGTGTATTCAGACATGCTTCTGCAGTAGCATTGAATAAAACAGCAATAATAGAATACACTGAAGCTTCCATTTAAAGCTCATGGAAAAAGAAGATACCAAGTCCAGTCTTAGTTCAGTTGCCCAATAATGCTAATAAAAGAGGTGAACCTTATCACTATCCAGCATTCACCTCATTGGTCTTTTTCGTAACTACTGTGTTACTTCCTTTTTGGTCTTACATCCTCTGGTACTGCTGTCTTCTTACTTGTTTCTAGGCTCTATACAGAAATAAAGACATTTGGTCATGTCTGAGACTTATTCTCACTCTCTGAGAGAAAAGATCATGCCCAATTGTTTCCCTGTGGAGTCTCATTTAAACTCTCCGGTTTTGCTTCCTCTATGAGGGTTCGTGGCTCTTTCAGTAAGTCTCTGGAGCTGAATGACCCCATTAGCAGAGGGCTCTGCTGGAGGTAAGCACTGCCTTGCATTTTGCAGAAGGAAACCTAAATAAACACCCACCAAAAGAGCTTCTTAGTTTAAACCTGTTCAGCATGGTCCTGAAACATCTGATCAGTTCAGAAGACGGGTGGGTGCTCTGCCATCTCCTTCATGTAAGCTGGGCACATGTACTCACCAAGAAGACTGTACTTCACTGGAGATCAATGTAGGATTCTCATTCATTAACATATTTCCCAGCATCTGACCCTCTCACTGCTGTGTCTTGCATCTCCAGTTCTCAGCAGTTGACCTGGACAAGAGCTTGTTTCAGCCTTTCCCGTCAGAGGTGGTGTTTCAGAACTACCTTCCCTGCGAGGTCTGTGAAGTGCCGCTGATTCTGAGGAACAAAGACAAGGTAAGTGCTGGGACATGGAGGTTTAACACTGTGGTGGAAGAGGAGAGCAGTGGAATCCACACACTATACAGCATATCAAGTTATCTGCTCCAGCACAGCACACCCAGAATAAAATGTCTCACCACTTTTATTTTGCAAGATGGTAGAAATCTTCCTGTGCTGCAGATTCTCTCTCTGATTTTGGCCATGCATTGGTGGTATCTAACCCAAAGCAACTTTCTAGGCAGCATGCTTCCTGTTGAAATCCCTAGATTGATGGGAATGTTGAGGGCTATATAATTCTTACCTGCTTGGGTGTTTTACCTAGAGTATGGACCATGTCCTGCTGGTTCCTTTGTTAATCTTGGTTTCTGGCAGGGCAGTTTTCCTCTCTCAGCCTGTCTAGCTGCCTCTGTGCATCTTACTGTCCACCTTATGGTGGAATAAGTTATAATTCGTGGCATTAGCACCCCAGGAAAGGTATTTTCAAACAGCAGTGGAAACAGAATGATTTAGTGGATGCAGTGGGGAGGACTTCACGTGTCATTTTAGGCTCCTGCTAAGCTTAATTCAGTTGTGCTCAGGTTTTTCTAAAAGTGCGTGTCTCTCGGCTCTGCCTTTAGAGAGCCAGAGCACAGCCAGGGCAGTGTGCATTTTGGTCAATCTTTGCTGTAGGTATCCACTTTTCTTATTAAAATGGGCCTCAGTTTCTCTTTTTCTACTGCTCTGCTTCACTCCTTCTAAGTCTTTTGGCTTCAGCTGTTCCATTATCCATGTAAAATGTTTGTCTTTGGCAAGTACCAGCTAGCAGGTGAACAGTTAATTTGCTTCCCTAACTGGAAAAGAACATCTGCATTAATATTCCTGCTATTCCCCAGTAAAAAGTTATATATGTGTACAGCTGCACCTTGGGATTTCTGTACCCTGTAAAAGGGAGGCAATGTGTGAACTGTTGATTTTATCCAAAATTCTGAAAAAAAAACCCAAAACCCAACCTTCTGAAGCCAGTAAGACCTCCACCGTTGGACAGCACTGGTGTAAAAGTAAGATTGGCTCTAAGGAAAATTCTTGGCATATTTAAGTACACAAAGATAGAGATGATAATCCCAAGAGAGGTTATGATGTTCTCCCTTTGCTGGCTTTTGGTAATGTCCTGGAGAAAAGTAACACTGTGCTCTGGCTCAAAGTTTTCTCACCAGTTTCCCAGATTCCTCTGAATCTTACTGCATGGTAACCTGAGGTTGTCTGCACCATAAAAATCCAGCTAACTGTGAAGTATATTCCAAATAGAGGCTTGCTCTGTAAGCACTCCATCTCAGAAGTGCTTCATTATGTACTTGCTGCTCTTACTTGTGTGCTGTAAAATTCTTTCCTGTCTTCAGGCTGCTTCTCAACACCCTCAGAGATGTTCTGTGTGGCTTTTGATGAAGATCATTGCAACCTGTGCTCATCTCTCAGGGGACCTGGTGACTAAAATGCTTGTCTGTAGTAGTGAAATTGGCTCCTGGAGCTCACCACAGCAGGGCATTACTGGGAGCAAAGGGCCTCTGGAGAGCTCAGGACTGCCTTGGCCATGGGTTATCAGGCTCGGGTAGGTGATGCAGAATGAGCCTCCATGTTTTCCAAGCCTCGTGTGGGTTTGTGGTTTTATCATAGAATTATGGAATGGTTTGGGTTGGAAGGGATCTCTAAAGGTCATCTAGTCCAAACCCCCCTGCAATGAGCACGGACATCTTCAACTAGAGCAGGTTGCCTTATCAGTGAAGCTGCCTGTCAGTCAAACCTGTTTCAGACTTTCTGAGATGAGACTTGAACTCAGGGGTTGATATCTGTGTGCTAGGAAGTGCCTGCTTACTGTCTCCATGCATTTGTGTCCTGGCTTCAGCTATAACAGTCATTTTTCTCCTTCTTAGTATGGTGCAGTGCTGTGTTTTTGACTTTCAGCCTGGGAACAGCGCTGGTAACACTGATGTTTTTAATTGTTGCTAAGTAATGTTTACTCTGACCAAGGACTTTCTCAGTCTCATGCTTTGCCAAGGAGGAGGGGAAGCTGGAAGAAAGCAGAGACAGGACACCTGACCCAAACTAACCAAAGGGCTATTCCATACTGTAGCACATAATGCCCAGTATATAAATGGGGGGGAGTTACCCCAAAGACCCAGATTACTGCTCGGGTCGGGCTGAGTATCAGTTGGCAGGTGGTGAGCAATTGTATTCTCTTCACTTGTTATTTCCCTTATCATTTTTATTACTGGTGGTAGCAGTAGTGGTTTTGTGTTATACCTTAGTTACTGGACTGTTCTTATCTTAACCCATGGATTTCACATTCTTTCAGTTCTCCTCTCCATCCCTCTGGGAGCGAGGGAGGAAAGAGGTGGTGAGTGAGCGAGCGGCTGTGCGGTTTTGAGTTACCAGCTGGGCTTAAACCACACTAATGTGGTATTCCAGAGGGCAGGAACTTGCAGCAGGGTGCCTGCAGGGATGCCTGGCTGTTGGGAGAAATTCCCAAAAGTCTGGCTTTGCTGCAGTGACAGCTGCCTGACTGAAAGCACCAGGCCACAAGAGCCTCTGGGGAGTTGAGACTGGCTTTTCATAATGAAACGACACTGAGTCAGTGCTGTCACCTATCTCAAGGCAGAAAATTCCTTTGAAGCCCATAATTGATAGGTACAGCCTGGGGGATTGTCTGGCTTTCCATCATTTAGGCAAGTTGACTGCTCTCATTTTCTGCTTCAGCCTTTTCTTTTAGTGTATTGTGTTTTTCCTTTGCTTCTTTACACCCCACTTTAAATTCTCTTAGCTATCCCCTTCTTTCTGAGGTTGGCTTTTTATCTTGCTATGCTCCTTCTTTTGCTCTTCAGGTTTACTTCTATTCCCAGTAAGGCCACAAAGTCTGTGGTCTCCTTCTCTTGCTGGTCTGCCGGCATGACTAGCACAACAGCTTGACTTCCCCACTCAAACCTGGTATATTAGAAGTGAGTTTCTTCCTCCAGTACAGCACATACTGTTTTGCCTTCAGATAAGATATTCCCCCTCTAGAGGCATGGGTGTGTACAAGCAGAAGCAAGCAGGTTCTTTGGGCTCGTTGAATATACAGATGACTTGATTCAGGTATTTCACCTCTGTGTTGCTGGTGTATTACATGGTGTGATGTATGTGCTGGTATGAAAGAAGCTGCTTGGTGCTTCTTTCACAGCAGTGTATTGACCTGCTGCCTTTGGCCTAGAACGTTTTGGCCAGGCAGAAGGGGTTCAAGTCCACCCTTGTGTACTGTTACCTGAAAATGTTTTGGAAAGGTGGTTAAGGAAGGATGTCACCAGGGCATGGCCAAGTCTCCTCTCCCCATGTTTGCACAAGTGGCAAAGTGAGAATTTCATGTCTGCCCTGCAGGTTCCTCGGTTGGTGAAGCTCGTCTTGGAAAACTCACCTTATTTCAAGTTGATCAGCCCCGATGGTGGGAGCCATAAGGTAGCACCTGGCATGTCTTCAACCTTCCGCATTATTTTCACCCCTGAGGAGAACAAGGTGAGCCTGGAGGTCCCAAGAGATGGTGCCTTCAGTGGCAGGTGAACCTGCAGGGCTGGTTTCAGAAGGGGCATCTGGTGTGGGTTTTGAGGAACTGTCCTGATTCAGTGGAGTTGCACTGGATCTAGAACTGAGAGAAACTCTTTCCTCATGGTGAAGGTTATGCTCTCATAGGCTGGAGGTTGTTTTTATCCTTCAGTGCTAGAATATGTAATGTAATGTCTGTTGGCTTCAGGAATGAGTACTCTCTGGGGTAATGTGGCCTCTCAATGTTGGTTTCTCGTATCTGTCCATTGCTGCATAATGATGGGTTTCCTCCAATAATTATATAAACACAGAAGTCTGTTTAAAACTGACCAGGTATTTGGAAAACCCAAAGTTGAGCCTGATCAGAGTGAGAGTGAGGACCACCACCTCTGTAAACTGCATTCTCTTTAATGTATATCACGTTGGACACAGCAGTGAGACAGCGGCATGTTATCTCTAAAGCCATCATTTTTCTTGTACTTTCTGGCATTTTTTGTGTGTTATAGTCCATAGTGTGGCATCAGACCTCAAGGTTGTGGGCAGGCAGTCTGCAGCTAGTCCCATCTTGGCATGGTGTGATGCTGCTGGCCACTGCAGTTGGGACTGACCAGCTGCGCTTTCCCTCCCTGTGCTTTCTTGAGCGTTCATGAGGGAAGATCCACATGTACCAGTAGGAAAATGGCAGGGAGAAGTATTGATATGATGTTTAGCCCTCTCTCTACTCGATGGTAGGGGTTTAATTATTATGGAAGTACTAGAGGAACAAAGAGATCCAGAATGCTTTTCTCTTTCCCATCTGGCAACCACTTTCTTGCCTCACCCTAGGCTGGAGCAAAGCTGATGCTTTTTTATACCCTGGGGTTTCAAGTTTTGCAGATGTGCCTGCATCCAGCTGTGAGTCCAGGGGAGAGGATGTGCTGTGCACATGACAGGGACATTTTTCTGGAAGGTTGAGGCATCAGTGCTGTGGCCCTGGCAAGTCTGATTCTCTGTGATATGAAGGGTCAATGGTGTTATCTGAAGGATTGTTGTACAAAAGGATTTCTTACATGGCATGGAAAGGAGGAAGCATTGCTGCGAAATGAGGGCAGACAGGCCAACTCCTTCCACTAGCATCCTGCTGCCTCTTTGCATAACGGTGGTGGAGAGGCAATGTTAGGGGATAGCTCTGCACCAGCTGATGTTTCTGCACCTGGCCAGAGGTGCACAATTACTTTGAGCATAACTGTTTTCTCATCTTCCATTTACTGCTTAGGTTTAGTTGAACACTTTGTCCTATCCTCAGCTAGCATGGATATAGAAAACTAAAGAGGAGCTGCCCTGTGGTCCCTAGTTACCTGTGCTTGTACAGTGTGGGTGTTCTTGTGCCACTATGTGTTCCTGTGTGTCCTCACATTACGTTACTTACATCTGAGCATCTAAACAGCACGGGACATGAAGTGCTCAGGTAATTGATGCTTTGAATTCACATGGGCTGCCCTTAGCTTTTATTTTAGAAGGCTTAGGATGCAAAATTGGGTACAGAATTGCTAATTCAGAAAGACTTGCTGAAGTGCTGTCCTTGAAATGTGAGACTCAGTTCTGTAGGTAATTTGCTGCATTCCCTTCCTGGCATTTTACCTTCCAAATGTGAGAAGCAAAAGCCCTTCTGCAGTTCCAATGTGAATATTTGAGATGTCTAGAAGAAAAGAACCTTCTTTATTCCCTTTATGTCTTAGATGTGACTGCATCTGTTACAGCAACCTTAAACCCCAGCTGAAGGTTTAAGGTTTAGTTGTTGTGTTAAAGCAATAGCTCTCTGTCTGTGCCTCATCTGGCTGCCTCAGGTCCCTTCCAGGCTTAAACAGGGTAAGTATGAAAGCAGGAAATTCCAAGTGCAAAGTAATCTGGATGAGTTCTGGTTAAGGGAGTTTGCTGCTGTGTGCAATTCCTAAATCAAATCGTTTGGGGCTACTTCAACAGTTATAAAAATATCAAATGAGTTAAAATCATTGAGGAGAAAAGATCAGGACAGCAAGTAAGTGATAAGAGGCAGAGCTCTTATCAAGTCATCAGTAAGAGAGCTGCTGGAGGCAAGTTTGATCACTGGTTTCACTGGAGGCAAGGCGATATTTCCAGCACAGCAATGCCACACTGTACATCTGGAGATGGATCTGCTCATCCCTACACGAAAATCTGTTAGTGATTTGATTTGCCTCTTCCTGCTAAATACGAGAATGCTGAGAGGGGAATGTCTGGCTCTTTTCTGAACAAGCCAGTGACTGAGAGTAGTACAGTTGAGTTTGCTCTGGTAGGGATGTCTGTCTGCCACCTGCAGGTACTGGTGCCACCTCTCTCAGGTAGGCATGAGAAAAGGGCACCAAGACCTTACCAGAGAGATGTGATTAAGGCATCAACCATGCAGCAGAGAGGAAGCAAAGCTATTTCCTGCATCCCCTGAGGCTAGGATGAGATGTAAAGGGAAATTGAGATTAGGCTCAGGAGGAACTCTCTTTAGGTCTAGGGTAAAGATGGAATAGGCTGCAGAGGGCAGGGGTGGAATTGTTAGTGTACTCCTCAAACATCTCACAAGGATAGTTTGGGTATAAGGCAGGGATAGTTCAGGGGAGGGGAGGTGCATCAGATAGCTTTTTAAATGTGTGGCCCCAGCCTTGTCCCTGTAATGACGTGGGAAACAAAGGGAAATACACACGTACCCTATGCTCACCTGACATGAAAAACATGCTTGTTTCCAGCTTGTGAAGTATTTCACCAAAGACAAACTGTTGATCATGCATTTGGCAAAGGCCTTTTGCAAAATCGATCTGAGCATCCCCTGCCAAGCTTCAATGGGTCGCTGCATTGCTAGGATTGGAGTTAGTGCTGTGGCACAACTGAGTTCTTAGCAGTGCCTTTAATAATCCGCAGTGGTGATCAAAGCAGGCTCTGTTACTGCTTTGATCCCTTACATGGAATTAGTTTGGTAAAGAATCATAATCAAGTAGGAGCTAATTTTGTCTGATGCTGCCAGCTCGCTGTGAAAGCAGATGAATCAATGGGGTTGTTTCTTCTTTGCAAGTTAACCACCCTGTCCAAGTTATGCTACTGGAATGAAAGGTCATTAAGGCAAAAAGTACTCGTACATTCTTGAATGCTACTGTTAAACTCACAGAAAACAGCAGTTTTTTCTCCTGCCATAAGGGTGGTACTAAGTGCACTGTGCTAAGATTGTTTTTTTTTCCCTGCAGGATTATTTCCACCAGCTCATCTGCATCACAGAAAGGGAGAAGTTTATTGTGCCTATTCGAGCAATAGGTGCCCGAGCCATCCTGGACTTCCCTGACCAGGTGAACTTCTCAGAGTGTCCAGTCAAGTTCAACACTCAGAAAACTCTCCTGGTGCGCAACATCGGTAATCGTAAGGCTCACTACAGCATCAGCACTCAGAGGTAAAAGAGCTTATCTTTCTTGTGCAAAATACTGTTTTGTGATAATATAATTGGTAGACAGCAACAAAAGGGAATTGGTGCATCTGAGCTGCTGTACTGCAGCCATAGCTGGAGATGGGCAGAACACCTGGGGTTTGCTGTTGCTTATAGTGTTTTAAGCATGATGCGACCTTTGAGAAAACTCTGCAAGTTGCAGTGAAGTTTTATACTGCAGTGGTGTCTCTAAAGCAGCATCTTGCACAACTGGTTCTGTTAGATTGAAAGAGCTGACCCAGGAAGATAGCTTGCCTGCTAATGGCAGATGACAGCTCTAGGAGCACAGTTTATGTAGCCCAAACACAGTGCTGAGAAATGAGCGCACTATGAGCTGGTGAGAGAGCCATTGAAGAATTTAGTAGCAGCTGCGTCTGTATTAGCAAGTGCAAACAGACATCGTAGATCTAAGCAATGGGTATTGAGGCCCTGGCAGTAACAGTGTGTGGTCCAAGAACTTTGTTTTCCAGGGGGTTTGGTCTGGTTCCTGGGATCAAATATTATTAAGTAGAATGAACTCTTAAATGGAGAGAAGCAGGCACTGGCTTCAAAGCTGCATTACAGCCCCAAACCAGAATGCTATTGAGGGCTCAGGCGAAAGATGTAGCCAATATCTGGTGCATGGTTTGGGGGCCTTTTCTTCTAGGGCTTTCTCCCTCCAAGATTTCCTGGAGAGGGCTAGAATATGTTAGTAGCCAGCTTGTAACCTCCTGATCTTAAATAACCTTCTGAAATGGTTACATACCACTACCAGCCAAGTACACCTATTCTGTAGGAGGCCACAAGCACACGGCATTCGGGTGGTCCCCTCGTCAAATGCCTGATGTGAAGTCAGTGTCAAGTTGTGTATCCAAATAGCTCTTTCCCCACCTCTGTCTTCTTCAAAGCCTATTCTCTGATCGTACAGCTGGCAATTGGACTCTGGAGCCTCACTGCAGAGAGCTGGATGCAGAGTATGGGGAACATGAGGTCATGTTGTACCATGGGATCTTCTGAGGGCTGAGTCTCTTCAGAAGATCCTGTATGTTCTGTTTTTCTTCTACTGACTGTGGTTCGCTTGCTCCTTGCTTGCACAAGTGAGCTGAAGTGAACTAGATTACAAAAGGAATACAGTCCTCAAATTTCCAACTATAGTCCTGATGTCTCTCTTTGTGTTGCAGCCCTTTCTCTGTGGATCCCTCCATTGGAACTCTTGGGATTGGTGAAGTCATGCAAGTAACAGTGGTGTTTCACCCACTGAAGACTGGTGATTATTCCCGATCCCTGATAGTTCACTATGACACAGGTAAGAGCTGGGCGCTGCATGGTGCACCCTCTCTATGTCCTTCCAAACAGAGCCCTTCCTAAACAGAATAATGTTAAACTTGTTTTGCAAGACTTTACAGGCTACTTCTAAAACCTTTTCTTTCAAAACCTGTGCATGCTTCAGTTCTTAGAAGTGAGCAGATAAGGGGCAAAGGATGAGTTTGTCCTTGTTCTCTGTGTCCTGTGTTGCTGTGTGCCAGCTCATCCTTGGGGATACCCTGGTGTCAGCACAGTGTTCTCCATGCAGCACCCGCCCATGGCGGTCATCTACCCTCTTTCCTGTTGTCCCAGCCATCCGAATTCCCTCTCCAGGTGCATCTTCCCTGCCCCCTTTACGTCAAAGAAAAATGAAGCTTAGTTGCTGTTTAAGGGGTTGTTAAAGTGGATCCTCTCAAACAGGAATGAGGTTGTTGGAATCCTGTTTTGCTCAGAGTTGCTGAGTGGAGGAAAGCAGAACCTCGATTCTCCATTAGTGCGCATGTGCACTGTCTTATTCCTAGACAGTGCTGTGTGTGAAGTGTGGCGTGTCTTGACAGGCTCTTTCCAATGCCCACTGTCTCTTATATGTCTCTGTCCCACATAGTGGTTCTCTGTTGTCTTGCCACAGAGCCTTTTTCTGTTTCCCACTACCCATCTATATCCCACACTTCACAACATCAGGACTAAAGCAGCTGGGTCTAGAGGCCACTTGGGATTTGGCAGGAAGTGCTCACTGTGTCCAAATACAGGTATAATATTTATACTAGGGAGTGTCATTCCAGGATCAGGCCACAGAAATACTGTCAGTATTAAATGTCGCTTCAAGATTAAGTGGGGAAAACTCAAAAAAAAAGGTGCGGCATTAAAATGCTTCTGTAGCCTTGCTTCAGCAGAGGTATCTTGTGCTGCTGAACACAGCATTTGCTCATCTGTGTGAATGCATTTGGTATGCATTTTCTGTTTCCTGAAAGAGAGGTTTGTGTTGTCCCTGTTCCTGAACTCCAGTCCTGGGAAGCAGGATGGCCTAACCTACGTGACACTGCGATGCTTTAGCCCCACAAAGAGCATTTGAATTGTCGTGAATTCTAAAAATGTTCCTGTATCTTTCAAATGCTCTTTGTAGCCTTCTGAGTTTTCGCAGTTTTGTTTAATACTTTTCGGTTAATGAGCTATTCACAGAGAATGGTTTATGCTTACACAGAGAGAGTCTCATTGGTTTCTTCCTTGAAAGAACTACTGAATTCTTTACATCGCTACTTCTAAAAGCATAATGATTTACATTGAGTATTTGACCCTCAGTGCTTTACATGGCCTAACTCCTCCATTTCTCCACGTACATGTGTCTGGGCATGAAAAATCCCAGTGCACATTGAAATAAAGGTAGCGTGGGATGTTATGGGCTACGGAACATCCCTATTCGTCTCTTTAACATCAGGTTGTGGCACTAGGAAGGGTTTCTGAAGCCTACCTGCCAAGTACACATGCAGGTTTGGAAAGGGTTTATCACTCGGTGCCACTGAAAGTCCTCAGCCCTTCCCTGATGACTTTCAGCCACCCTGTGTGACTGTGGGAAAACGAGTTTGTGGAGTTTAGTCGCAGCCAAGTCAAGATTCATAAAGCTTACTTATTATTTAAGCTTTCAAGCAGTGTTCAGGTGAGATGCCCAAGCTAGGTGCCCTGTGTACTGCTGTTCATACATCAAGCCCAGTTTGGTGGAGTCACAACTTTTATTACAGCCTGATAGTATAGCACAAGCTTGGTGTGGGAGGGTGAGCTTTGCTCAGGAGCATGTGGCTAAGGAGATACGTAACAGGTTCCCAGAGCTGTGCCAGGGGTGAAAAACAAATTTACCAATCCCACAGCACCCAGAAACAGTAACATCTATGTCAAATGTTCCATGCAAGTGAAGGAGGCCAACAGAGACAAGACTTGCTGGAGAGGTGCTGGGAACTGTGGAAAAAGAATCACTTCTGTGTTCAAAGCTACCCAAATCGAGTTTTACTTTAGACTCCAGTCTCCAAGAAGTCCCTAGTATGATATGATGGGTGGTTTTCAAGGTGTAGGACCCAATTCTGTGCTTGTATGTGGGTATCTGCGGTACCCACTGGGCCTCATGGCAAGATTCTACAATGTGCTTCTAGTCCAGGAGATCTATTGGTCAGTGCTGAAATTACTCTGTACAGTTTTTCCCCATTGGTTGCCTTATCCCATGGGATCTCTTTGTCAGCACAGGAAACTTTGGTAATTAATAAAGCCCCCCTGAGCTTGTGCAGGGCTGACAGACATTATATACTGAGCTGCTTTTATTGCCATCAGTCATAAGAGTGATTATGGAGAGCATTTTCCTTTGGTGGCTCTGTGAGACTAATACAGAATCAGAAGCCTCGGGGCAGATCTCACCCTGTTTGAGGAAAGAGATCAGAGCCAGTACACGTAGGAGAATTTTAGGAGACAGCATATGCAAGAACCAGCTGTCAAGCAGGAGTGTCTGCTCCATTACTGTCCTGTCTGTCCTTGGTGTGGAGCCCCCCAAAGCAGCTTTCCCACAAGAGAGGTAACATAAGTCACAGGAGTACTTCTTGGTGGTTTTAGTCCTGCTGGAAACCTCCAGCCTTGTGCTAAAAGCCTGCTAAAGAACCAGCTGCATATTTGGCATTTGGTTGTTTTCCCTCAACTTCCTACACAGCTTACAGGAGGGCTGACAGTTGCTGAGCAGGAGCTCTCATAAAGCAAATCTCAGCTTGTTTTGCTGTGTATCACAGGCCAGGCTCAGAGCATCCTTTGTGGCTTTGCACACCCAGGGCAAGGAAGAGAGAGCTCAGCCTCAGCTCCTTGATTATTTCTTCAAGGGCAGGTAGAAGATGTGAGTGGTATCTGCCTCTGGCTCCATAGTAGCCAATGAGTTTGAGTTTTTTCTGCACAGGGTTTATTACTTTACTTGTACAAATTGGATGGAGTAATGTCTCCCCTCCTGAGCCCTGGGGAGCAACACTTGTTCTCTGCCAAATTCAGGTTATTCCTGTACAGAAGAAGAGAGCAGCTAAGCATGTTTCTCCAGTGCAGCTCAGCAGGAGCTGGAGATGTGTGAGCTTGCCCTGCCCTGGGTGAGGGAAAGGTTCTGCCTTGCACACCTGCCTCTGAGTTTTGCTTGCTGGCCCTGAAAGTACAGGATCCCCAGCAGTCTTTCCTCCCCATTGCTGTTTGCTATCTGTAGGACCAAATGTGATCAGCCTCATGTTGATGAGCACTAGGCTGCAGCATGGAGAAGCAGGCCCTGACCTGAGACAGTGTCCCACCAGGTTCCCAGAGAGCATCCATGTCTAATTGATTTCTGTTGGCCATTTAAAAACTTGGCAAAGGATTTTCTGTCTGCTTATTGCAGGTGGTGAGTGCATGTTGTGCTTTTCTTCCTTGTGGGAATTCCCAGCAGCATGACTGGTTTCTGTCAGACTTTTATGTTCTTATATGTTTGCTTCAAGGTAGGCAAAAAACAAAAGGTGTAAATAGGAGCTTGTGCAATTATATGTTGACTTTGCAACTTAACAGTAGCAGCACTGCAACAGACCGAGGACTGGGAGCTGATAGTTATACACCTGATTGGTGATGGGCTTTTATAGTTCAAATCAATTAAATTGATGGGTGAATGTAGTCTCCAAAGTGTTTGTTTATGTCAACACAGCCAGTAGGTAGCAACTGTTTCCTGCCTTTGTTCCCCTTTTCTAGAACTGTTTGTAATAATGTTGACAATTTTTTAATACTGTTTTAGGTAAGGTTGTTCCAACTCCTTGCAAACAGAGTATGGCCTTTGCCCCTCTTCAGGGCCTCGTGTTTCAAGATGAATAGTCTGTCATTGAGGGTACATGAGAGGGAATTGAGTTTGTGCTTCATTTACTTGAGGTTTTTTTTTTGCCAGAGCTTTATAGCTCCACAACAGTGTAACAGTCCTCCTGACAAAAGGCCTGCTAAAGCAACCCATAGAGTTGGCTGCGGGAGCACAGCTCGGGGTGTGTGTCATAAGGTCATTTGGAAGTGAAACACCTCCTTTTCACTGTTTTATTTGTGCCCAGGTATGCACAAAAGCAGATTTCCCTGTGATGCCACATCAGCCATTTTTAGCACATGACAGATTTCTGAAAGAATGTGGTTTTCATCTCTTTGCAGGTCACCCTGGGCCACAGCTTGCCTACTCTATTATCAGTGGAAATCATCAATATGTTCTTAAGTCTCGTTAAGCCTGGATGTGTTTCAGGGCAGAACTGACCCTACATTAGCCCGCTTTCCTTGTGGATTAGTCAGCATCTGCTGAGAAGCAGAAGAGCAGCTTGAAGGCTGATTGATTTATTAAGTAGTTTATTGGGCCTGTCTTTTCCAGGCAATCAGAATGAATCTCACTGTAAATGTTGGCACTCTGGTGATAAATCTCTACAAACACGCCCAGAATAAGGTGCTTAAGGTGATGTCAGGACATCCTCATGCTGTACCACATGTAGCTGTCAGGATGTGATAAATGTCTGATCTGTGGAACTGCTGCAGCTAAAAGCTGTAGCTCTTTCTTCTGTTAACTGTGGTTTGCTCTGTTCCTTATACTTCCATCAGCAAATGAGATGAGCAGAGACTTCCATGTACTTTGTTCCAGGTGAAGATATTCACACAAGCCTTTATGGAGCAGCTGTAGATGTCAACATCAGGCTAGACAGGAACTCCTTGACAGTTGAGAAGACTTACCTCACGCTGTCAAACCACAGATCCATGGTCATCCACAACCAGAGTGAAATCATAGCCCACTTCCAGTGGAAGCCTTTTGTAAACCAAGAAGAGGAGGATCAGCAGAAGCTGAGGTTTGTTTCAAAGATTCATTTTGGTAAGACACACTGCCCAGTCCCGAGAGAGGTGTTGGTGCTTTTGAATGGTTTAGGACAAGTAAACCCATCCACAGCACCAGGGTACGTGTCCCTGGGCTTCAAGGCAATGTAGCTTAACACTTGCCATTCCAGTTCCAGCCGTACTCCATCTAAGGATGATGTTTTGGGGAGGAAAGGTTGATTGCAACTACTGGATTTCCTCAGAGAGCAAATTCACATCTGGGAGCTGCAAACTACTGAGGTTCAGAGGTCCTTGGGCTATGGAGGGTCCATGAGGCTGGGGAAGGTGTCAGCACTCATTACCTGGGACTGCACTGAGCCTGAGTTCCTTAGTTTGCTTTTGAAGTGCTTCAGGATCCTCTGGTGGAAAGCAGGACAAGCAACAGAGCAGATACAGTTTCCTTATCCCTGTAGGTCCAAAAAAGAAGAAAAAAAGTGTGATGCTTGTACCCTGTAGCTGAAACCTACCTGCTTCTCCCCTTCCCACTGAAGCATTGCAGTGTGTGCTCCTCAGTCTTTTTCTTACCCCCCACATTAGCCCTATGGTAGGAAAAGCCAGTTGAGGTTGTTGGTGAAATCTCTATTGGCTGGGCCAGTGGGTTTGAACCAGGAGGCTCTCTTGAGGGCTGCTAGCTTTCAGAAACCTGTTCTTAGCTTGTAAGTGTGGAGTAAAACTACCTGCTGTGCTAGCAAATGACTGGTAATAATCAGATCCATTTAGGAGCCGGTTGCTTGCAGTCAGCCACTTGCTGAGCTGCTGCTGTTCTTCCCCGAGTGTTTTGCTGCTCCTGCATGTATAGGACAGTCTCTGCAAGTATGTTGCTTACTCAGTTTTCCTGCTTGGTTTGTCTGTCCCTGTGGCTGCAGGCTGCAGAAGCAGGAAGAGGACAGGATGGATTGTGCTCGCAAGGAGGGTGGGGTGGACCCCACTCTCCAAGAGCGCCTTTCTCTTCTCATCCGCACCTTTGAGAACCAGGTGACAAAGGTTCAGGAAGACTCCATGCTTTCCTCCAATGATGTTTTCACCATTGAACCGGTGGTAAGCAATAGCTGAGCACAAACCTTCACTGGCTGAGAGAGCTTGTTGCAGAAAGCATTTCTGAGCAGCAAGCTCCTGACAGGCAGCAAAAGCCTGCCCAAAGCTGAGCTCTGCTACTACGGCTGTATATTAAGGGCACTTACTGGGTGTTCTTACAGTGTTCAGAAGTATCGATTATTATAGTTAAGGGCACAACCTTACGCATAGCATGTGAGGATTAACTAGGGATATTAGGGCGCTATCAGTAGGTTTTGAGAAGAATGCAAGTGACTTTCTTCTTTCAGACTTTTCCAGTTACTGGTCGGTTGGTGTTTGAAAGGGTTCTTCTCTACCTGTCCTTCGCCGTGTTCTGCTGACTCAGAGCAGGTTGTGCGTTGGGGAATTCCTTGCAGCTGGAGGCCAATAACTTCCCATGCTCTAGCTCTTTAATTTTTGTGGGGGCTGTCCTCTAAGCTGTAAGTGCTGTGTCAGTGGGAAGAACCGTAGCTAGTGAATATTTATGCTGCAGGAGTGCTGGAGGCTCCACTCAGTTCAAGGCCGTTCTGGGCAAATTCCTGAGAATACCCAACGGCAGAGCAGAATCAAAGCCTGGCTGTGCTGCTAGAAAAGCGACTCTGTTCTTTTTATCTGCTTCTGTAAACTAAATATTTAATTCCTGTAGGGCGTTATTACAGTTGCCAGAGGTGTAGCTATTTAGGTCAGCTGTCTTTGTAATGCTAAGGGCTGAAGGGCTGTAAGAGGTGCCTTTGCTTAAACCAGTTGCCGGAAGCGAGAGCCTATAGAAACCAGGGATGCCTCCTGAAATGTGTGACAAGGCTTCCTGGGACTGAGCACCAGTGCCAGGATCCTCTGGGAGAGCAGCGGAGAGAGAAGACCCTGAGGAAGCAGCAGACAGTTGCAGAAAGTGGTAGCGTGGCCCAGACTTAAATCCCTGAGCAAGAGCTCAATCTCTTCTGAGGGCAACAAAATGCCCCTTGCGGGTGCCAGTAAAGGCGAGGGACTTTGGAAGGTGTTTCTGCAGCTGCTCGCAAGCTCTCCTATAAATTCTGTTGACAAGTGTCGCTTGCTCCTTGCTCTTTGCTGGTGCTCTAAAGAAAGGCTTACAGGGCTGTAGTGGAAACAAGAATGTGATGTTTGAAGATAAATGGTTTGCTGTCACTTCTGTTTCAGGAGGGAGATATCTTGCCAAATTCTTCACTTGAAATCAGTGTGATCTTTAAGCCCAAAGAAGCCAGAGTCTACCAAGAGACAGTCTACTGTGACATCTCAGGTACAGCTCCTCCCTCCTGCGTCCTGTTGCCACAGAGGAGATACAAACACTCTTCCAGCCCACTCAGATCTCATGTAGTTCTGGAGGGCTCAGGAGGGCAGTGCTGGCACATGCCGCTGTCCCTGTGGTTCCTGGTGGTCTCCTGTCCGAGAGCAGGGCTCTGGCTTCCTGATGCCAGAAGAGACAAAGCAGTGAAGGAATAAGCTTTCCTGCCATGGGTTTGCCAGCATTTGCAACACAGCTTTAGTGAAGGAGCACCAGGCCCCTGTAGACCATTTACATCTGATTTCTTCCAAAACCCATTTCTAAGCCACTCTTGCAGGGAGAAGCAAAATCCCAAATGATGATCACTCCTTTACCTTCTGATGTCCTGCATCATGTAAATAGTGGATCTACATTTATTAACAGGGTCAGATGGGAATCATGTTCAAAACCAGTCACATTCTGTGAACAAGAAGAGGAGAGTCAGAAAGCAGCAGGAGTTAAGGGATTTGGCCTGTGCTGTTGGGCCACTTGCACCCTATTTATTTAAAATTGAGGCAGCAATGCCAAACTGTACACCACACATGACATGCCAAGGTATTATTCCTGCTGAGATCCAAATTCTTACTCCACCGTGCTGGGTGTGGCTTTAGGTTTGAGGACGAGGAGGTATGTAGTGACTACAGTTCTGGTCTGTGTGCTCCAGAACATTTTAAGTGGGAACATCACAGCTATACCCAGGCCTTGGGCAAGGGCTGGGTGTTCCTGAAAGTCCCAGCTCCTAGCAGAGGGGGATGTACACTCATTTTGTTGATTTGGTTATTTTTCCTCTCAGCTGTCCTGAATGCTGCATTTATTTTTGTCTGCTCCTCCTCTTTTGGGAAAAGCACTCTCTGTGGTTCACCTGGAAGGAGTAAGAGCCAGATTTCTTGGACTTCCTAGAGTTCCAGGATCAGTGTAGGGGTAGAAGAAAGGATGATTTTCCATGAACCTTCTGGAGAGGCTGAGGACTTACTGCAGAATGGGAAAACACTGCCATTGATTTTTTGATCAGCATGATCATGGACAAAAGCTTGTCACTTAGAAATCTTTGCCATTTCCTAAACCTTTGGTGGTTTAGACCTACAGTTTTTAATGAAAATTAAGCCACACGTGATGCAAGATAGAGAAGTCTTTTGACAGTGAGCACCCAGCACTGCCCATTTTATGGTGTCTGTGAAACAAATACACAGCCCTCTAATTAATGCCTGAGCTGTGCAACATAGAATCATCTCCACTTTCAGGTGGCCTTTGGCTGGATCCACTTAAAAATTGCTGCAATGCACAAAAGCTATGTAGCTTTTCTTTCCTGGCTTTGGACATTATCAAACAGTCGCATTCCAGGATTGCAAGATTGAAGTCAGCAATCATTGCAAAGGCTGTTCCAGGAGAGTTGTTTTCAAGTTGTGATGTGTTCACCATGTCATCACATGTGGGCTGCTCTTTGCAATAAGAGACTTTATTTACTTATTTGGGACGTTCTGGAATAACTGTGCAGCAGATTAAAAAAAAAACAAAAAACAACCTTAATTCACTGATCTTCTGTTAATGGTAAGCATTGCACAAAAGGAGCTTGAATGATGGAGGATGTCTTTGCAGAAAAGCTACAGTGAAGGTTATATACAAGTTAGAGACATTCTTCTCCTTGTGCTACTTGCTTTCCATGCAGAGTAGAATGGGATGGCAGGGAGACCCAAGCCAAAATCTGATTTTAGGACTGAGACTCAGGCTTCTGCAGTGGTTCAGAACAGCCTTCAGAGTGAAAGGTCCTGCACTATGTCATCTTAGCAGACTTAGAGAAGAAAATTAGCATCTTGGAGTTTAGCTGTAAGCCTTGTGGTCTTGGTTGCCTTTCAACAAGGGATGTTCATGTTAGCAGTACATTTATGGCTTACCTGATCTCAGTAGTGGGGAGGGTGGTTTTCCAAAACTGCTGAGCATGCTTTGAGTAAGGTTTCTTTACAAAGATGAGGTCTTGGTGTCTTGATGGGATAGGTAAGTGCTTCTCCTCTCTGGAGATCATAAAGCCCTGTCTTATTTAGGCACTGTTGCAGGATGTGAGCCCTGGAGTACCGCGGGAAGGAGCTGTCTGTTAGGCACAAGCATTGGCTAAGATGTGCGTGTCGCTGTTAGCAGGGGGCTTCATCTTGCTTGGGCTCATGCTTTTTGACTCCTGTGCTGTTGTCTCTGATTGCATCAGTACGGACAGCAGATTCTTACCTTCAGTTCTGTTTCCTGAGCTTTGTGCCTTCACTGAATGGATGTCAAAGCTCATGGAAGTCATGGAAAGAGATTCAGAGATCTTGTTTTAAACTCGACATCACATTTTCAGGGTGCAAAAACAAACCAGCCCAAGGGGTCGGTTAGAAATGAGAAACCAGCCCCAAGGCATCTTTCACCATCTTGAGCTGACCTAGCACTGTGGCAACCTGAAAAAAATGTGTAATTGCTACACACTTCTGTTATATACCTCCCAAAGTATAGAGGTGGTGACCACACTGGGAACGCAAGCCAGATCAGTTTCATGATAAATGATTCTATTGTATTACAAGTCATTACAATGAAACAAGAACCTTAGCCCAAGGCCCCCAGCCAATAAACACTAACACAGCAAATACAGGCTGTAAGTAAGGTACAACATGCTGGAACTGTGAGATCAAGAGCAACAACTTTGAGAGCCAATAAGTCAGCATTGTGACAAGTGACTGTTAATCCAAAACAATAAATGCTTATCACAAATACGATTAGACACACTCTGATCAGATCTGTCGTTATCTCAACCCTTCCAGCCCCACGTTGGGCGCCAGAAAGAACTGTCGAGGTTTAAGTCCAGCCGTAACTCAGAAACACACAGCCTCTCTCCCACTCCCACCCCTGCTTCCTCCTCCCCCAGCTCCCAGAGGGATGAGGAGGAGAATCAAAAGAATATAACTCCCACGGGTTGAGGTAAGAACAGTCCAGTAACTAAGGTATAACACAAACCACTACTGCTACCACCAGTAATAATAATGATAAGGGAAATAACAAGGGAAGAGAATACAATCGCTCACCACCAGCTGACTGATACCCCGTCCGACCTGAGCAGTGATCTCCCCCTTCTGGGTAACTGCCCCCAGTTTATGCAGTGGGCATGACGTGCGGTGGTATGGAATACCTCTTTGGTTAGTTTGGGTCAGGTGTCCTGTCTCTGCTTCCTCCTGGCTTCCCCTCCTCCCTGGCAGAGCATGAGACTCAGTCCTAGGTCAGACTAAACATTACTGAGCAACAACTAAAAACATCGATGTTATCAGTGCTGTTCCCAGGCTGAAAGTCAAAACCACAGCGCTGCATCAGCTACTAAGAAGGAGAAAAATGACTGCTACTGCTGAACCCAGGACACAGAGGGAATTATACTGAAAGGGTTCTCTCTCCCCAGGCCGTGAGACAAGGCTGCCTCTGTGCATCAGCGGGGAAGGCATCGGACCCCAGCTCCGCTTCAACTTTGACCTGCTAGACATCGGGCAGGTTTTTGTTGGCTCAGCCCTCAGCTATGAGGTGAGCAGTAGGGGTTTGCAGGGATCGGGGTGGATCCTGACGGTTCCTGGGGCAGCAGTGATCCTCATAGACCTGCAGGATTTCTGGCAATTCTGGCAGTTGTGAGCAGGGAATATTTGACTTAATAGTCAAATTTGTGGGGTATCGTGGAGTCTAGATACTTTTGATGAGCTCTGAAAGTTGTGCAAGTTATTCATGAAATCCTAATCCCTGCTTTTCGGCAAGCTTCCTTTGAGATCAGCTGGGAGGCTTAATGCAAAAAACCAACCAACCAACCAACCAACCAACCAACCGAACTTGATACATGAAAGCCACACTGGGTCAAAAAGTTAAGTATTTAGACTTTTTTTTCAGCCCTAGGTGCACCTTTCTACTCTGGCTGTTAAAAAGCTGCTGTAACAAATTTACTGTGTTTGAACTTGAATCCATTGCAAATAGTTTTCAGATAAATAAAAAGGACATAAAAAGGACATGGAACTTTTGGAACAAGTCCAGAGAAGGGCCACGAGGATGATCAGGGGACTGGAGCACCTCCTGTATGAAGATAGGCTGAGAAAGTTGGGGCTGTTCAGCCTGGAGAAGAGAAGGCTGTGTGGAGACCTCCTAGCAGCCTTCCCGTATCTGAAGGGGGCCTATAGGGATGCTGGGGAGGGACTCTTCATTAGGGACTGCAGTGACAGGATAAGGGGTAATGGGTTAAAATTTAAACAGGGGAAGTTTAGGTTGGATATTAGGAGGAAATTCTTTCCTGTTAGGGTGGTGAGGCACTGGAATGGGTTGCCCAGGGAGGTTGTGAATGCTGCATCCCTGGCAGTGTTCAAGGACAGGTTGGATGCAGCCTTGGGTGATACGGTTTAGTGTGAGGTGTCCCTGCCCATGGCAGGGGGGTTGGAACTAGATGATCTTAAGGTCCTTTCCAAACCTAACTATTCTATGATTCTATGATTCTATGATGCTATGAAATGCATCCCACTGATTCCTGGGAGTCAGAGGAAAGCTGTCCAGCTCAGAGCTGTCCCTTGCAAAGAAGTTGGGAGTGCTTTCTCTTGCTGACCAGTCTTTTGCCATGCTTCAGACTTGGTGCATTGCTGGCTCTATAAAGAGCAAAGCATTTCTGGAAATAAAGTAAAGGAACCTTCTACATATTTGCCTTCTCCCATCCCCAACAACATCAAGTCTTCTGCAAAAACAAATGGCATTGAGCAACTCAGAGAGGTAGAGGATAATGCAATGCATCATGCCACATTTTCAAAAGCTTGAATGTGGCAGGGAAGGACACATTATGGTGTTTTCTTACCAAAATACTGTGTTCTCTTTGCATTTTTAATGCTGATACTTTACTGATTCTCTACATCAATTTATTATTTCCATTACTTAAGACAATGTGAATAAGCAGATGATATTGTTATAGCTGTACTAAGCAGTGAGACTGCAATTTGTAATTAAGGTATAAAACACATGAGAGGAGAGAGTAGTTTTCAAGTTACCATTGCAGAGTTTGAATATGTAAATATTCACAAAAATAAAAGAAAGGGGGGGGGGGGGGGGACACGGACACCTCTCTGCTTCTGACTCAATTTTTCTGACAGGTTTTGCAAGGACAAAAATTAGGTGAAAAAAATAAAAGAAAGTAGGTAGGTGCAAGGGAATGTCAGGATTTAACCCTGCAGCAATCAGGACAGCTTTGCTTGGAGTAGGTTTGTTAGTGAGGGGCACTATGCTCGTGCTGGTACTCAACAGACAGATGTGGGTGTTTCTCCGCAAATGAATCTCAGCAAATGCTGTGTAATTGTGTTACTTGTTTGAGGCAGTTGATTTCTCAACTTGGCTGGGTTCCAAGTTTGCTTTTTCTTCTAAATAACAGTGAGTTTGTAAATAGGTGAAGCTGCTGTACACCTTACTCTTGTCCTCTCTTCACATGCCTGCTTAAGCAAGGACTAAGAAAATATCATATCAAAATAAAAAAAAATAAACCTAAATTATATACTGCAGCAGAATAGGGGAGTGCTTCTGAAGTTGGTTATAGGGTATCCTAAGGTGTCTTCTACATGCAGTAAACTTGCTTGCTGCAATGGATGCTGAGTGTGGCAGGATCGGACTCATCTGGAGCCGAAGCAGTTATGTGATGATTCACTAGTAATGATGCAACTGTCCTTTATGGCTCTTAGAGATGGGTCTAAATCAACTTGGTGATGCTGAACAGGTCCTCTGCACTGCAAGTCAAAAGTGGACTACTCTGTGTCAGTGGAATAAACCCAGAGTGATTCTGTTTATGTGAACTTATCACTGCTTTACATGAAAAAACCCAAAGGCAGAACTTGTCATATTGTATTTTCTTTGGCTTCTGTCAAGTAGCAGCACACAGCATCTTCTGTCTTCTACAGATATTGTTTAATTAGAAAACAAGTTGTTTAATTAGAAAACAAATCAGCCTTCTCCTCATTTATTTCCATTTTGTTTTCTTGGTGCTGCAGGCAATCCTGCTTAACAAAGGAGCCATCGATGCTCCCTTCAGCTTGGTCCTTCCAGCTACAGCTCTGGGCTCCTGCTTCACTTTTACCCCGCAGGAGGGCATCGTTTTGCTGGGGGGATACCAAGTCATCCGGATCTCCTTCAGACCCACTATTCTGGGGCAGTTCACAGAAGAATTCAAGTTTAGCGTGGACAGATCCTCTGAGCCTGTGGCCTTGACTATCAGGTGAGGAGGGTTATAAGAGCTTGGTGGTCACGTTTGTAGCTATCTCTGGGTAATCATCTCCCACCTACCTCATTTTAAGATGGAGCAGAGAAAAAAGAGATATGCTAAGTTCTTAAGTGTTGGCTCTGATCCTAGCATCCCCACACTAAGAGCCAGAGCTTTTTAACCTTGAGTTCTGCCTGACCTTGACTCCTGCCTGACCTTGACTCCTTGCAACTACAACAGAAAGGAAATGTAATTGTCTGCAAGGGGGAATCATAATGTAGCTGCACCAGTCTCTGCAGGTGTGGCCTCGCCAGATGAGAACTGAAATGACAAGTCTAGATGGTGGAAATACAGATGACATTTTATGTGATGCAGGCGTTGCTTTAGTAAATTCTTATGCTGATTGCTGCCATTTCAGCCAAATGCTGCATCCTATTTTTGAGGAAGCTTCTGACTTAATTAAGTAGGAATATCCAGATAAGAATCAAGTGGCGTTTGCTAGAATGTGACTATCATTAGGCTATAGCTCACAGATATAAGATAAGCAAATACCCAGCTCTGAAACTCTTCTGGAATGGAATGATGGTAGAGAGAGAATACAGGGCCAGAGATCTGTGACAGCAATAACAGATCCTGTTGGGCAGCAGGTTATTCTTGTAACCCTATTTGGGAGGTCCAGGATTTGAAAGAAATTAGTTCTCTTGATTGCAGCAGAAGAAATATTGGTGGATACTTTGAGCAAAAGGACTGACAATTATAGAACCTTTGAAAGAATAGCAAATATTTTGCATGATGCTTGTGTATTCCTGTCTGCCCTTGAAGCTATTTCAAAAGCAGAGAGATTTAGCAGAGCCAATGTATCTGGCAAGCCATCAGGGGAAAACACTCGAGGTACAGTGTATTTAGGCTTGCCAACCAATTTTGATTTGATTTATGCATGGACACAAGATAAATGTTTACTGTGCTTTTACCTATCGGAGCAGTAACAAAAGCTGAAGGCTTTGCAGTTCTCTTTAACCAAGGCAATGTCTCGTCTGCCTTTGTCCTCACAGCGGCTGTGTCACTGGACCGACATTTCATTTTGATGTACCTTTCCTCTGCTTTGGTGATGTCTCCTTTGGTGAGTGTGCTCTGGGCCTCGACCATACATTGAAAGTGCTGTGCATACCAAAATGGAGCACTTCAACATAGGAACATCTGTCACTTGTGTTCCTCTGTAGGAGCCTTTAGGATGTTAAAACCAGGGCTGCTGGTTCCCTAGGCAGTGTTTTGTCATCATGAGATCATCATGTGTGGTGTCCCTCACAGTCAGCCCAGCCCCAGTCTCCCAGTCCTTGGCAACAGAATGACTGTGAAGGTCCTTGTCCCAGAAGGGTCCTGAGGATGGGACCACAGGAGAAGGGAGTTTAAGCCATCTACTAGCTTATAGCTGCTCTGGGTAAATGTTCCTGTTGTAAGGCAAGAGCAGCATTTACCCACCTGACCTTTAGTGTGAGAAGTTAATTAGTGCTGTGAGGGCACTTTGTTATCACCTCCCAGGTATTATGCCCAAACAACAGCTCTGCATCAGGCACCAATGTCCTCAGAGACTTGGCTCCTCCTTCCCCACCAAAAGCCCAGCTCTGATGACAGGGCCAGTGGGTGCACACCCAGGGCATCTCCGTTGAAATTCACATTCTGGTATTCCATATCGGTCTCACAAAGGACTTTTTACTGAGATGGTCTGAAGTTTAAACGTGAAATCAATTGTGGACAGATTAAAGGGCCGTTATCATTCTGTGCCCAGGATGCCTCTGTTTTCATGCTGTCCATGGACTTCTAAAGAAAACTTACTAACTTTCCTGAGCAGCATCCCCACATCCCCACTTTGGCACTCCTTTTTTTTCTTTTGAATATCTAAAACACAAGAAATGCACCAGGCAGAAATGTGGTCATGTAATAGGAGAGTCATCCTACTTAATCTGATTTCATTAATAAGGCCTTCTCAGCTGAAGGCACCTATTGTATTTTTTGCAACTGCTGCTGACTGTTGTCTGCAGGTTTGCCTCCAGTGAAGTGGGCCGTGAGCTGTCACGGGCTCAGTCTTGGTTGTCCCAAACCAGGAGATGCATCGAGGTTCCTGTCTGGAGAAAGTGCTTTAGAGTGCTCTGCATCATGCTGTGGCTCCCAAGTTCATCCTTCCTTTCCTTTCCTGGGTCATCCCTTTGATGCCAACATACTGCTTTTATCTCTTGAAAACTGTGGGAGTGTTTGTGGAGTTCACAGGGACTTTTCCGGATTGACTTTTCAGAGTAAATGTTCTGGATGCACCGTCATGGTTGAGAGGGAGTTGGTGCTGGTTTGGGGGAGGTGAGAGCTCCTCACAGTTAGAGAGAGACACTTGCGGTGTTCAGCGTCACACAGAGTGGGCATTTCTGTGTGACAAGCGTAGAAGGGAACTTAATTGAGGACGACTTCCCCACAGAGCTTCTCAATCGGCTGTAATTGCCGTTGAAAGGAGGCAAACTCCAAGCGCAGTTTCATCACAGCAGGATGTCCGCCCCAGGAATCAGGGGGTAATAAACTGCTGTTGTGTCCTTTTCCCAGGCTTTCCTCGCACCCTGTGCTGCCGCCTCACTAACACTTCCCCAGTGCCCTTCAACTTCAACCTTCGCATTCCTGGGGACGGCTCGGGAGCACCCAGCGTGACCAGTTTTGCTCAGGTGTCAGACAGCACTGGTCCGTCGTGGAGAAAGCCAGCACGAGGTGCCAACAAGCCAGCTGAATTTACTATCAGGCCCTTGACAGGGACCATCTGCTCCAAGGGACACTTGGATATCCAGGTACGGGAAGAGTCCAGCCCTGCGTGCTTCAGAGGTGGAGCTGGAGCTTCAGTGATGTTGAGGGGGCTTTAGCACTGCTGGCTCTGAGCATCATGCGATTAAGAGATGTGCACTAGTGTTGGGCTCTACATCTGCCCTGGCAACCGCAAAGTGTATTCAGTAATTCAGATATTGTCCAAAGACTTCTGTTACTGCCAGAGACTGTGCTCTACACGTGAACCAGCAGAAGAGTTAAAGGCAAACATCAGAGAACCCTAGGCTGTTTTGGGTCGGAAGGGACCTTACAGCTCATCCAGTTGCAACCCCCTGCCATGGGCAGGGACACCTTCCACCAGATGAGGTTGCTCCAAGCCACGTCCAAGCTAGACTTGAACAGCGCCAGGGATGGGGCAGCCGCAGCTTCTGTCGGCAACCTGTGCCAGGGCCTCAGCACCCTCACAGGGAAGAACTTCTTCCTGATACCTCATTTTCCTAATATCTACTAAATCCTCCCTTTCCTTGCTGTGGAACGAGATCTGGAGGGCTCTGCGTATGGACGATGGGTTTGGGGAGTGATGAAGTATTTGATGCTCTTGTCTTCCAGGTTACCCTGTGCTCCAACACCGTGAAGAGATACAAGCTGGCCCTGGTGGTCGATGTGGATGGTGTTGGCAGAGAGGTGTTATCACTGCCCATCAGAGCCAGGTACCAGCGCTTCCCTTGCAGCCCGTCTTCTTTCGCTGTGCATCTGCCACGAGCAAGTGGTGCTGCCTTGCACAGAGCTGGCTGGCTCCAGCTCCAAACGAGGAGCGTTGCTCAATGAGCTAGCTGTGCCCAGCTAGACAGGAGAAGAGCAGCGCATGGAAAGCAGTCCATGATGAGCAGCACTTGTGCTCAGCCACAGGCACGGCCCAGAGCCTTTTCCTACAGGAAACTGTGATTCTGTTCCCTATTGGCCTGCTCTGGGGGCTTGAGGTGTCATGTTTCCAAAGGGCCGCCTCTCCTCCTTCCTGCAAGCGTTGGACTTGTGCTGGGTTGTGACCAGAATGCAACGCTGGTTTGGGCTACAGCGAGCAGCTGCTGCAAGCTGTTGTCTGTCTCAGTTAAGGAGGGGGCGTGCAGATGGGTGAGGGGCTTAGGGCAGGAGTGGTGAGGGAAAAGTAAAGGTGAGATCTTCTGAAAGACAAAGCAGGCCTTGGTGTGGAAGGTGAGCTCAGGTTTTTGTGCTTCCCTCTGGCTCTGTTGAGCATTGATGTTCTCAGAGTTAAGCTAAAAGTTGTTCTTGCTTCAGGCAGATTCAGGCCTGTTGTGCTGCGGTGGGCGTCAGTTCAATGGCAAGAGGGATGCAGCTCAGCGGTGCTGTTCCCTCTCCCAGACAGAGTCGCGCAGTCAGTGCGTGGGCTGCAGTTGTGTAGAACAAGTGCAAATGGGAGCAGCTGGTGTGTGGACCCGTGGGGAAAGGACCAAGGCAGCCACAGGGCGTGGGAGAGGGTTACGGCTGACGGCACAGGGCGCTGCTCCTCGGTGGGAAAGCTCCCTCAGAGCTCACACCTTGCTGGGGCCACTGAGAGGGTCCTTGCAAGCCTCCTGGGGCAAAGGAGGGGCAAAGCTGACCTGGGACAGGGCAGCGTGCTCTGCCTGGGCACTGAGCAGCTTTTGTGATGCTGAGACTCGGGGTCTGCCCCTCTTTCGCAAGAGGTTGTTGGGTGAAAAGAAATTAAAGGCTGTTTGTCACTGTAGGGGTATCAGATGTCTACTTGACGGTGACAAATGTGTCTGCTCCATTTGGTGCTCATTGAGAAGTAAACAAGCAAGCAACACTGTCTCAGAACCTAATTCCCTTTTGCTCATCTCTCTGCCTAGATGTGGCATTCCCCCGCTGCGAGTGCTCCACCCGGCTGTGACATTTGGACGATGCTCTCTCAAAGTCCCTTATCAGCAGATGCTGACCCTTGTGAACGACAGCAACCTGCCAGGCTGCTACTGGGCTCTTCCTCAGGTTTGCCATCGCATCCGCCTCTTGGCTCCAGTGTCAGCTAGGGGTTTGTTGTTAGGGAAACAACAGGCTTGGTTAAGATGTTGCTGGTTTGTATTCAAGCCTAAAGGTTTGCTGGGAACAGGAAGCTACCTGAATATCAGCTTGAGGAAGCAGTTTAAACTCTCCAGGAAGGAGATTATATTCTAGTCTTCAGGATGCTTTCAATGCAGGAGAGCTTGCAGGGTTGTGAAAAGCTGCTGCAAGGAGGCTGCCGGCACGGGACGGGGGGTTGTGGAGGCAGCAGCTTTGAACCCCCTCAGGATGCTGAACCCATACATGCCTTGCATCTTGAGTTGTGCCTTTCTGCTTCCTCCTAGGGATTTTTAGGCCCGTGTGTGAGTTGCCGTTGTGGTAGATGTTAAAGAGTTGAAAGTTTCCTCAAAGGTCGCTCTGAAGTCGTGCTTGATTCTGTCCCTTACAGGAGAACAAGGATGCTGCTGCTGTGTGGTACTCCAGCCCTGAGCCCCGTGGGATTATCCAGCCTCACAGCTCGGTGGAGATCCCGTTCACACTGGAAGTCCAGGTGACAGGAGAGCAGGACACCGTTGCTCATGTTGCGGTGTTTGGGAGTAAAGAATCCCCACTGGTGAGTGCTGGGGCAGACCTGCAGCTTTGTGCCTCTCATCTTGGTGGCGTGTAAAGCGTGTAGGGGATCTTCCAGGGAAAATGATCTATGGCTGTTGTCTACAAGGAAAGAAGGGATTCGTGGCATAAGCAACACTAATGCCTGGAGGAGAGGGAGGCTGGTATCCCCTTAGGTGGTGTGTCTGACACTTGCGTGTGTCTGTGTGGAAGTGTCTGACACAGCATTTAATTACGGGGATGTGAGGCAGGATAACAAGCTTAACCTGAAACCCCGAGCTTTGCTGAAAGTCAGGTCCATCATGTGTGAGCAACAGCCATCCATCAGATGTCCTTGCCAAAAGCCCCACCAAGGACACCAGAGTCTCCACAGGGCTTGCATCTGGAGCACAGGGTCTTTCTTTGTCCACCAAGCTTGGAAGCGGATGAGGCAAAGCCTTTGTGGGCTGAAGCCTGCTAAAAGATGTAGTTCGCAACAGCAGCAATGACAACAAAAACTGAGAACAAATTTAGTTCAACTTCAATTTAAAATGATACTAACTTTTGAAGCAGCTGTTTTAAAATGTCTTGTCTCTCTGAGCATGGAAAAGGATGGCTTCATCTGGCTGAAACTGAGAATGAATCTAGTTAATGAAGCTTTTGCCCTTGGGCTAACAGTTTTTAGTTTCAAAGTTCGCCCTAACTTAATCTTTTGGACGTGGAGGTGAACGTGAATAACCACTTTTTTAACTGTGATCTTTTGCCACAAAGGGTGAGCATTTCAAACCCCCTGCCATGGGCAGGGACAACTCACACTAAACCATGTTACCCAAGGCTCTGTCCAGCCTGGCCTAGAACACTGCCAGGGATGGAGCATTTGCCACTTCTTTGGGCAGCCTGTCCCAGTTCCTCACCACCCTCACACTAAAGACCTTCTTCCTTATATCTGACCTGAACACATGGGACTGAGTGACCCTGTGCCCGGTCAGTCCATCCTCAAGGCGCTGCGCTCGTGCTGGGCTGCTGCTCGCAGCCAGCAAATGCTGGTCAAAACCTGGCTGGGTGTTGCCTGCACAAATGGGAGTTTCTGGGTGTCATTTTCTCTGGCTCTGCCTTATGGCTTGAGTGCAGCTTCAGGAGTTCCCTGGTAGCTGACTGCTGCAGAGCTTTCAGGGCCAGCAGAACCACCGCTGTCCTGTTACACATCCTGTGCATCACCTGATGCAAACCTGAGCTCAGGGGAATGGCTGGTTTTTATTCCAGAAAGCAAGATATTGCAGCGTCTCAGAGTGGTTTGGCTTGGAAGGGACCTCAAAGCTCCTCCAGTTCAAACTCCCTGCCACAGGCAGGGACACCTTCCACTAAACCTGGTAGCTCCAAGCCACATCCAAGCTGGCTTTGAACAGTACCAGGGATGGGGCAGCCTGTGCCAGCCATAGCTCCTCTGGGCAATCTGTGCCGGAGCCTCACCACCCCTCACAGGGAAGAACTCCCCAGAGCTATCTCTTCTCCAGGCTGAACAGCTCTAGCTCTCTCAGCCTGTCTTCAGGAGATCACACACAACCCCACCCCCCCCGTCAATTTAGAGCCATTCTTCCTTGTTCTGTCCCCACAGGCCCTTATCCAAAGCCCCTCTCCAGGTTTCTTGTTGGCCCCTTTAGGCACTGGAAGCTGCTTTAAGGTCTCCCTAGAGCCTTGCTTTCTTGAGGCTCTACAAGCCTGGTTAAGGCTTGGGGTGTTTGGAGCTGGGGAGATCCAGCCAGACTGAATAAATTCTCATTGGTTTTAGTGATGTGAGAAGGGGGCTTATCAAAAGGATCCCCATTCCTCCTCCACTAGTTTGTGCCCCTTCTGCAGGAAGAAACTTTTGGGTCTCAGGCTGTCAACAGAAAAAATACTGCTGGAATGATGCAATTAATAATGAATGTCTCAATGCAAGAAAGAACTAATCCCAGGAATGCACACAAGCAGAAATGAGAGGCAGCTAGCTTGCATGATCTCTACTGTGCAGAGGAGCTTTGCTTCCAGGCTGTGCTGGTTTTGACAGGAGAAGCTTTCGGAAGGTTGAAGAAGTTGCTGTGCAGTGTGGCCGTGCAGCCGCAGCAGTCAGGGAGGGTGGTTTATGGCGTGATGGAGCAGTAGAAGGAGCAGGCGTAGGCACAGGGTAGAGGAAGGAGAGCTGACAGCGTGGAGGAGGTGTGAAAAGCATGCATGGGAGATGGGGGTTCTGTATCCCCTCATAATGGGATCTAGTGGCTTTCCGATCCAACAGTTCCATGCAGGAACTGATCACTCACAAGAGCAGGTGCCACCTTTGCTGCCAGCCTTCATTTTGCTGCAGCCTCCCAACCCTGATTTGCAGGGCTACTCTGAAGAGCCAGCTTTGCTTCTGACTTGTGCTGGTTTTCACAGTTGTAGCTCTGAGAATGCTAAAGAAGTTCCTGTGCAGTGTGGCTGTGCAGCAGCAGTGGTCTGGGAGTGTGGTTTGGGGCCAGACTGAGCAATAAAAGGAGCAGCTGTCCAGTCATTGTAGACTTTCCCTGTTGTTTTGTTCTTTTTCCTGCCTGCCTCCTGGAGCAGAAAATCCATTTACTGAGCACTGGCGAAGGACCAGTTGTCCACGTGCACCCAAGTGAGATAAATTTTGGCAGCATCCAAGTTCTACAAGATGCTTCCCGAAGCCTCCACCTCTGCAATCAGTCTGTCATCCCTGCATCCTTCTCGGCAAAGATGGTAAGTGTCGCTGGGGCTGTTTTCCAGTGCAAGTGACTGGCCCATAGCAGCCTGTGACTGAATTCTTTATTTCTATGCAACATTTCCACATCCCTGAGACGTGTCTGAGAGAGAAAGCAAGATGTTCCATCCCAGTGGAGCAAGAGAAGCCTGGCTCTGGGGGCAGTTGTAGCTGGGGCACCCGTCAGTAAAGCAGAGTTTGCAGAGATGTTTGAGCAGAAAGGAGCTCATTTCTGCAAGTTCTCCCTTTATTCTGTGGAAGGCGTTTAGCTGTGAGAGTCTTTGTTTTTGGAACTGAGAGGTCTGTCCTCAAGGTGCTTACGGTGAAGTGGGTTTCACACCTCCCTGGGGGTGAAACCAGCTGGGTTGTTGGCCAGAAGTAGACTCGTAAGGGCTGTGTACCTGCAGAGCCTGTGGGCTCTGTAGCGTTGTAGAGCGTGTGGCTGCAGAAGGAGGCTGTTTAATTCCTGGAGGCCGTGTGGTGGAACAGGCTGCGGAGCAGAAGGAGGTTGTGGGATCCTCTGACGGGCTGATGCGGGCGGGAAGAGCTGGTGTGCTGGGGCTGGGGGGTGCTCCCCAGCGGAGGGGAGTCTGTGAGGGGCTTCAGAGGAGGTTTGTTCTGGTGCAGGCTGGGTTGTTGAAGTTGTGGAGCTGCTTCACCCAGGCCTGTCGCTGGGGACTTGGTTGTGTCCGCGCATGGAGCAGCCAGCAGTGTGTGAGAGCAAAGGCTCAGCCCCCTGGGCAAGGAGGAGGGGGCTGAATTTCCCTCCTGCTGCTTTTGCAGCTGTTTGGGGGTTCAAGAGACCCTCAAAGTGGGAGATTCCCAGGCAGGTTTCTTTGTCCGCACCATAAAAATCTGCTTTCCATCTCTGCAAAGAGCAAGCACCCCAGTGCCCTCAGCAGCTGCCTCCTTGAGTGCCCTTTCTGACTTGCTGGTAACCAAAGCACTTGTTACTCTGCTCGTCAGGGGAAAGCAAACATGTCCTATTGTGCTGTGCCTGTTGGCAACTGAATTACAGAGGCTTAGAAGTCTTCAAGACGGCTGTGCTTCTAGAAGCAAGCTGAGAGCTTTTCCCAAAGGAAAAGCAGGGGCAGTTTGGTTATGAAACGTTGTGCTTGGCAACAGCTGGCCAAGCCGTAGCCGTGTCCTGGAGAACCGCGATGTGCAGAGTGGTGTCCCTGACCTCCCCAGCCTGGCAGGGAGGGCAGATGCGATCGGAGGGGTGAGCTGTGGACAGGGAACACGAACGGAGACAAGCTCTGCCCCTTGATTCTGTGAAACATCCCCTTGCTGGTGCTCGGGGCAGAGGCTAAACCGCAGTGGTCCCCACGCTTGTGCTGAGGAGATGCTGATGCTGAGGAGCCAGGAGGAGGCCGGTTGGTGGTGGGAGCAGGTAGCCAGCCTCAGGCTCTGATCTCCTCCTCGTGCAGGGCTCGGGGTGCTTTTGGGCTGTTTCCTGGCGCTGGCTGTTTGTGTGGATAAGGAGCAGCTTTGAAATGAAGAACAGAGGGTCCCCCGCCACCAGGAATGCTGAACCACCCAGGACAAGGCTCTGCACCCAGCCGGTGCAGGACGGGGTTTATTTCCCCTTCATGAGCAGCCCTACGAGGACAGTGGGTCAGCCTGACAAAGTGGGAATGCTGTTGTTAGAGCTATGGCTCTTGCTAGAGCCACGGCTTGATCAAGCGCAGCTGCGTTTGTAATGTGGTGTTCTGCTTCCTCTGTCACTTGTGCAAGGCCAGAGTGACCAGATCACTTCAGTGAATCAGCTGTAAGTAGCTTCAAGAGAACTGACTGGTGTCTCCTCAGTCATCCCTTAGGGCAGCTCTCCATCCCTTCCTCCCTCTCTCCTTCCCTCCCTCCCTCTATCCGTCAGCTGCGCACTGGTGTCCATTGTAAGCAGACTGTGGAAGCTTTTGTTCACGATGGACGTCTGTGCTGGGATAAGATTCTGACTGTTGTGGTGAAGTTCTGAAGTGATTGATCCCAACCCTTACTGGTTCCTCAGGAACTCTGATGTCCAATAGTATAAGAAGCTCCTACGGGGTCAGAAATAGCCACTGCCTTTGTGCATCGAATGCATGCAGCTATGGCATCGTTTTCCGGCACACTCAAGGATAAGCAAGTAGCAGAGATGTTATCAGAGGTTGGGTATTTGTCTGGAAAGTGGGGGGATTTTGTAGCGTGGTTCCAAGAGGTTTCTTGTCTGTGGGACACAGGCTGGACTGGGGGCAGGCAAGCTGACCTAGAAAGCCAAGAGAAAGTGTCTCGGCAGAGCCTTGTGGCCCTGGCAGGTCTCCTGTTCAGCACTGCGCTGTGCTGCCCCTTGGAGCCAGAGCAGATGCTGAGTGAAAGAATGAGGGGAGGCTGCAAATCCTCCTCCCCTGACACGGGCTGTTGGCCTGGCTGGGACAGCAGGGCTGTGCCGGGTCACCCCAGGGAGTTGAAGGTCTGGCTCCGTCGAGACGCCCATCCTCACTCCTCAGGAATAGTTTCTGGGGTACAATTTTCTGGCGGGCTTGTTGCCAAGCTTTGATAAGTGAGCTTTGTGAGGGAGCAGACTCGCAGATTCACCTTTGGAGCAGTGCTCTCAGGGCTCCTTTCCAAGCGAGCTGCCCTGTGTCAGCATGAACCCGAGAAGTCGTACGTGAATGTCAGTGGAATCTTCCCAGCCACTGGCTTGGTGTGACCGTGTTGTCTGGGCAGCCCTTGGCTGGTGGCAGCCAGGTCCGTGGTTTGCATCCTAAATGAGTGTTTGGTTGTCTTGCAGGCTGGCGAAAACTCGTGCTGGAGTATTGGACCCAGTCAAGGAGTGATCCCTGCCAAGGCCGAGGTGTCTGTGGTTGTCACTGCAAATTTGGATGACACGGAGCAATTCAAGGACGAGGTGGTGCTGTTCATTGAGAACAGTCGTGCCTGCGTCATCCCCGTCCAGGCTGTTGGCGTTGGCACCACGATTGTCGTTGACAAACCCTTTGGCCCGGAGCTCAAGCTGGGCCCCTGCTTCAGGTAGGGAATCTCTCGGCTCCCACTTCCCCATGGGCTCAGCAAGGAGGAGTTCTGCTGCAGTCCCTCAAGCTTCTTCAGTGCTCAAGGTCCTGGCTCTGCTTCCCTGAAGCCACAGGGGTTCCTTTAGAAACATTTGATGGCCATCTGAAAGTCGTTAGGTACTCTGAAAAGCCACCCAGCTGCAGACCAGTTGCTAAATTGTTGCTGCTAAATTATATCTTTAGTCCTAATCCATTTATTTCCTCACTTTATGGAAGAAAGATTTGGAGGAAAAGAGCAGGTCCTGGAAGCCTCCAGCTGGGAAATGCTGCCTTGCAAGTATAACGAGGTTTCTCTTTGCAGTGATATTGCTTGCTTTCCCATTCGCTCTGGAGTATCATCTCAGAGCAGCAGCAAGCCTGGGCAGTAGCTTGTTAGCAGCTCCTCGACTGAATGAATGGTGCTGGTTTATTTCTACCTCTGCCGGGGAGCCCTGGAGGAGCAGCAGAATTTCTTTGCCCTGTGTCACTCCCCAGTTGGCTCCTCTACCGCACTCCGTGCCCGGTTGCTCTTTATTAGGCATGGTGGCTCTTTCCTGGTTTCTCCTGCCTGCTTTGCGAGGCACGGGCAAGCGAGGGTGGGTGCAGGACCAGCCCTGGAAGGGGAAGGAAGTGTGGAAGTCTGCTGAGGTGGAGTGGGATGAACAAAGAGTCTGACTTGAAATCGCTGAGCTGGCAGGAGAGGATTCACTGCTCCCAACGCTTGTGTCTGAAAGCAGGCATGTTCTTAAAGACAGGAGAAAAAAAGTGCTGTTTGCCTTGTGTTGGAGACCTCCTCAGGCAAGAAGAACCGTCTTCTTGGGGTGCCTCTTCCTTTCTCTGCCTGCAGAGGGGGTCCGTGGTGCTCCGATACCTGAATTCTTGGGGCAGAAAGAGCAGGTTAATCCTACCTTAAGCACTTGGGACAGATTTGGAGAGGTAAAATAGGCAGCCACGAGCTGTCCACGTAAGCAGGGCCATTGCAGGGAGGTTGGTGCTTGTCCGGAGTTTGCTGCGCTCAGTGTGGCTGCACAGGGTGGCTGCACAAGGGAGGGGACAGCGTCCATGTGATTCACGTACTTGTCTTCTGCCGCCCTTCATGTCTTTGCCTGCGGGCTGAGTTTGGAGCTATTGCCATTGCTGTCGGCTGCCCGCAGAGGGTGGTACGCTGGGGGCAATGAGGGTTGGATGCTCCCTAAGAGACGCCTCAGAGGCATGAACAACAGGTGCCAAGGGGAAGGTGGAATGGCAGCGAGGCTGTTCCTGCCCCCACTTGCATCTGGGGCAGGCTGTGTACGAAGCTCTTCCTTGCTGGCTGCAAGCAGAGCAGCTGGTGGATGGTGACAAACCTAGGGGCAGCCAAGGTCTGCCTTTTGGTGAAGCTTTACGCTCGGTCAGCCTTCTTGGAGGTGGTTTTGTTGCCGAGTGTGCAATCAGGTCGTGCCCTCAGGGTGCTGACTCTGGGTGACCCCTGGCAAATAGCAGCTCCCCTGCCATTTTGTGTTTCTGCTTCTCCTCTAGCCTGGATCCCTGCTGTTACCGCTTCAAGATGACAAACAAAGGACAACGCACCCATCTGCTCTATTGGACCACAGAAGGTGGCACTACACTTGAGCAGCGCAAGCATCTCCCTCCCGTCAGGAACACCAAGGGCAAGGTTTCCTCCTGCGGCCCCGTGTTTAAGCTTCAGCCGCTGAGGACGGAGCTGATGCCTGGCCAGACAGCGGAGATGGTGCTGGAAGGCTCCTGCGGCACCCCCCAGGTGAGTTCCGTCCGCATCAGGGCATTTCTGCAGCCCCTTGACATTTGCTCCTAGAGTTTGAGAGGTGTTTTAAAGGATTGCCTCAGTGGTAGCTTGAGGAAGACTTGATTTCTCAGCTGGTTGACTCCGATGGGACTGTCCCTGTGCAGTCCTGAGCCCGTAAGGCTTTGCTGAAGGGGGAAGAAGGTACCGGAAAGGAAATGAAGTGGTCAGGCCACTGGTGAGGGTGTCTTGCCTGGAAAGCCAAATGGGCATCTGTGAGCTCAGCCGTGGCTACCTGGCTCCTGCAGTCCAAGCCAAGACCCTGGGATTGGGTTTTCCACCTTCCCTGGGTCTTGAGAACTTCACACTCTTGAGGTTGGTTAGAAGCCCAAGACCCTGCGTTGCACGTGCAGCACAGGTGATTCTGAAGTGTGTAGGCTCTGAGGAGGAGTTGGGTTGTGGTGGTGTGTCAGAGGGAAGGGAGAGGAATAAAGGGAGGAATGTGGGGAAGTGAAACCATGAGGAATGAGGAAAAGTCTTGGATGTAAGAGCATCCAGCTTAAGGAAAGGGTTTTCATGCCAAGTGGAAGACGTCTGTTTCCTGGGGAGGTTTGGTTTAAAGCCAGCTCTCGGAGGACACAGTACATCCTAGGAAGGCAGGCTGGCTGTTTGGGGTTTTCCCACGGATCCTTTCCACTAAACTTCCAAGGGAGGATTTGCTGGCATTGATCCTTCCATCACCTGTTTCCCTTCATACCGTCTGGTTTGGTTTTTTGAATGAGTTCCTAGAGCTCTCAGTAAGCATTTTGCTTGTCAGTGGGACAAATCAAACCAATAATCATTTGTGGCAGGGATTCTTGTGACAGCTGTAGGCAGCACAAGACTCCTGAGGGCCTTTTGTGGCGGTTGGGTTGTAACATCAGGGACATGTGAGTGCGGAAGGAAGAGGATGCAGCATCTAAAGAAGAGAGAGCTCCTGAGGAGACCAATGGCTGTAACTTCCTGCAGTAATGGGGTCTGTGGGTGGGTGGCTCACAGCTGCAGTATGTTTTCTGGACACCCTGATAACACCCCCTGGGTGCCGTGTGACTCGCATGCAGGTGGTGAAGGAGAAGCTGCTGTGTCACGCCATCGTGGGCAAGGAGGGAGTGAAGAATCTGATCATGCAGGTGGACGTCACGTGCGAGTTCATTGCTCCCGCCCTGCAACTATCCAGCAGAGAAATCCCTTTCCGGGTGGAGAAGGTGAGTCTCTGGATTGCATGCTGGCACTGACTGGTGTGGCTGGGGTGTGCCTGTGTCCAAAGGAGGAAGCTCAAGAGCTTCTCCAAGTCCACAGAGCTTTGGCTGTTGATTGAAGCCAGGCCAAGCTTTTGTCGTGAATGGCGAGCTCGTTCTTTCACCCCTCTGGGGCTGGGGACAGTCTCCACGGCTCTATTCTGCCCTTCTTGATGTGGAGAGGGAATTGAGCTGCTGAGCCAAGGGCACGGGCTGAGATGTGGGAGCCGTGAGAGCAGCGTGGGCTTTGGAAGAGCCACCTCGTGTGCTGGGGCTGCAGGTGGAGAGCAGATCCCTGCTCACTCTCCCTGAGCTGGTGGTGAAAGGAGTGAGGATGCTGCTAGAGATGAGGCTGTTCTCTAACTTCACCCAGGTAAAACTGAGATTACAGCTGCTCTGCCGAGGGGGAGCATGGCCCCTTCTCGAGAGACACCAGTGTCTGTACTCAGGGTTTTGAGGATCTTCCAAGGCGTGGTGACGTCTGAGCAGCGATCGTGTAGGGAAGCTGAGAAAACCTGCCATTCCTGTCAACTCCTCAAGCTGATGAGGAAAAACTGGCGTCTCTTGTGCCTCTTTGCCTTCCCTGCTGTCGCTGTGGATGCTGCCTCTTTGCCTTTCCCAAGCCTCACCTTCTTCAAAGGACCCACGGGTGCCCTTCAGCTGCAGTGATGAGAGCACCAGTGCAAAGTGTGTGCCCTTTAGTGTCTGGATCCCGACTCCTGCATCATCTTTCCCCCTCGTGCCAGGTGTCTGAAAGAGAGCAGATAGCTCTTGATTTAGTTTCTGTGGTTTCAGGTCTCTCCTCCGGTTCCCAGGCTTCCGGAGAAGCCCAGATCCTGCGAGCAGGCAGTTCACATCTAATCAGAAGCTTTTCAGCTCCCCCTGCTGTCTGCCTGGCGTCTGCTTGATGCCACATGCTCCCATGTATTGAGTGCTACGACACTGCAGGAGTTGGATGTCAATACATCCAGAATTAGTTTCCCAACCACTGTCTAGGTTAGCTAAACCCTGCCGGAAGCCCGGAGCAATGCACGGACAGGAGGAAAAGGCTTCGGCTGGGCTTAGCTTTGAGACTGCAACATCTTGTCACTGGAGCAGGGGCAGCAGGTTGCGGCCAGACTGTTGAGGTTTGGAGCTGTCTGCGTGTGCCCGTAATTGCTCAAAGCTGACCTCGGGCTGCTGCAGGCTCTCCGCTGCAGGCCTGGTCTCCTGTGAGCAGCATCACTGCTTTACGGGCCTGGCAGAGCTGATAAGGTGGTAAGAAAGTACTGTATGTGAGTGGAAATGGCCTTGTGCCTGTGTGTCCTCTCTGCCCAGGAGAGGACACGCAAGTGGAGCCAGACTGGGTTCACTTTCTGGTTTGGATCTTGCTGACGCAGCTGCCTCCTCTGGGGGCCTGCTCCCTCATCTGTAGGCGAGCCTGTTTGCCTGTCCCCTGGGGGATGCTGTGGGTTCTAAACATGAAAGCGTCTGATACAGTTGGAGGACAAACTTTCCAGAGGGGTAGAAACCAATCAAAAGAGTAAATAGAGATGGATGCGCTTTTGGGGTTGGGGAGGAAGTCCATGGCCGCTTCAAGGTCCTTTTTTCTTGTCTCCTGTTTCTGTAGCACCCCGGTGATGTCCTGACTCTTCAGTACAAGCCTCTCTCTTTAAAGAACATCTGCTGCCTGCCCCTCACTGTGGTCCTTGCCTTAGAGCAGCCCTTCTCCATCTGCAGTGCGGACCAGCAGCCTCTCCCTGCAGATGCTCAGGTGAGCAGCCCTGGACCTTCTTGCTGCTGAGCTTTGAAGAGGGATGAACGTGGTGGTGTTTCTCTGTTGGGAGGTCTTCCAGCAGGGAAGTGTGTTTCTGTAGAGTCTGCAGTAAACTGGGCCGAGCTAAATCAGATGTAAAATGAGCTGCTGAAGGAAACAGAATGCCATCTGAATCGGGAGGAGACCTCCTGGCTTGAAGAGAGGAGGAGGAGGGAGCAGGTCTGGGCAAGCTGTAGGAAAGGTGCCTCCTGGAAAGCATGCCAGCTCTCTAGCAGCCATCCTCAGATAACGTGGGGAGCAGCTTGCTGTCTTTGAGGGCAGCCCTGCCTTTGGGAAGGCTGAGGTAGGCTTCTCCAGCTGCTGTCTGGCTCCTGCCCTGGTGTTTGCGGAAGGTGTTGGGCATGGGCTCTGCGAGGCACGTGTTGTCATAGGTCCAGCCACCGTTTCTGTGCCTGCCAGTGATCAGCGCCTGCATGGGTGAGGCTGCAAAGCCACTGTGCTTGTGCTGCAGGATGAAGGAGTTCCTCCAGAGTCAGGGCGGAGGCCTGGATGCCAGAGTGCTGCTTTGGTTGTGTTTAGCACGTGGCTTCTGGGGATCCAGAATTGAGGAGACCAGTGTGGATTTCCTCTTGTATTGGTGCAGAGCACAGAAGCGTGAGCCTCAGCTAGCTTCAGACAAAAGTGTGGTGCTTGGTCAGACGCTGTGAAGAAAATGGAGGATGAAGGGAGAAGCTCATGTTGGGGTCACACGTGGAACATTTTCTCTTCATCTCCTTGCAGCCCACGAAGCTGAGGAGAGGGGAGGAACTTCAACTCTGCGTCGCATTTAACCCTGCTTACGAGGAGGACTTGCTTATCCGGGCAGCAGAGAAGGCTCTGAAGATCAGGTTCCTGGAGCATCCTCATGAAGAGCAGGTCACCGTTCGGGGAGAAGTCTACTTCCCGAATCTCCAGCTCCAGACCACGGCCCTGGACTTTGGCTGCATCTTGAATGACACCAAGGACGTGCGTTACATGGAGATGAGCAACTGCAGCCCGCTGGTTGTCCAGTACCACTGGTCATTCCTGAAGGACAGCCAGGTGAACCCAGTGAGGTATGTGCACCTTTCCCTCTCCTGGAAGCTCTACTTCCTGCTGTCCTGTTTGTGGTTTGCAAAGGCCGAGGCCGTTTGCCTGATCTGCCAAATTGTTTTCAACCTTGCCTTGAGGAAATCCCACCTCTCAGCTGTGCTCAGCCAAGGTGCTCAGGGAATAGGTGATCTGCGCCAGTTTGATGCTGGGAAGGAGACAGCATTCTCCAGCCAAGCTGGGACTGTAGGACACTGCTGACCCTTTTCACGTAGCCCATAAGCTGGAGTCCTGCTTTATCTCTGCAGCTACGGAGCCATGCTTCGGCACTTGGACAAGCAGATGTAGAAGGTGACCTCTTCTCCCGCCCTGCTAAGCCCACCTGTTGTCATTTCGGACTAAGATCCTACCCAGGCACTGCCACCAGAGTGACACGCTGCTGTCCCAGTCCCTTGCTCTGCTTTGCTGTAGCCCCGGATGGCTTCCTGGGGGCAGGAAGGCTGATGTAGAAAGCTGCTTTCTCAGAGCTTCTTGGCCTGAGGCAAACAGCCCCTCGAAGCGAGCGTTCATCTGTTGAACTGCACGTCACATTCACAGAAGAGCTATTTAGAGTTTTAGAGAGGAATGGCAGGTTCTGCTGTGGCTTTAGGTCCAGCTGTAGGTGCTGGAGGGAGCCCTTGTATGGACATCCCTGGGGAGGAGGACCATCCAGTGGTGGTCTGTGGTTTCCAAGCCCAAGAGCAATCTTGTAGTGGTGCTGAAGCCCATCTAGAAGCACATTCCTAGTGTTCCTCCTGCTGTGGCTTCTCTGCATGGTACAAAAGTGTGGTGTAGGCAGTTTGAAGGACAGCAGCAAACGGTTTTCTGTAATGCCCTAGGAAAGCCAGCAAAGTTCACCGTGGCGCACTGCAGTGCTGCTATTCCAAACAAGAGAACTGATCAAGAAGCAGTTGTGTGAAGGGAATTGGGATCTGACTCGCAGGAGGTGACCTCGTGGGAACTGGCGACGAGCTGTGGCTACTAGGAGGGCTTGGGGGAGACGAGCAGGGCACTGGGGTGGCCCATTCTCAGCTGAGTCTTCCCAAGTAACACCAAGTCTTTAGTGGGGCCCTGCTTGATGCACGACACCTTCAAGAGCAGACCCTAAAATGCAGAGGCAAGTCTGAAAAAGCAGCTGGAGGGAGGTGAGCAGGCCTGTCAGCTCTGCTGGGAGCCCCCTGCCCTCTCCCGTAACTTAGATCAGGCTTTAATTCCAAGCTAAAGGGAAAATCTAGTTTGGATTAGATAGATTTGCTAGAAATCTTTCTAATCTAAAAGACAACGTAGAAGTGGATTTAGATGTGATAGAACAATGCGTGTCTTTTCCAGTAGCAGAGAAACAAGCACATCACAGCGAAGCCTGTGCAGACTTAAGTTCCTCTGCAGCCACTTGTTGGTCAGTGGCCTGTTTCTCTTTACTCTTAGTTTGGATTAGAACCAGTTTAGGTGTTTGCACATGTGAACGTGAATCAGTTTTCAGCTGTTAATTGCCCTGTCTCTGCTTGAATTGGCTTTGCTGGGCCTGAGCCTGAGCCTGCAGGTGCTTATTCTGTGGTGGGTGCTGAGTGGTTGCATTGTTGGCAGCGGAGGGTGCTGAGCACCTCGGCAGGACACGGCCTCTGTCCTGCCCCTGCCGAGGGGTGTCCATCCCTCCAGAGGGTTTGCACAGCCCCTTGGCTGCTCCTTAGTGCTGTGGATGTGACGAGAGCTCCTCTGCTGCTCTGCATGGTCCTTAAGCAGTGTTGTGTCCTCTCTGGGGCGCTCAGCAGACACCGTGGGATGCTCTGTGCCAGAGCTGGAAACGAAGATGGTCTCCAAGGTGTTACCACCTCCAAGTGCTCATTAGGAGCCTGCAGACGGGCAGCGTGTCAGATGTTGTTTCTGGTCCACACTAAGCACTGTTGGTATTCTAAATTATCAGCTCTAACTCCGTCTGACATGGAGGGAATCAAACATCAGGTCTCATGAAGGTGAGATCAAAGATTGGGACTTTCCCTACCTCGAACCTTGCTGGAGCTGGTCATCAGAGACTCCCAGGATCAGTCACGCACATTTATTTTGGTCCGGAGAGAAAAATGCTGTTTCTCTGCCTCAACAAGACTTTGTGTGCTTACATTTTTATCCTTCTAATTGTCCAACCCCTTCTTTCCTCCCTGCTCTTTGGTCATTGCTGCTACCTGGGGCAGAGTGATCACATGAGCAACACAATCCGACGGTTGCTGTGTGGTTGGACATAGGCAGCATACACCAACCTGTGCCCCTTCTCTGACTTCTGAGCCATGAATCTCTCATGGTTACTCTTGTTCTAGACCCACGTGGTTAGAGACAGACTAACCCTAACCCTCACCCTTTGGACCTCTGAGAGCTCAAAGCTGAGCTAAGCCTTTGCACCAAGGTGTTTCCTCCCGTGCCAGAATGGATCTTCAGAATCACGCAGCAGGAGAGAGCAGATGTGGAGTCAAGCAGTGGCCAGCTGCCTGCACCGCTGCTCTAGCAGTGTCAACGCGAAGCGTCGACCTGCTCCATCCCAGTTTTGGAGCTCATTACTGAGCTCACACCACTGATGCCCACCCAGGGGCCCCATCTTGCCGAAGAGCAGCTGTGCAGACTTCCCTCCCTCCCTCCCTTCCTCCCTCCCTCCCACTGCAAGGTCCCTGAGCAAAGTTCTGTTCTTTTTGCAGGTTCCTGGAGACAGAGCCCCTCGCCTTGGGTGTGGAGGAGGTAAGTGGCAGTGTGTCTCACTTCCACGTTTCCTGTGTAGCAAGCAGTTACGTACTGCCACTGTCACTGCGGTCCTGGGCGCTGCTCCCAGAGTGGCCTCATGTCCTAACAAGCACATGGCTGGTCATTGGAGAGGCCACATGGGAGGTGCTGTAGGGCTGGTCAAGAGCACTCCTTGTGCGGCACCTATGGAGTCCATTCTCCATCTTGGTCCTGATCAGGTGGTGGGTAGGAAATTCCTGCAGCAGCATTTGCTGCAGCGTCTGGAGAGAGCAGGATGTGAATCAGAGCCAGGGAAAAGCACCAGGAGTGCGAGGAGCTGGGCTGGATCCTGCCCCCGGGCTCTCAGCTCCCAGTCTCGTGTTCTTGTGAGGGCAGGAAAAGGTGTTTTTGAAGGCAGATTCTGCAGCAGAGAGCATTTCTCGCTGCCAGGAGACACCAGAAATGAATGTAGCGTAGCACTCCTGCATTAATTAGGAGTGTGGGAGAAGGTTTTCCCCATGGTCTCTTACCCCGTTGGTAAGTGGAATGGCTGCAGGGTGAGATGAGGCTGATGTTGCCGGTGTTTGAGGAAGAGGCCCCTGCAGCCCCGTCTGTCCTTTGGGCCAAGCCGAGGCTGCTCTTCTGCATCAATTGCCGTGCTCCACGTGTGGATCTCTCCTCCCTGCCTGCAGGTTTTCGATATCCTGCCGCTGCACGGTGAGCTGCAGCCCGGCCAGAGCCAGCGTGTCACCTTCTCCTTCTTCGGCCACGCCAACACCGTCACCCAGGTCACGGCGCTGTGCAGGGTGGAGGGAGGCCCGAGCTATGAGGTGGCTCTGCGTGGGGAGGCCTCGCGCATCAGCTACCTCCTGGACACCACCGAGATCGACTGCGGGCTGCAGGTACCGCACGCTGCTCTTGTCAGAGCTCCTTGTCTCCACCCATGACCGGTGGGTTGCTGCCCACCCCGGGGCGAGGGCTCTCCCCCCTTCCCAGCTGCTTTGCTGGCTCTGTGGCTTGGAAGTCCAACATTTGGGTGATACCTCCAAGCTGGTGTTTAATGGCCATCTCCAGCCCAGCCCAGCCCAGCCCAAAGCTGGGAATCCCTCCTCTTGGAGGTAAGTAACGCTGCCTCCTGGGGCAGGCAGGATCCCAGTGGTGATCTCCAGAGGGACGTGTCCCTCAGACATCCATCCGCTGATCTGCTCCTAAAGCCAGAGGTCCAAGGAGGTGCTCTCTCTTTTAACGCTCCTGATTCATGAAGCAAGGAGGCAGCTGACTTGGGCTTCCAGTCGCTGTAGCTGCAGAGAATGTCCCAGAATAGCCCTCACTGTACGTCTTTCCAGTTACGACCCCCACAGCTGTTTCCAGCTGTTGGCCCTGTGCGCGTTGGCCTGTCTCCCTCCCTTTCGGCTTGTGTTGTGCCCGCAAATACTTGCGTGCAGGTGCCTTTTCTCCTGAAGTGCTTCAATGCCTCCTCCTGTGTTTCAGCTCGCTGTTGGGTGACACCTTCAAGTGCAGAGGGCTTGTGTCCCCTACGTGGTTTGTTTCTGATCTTTCCACGGTTGTTATCGCACCTCTGCCACAAATAGCTGTTGCCGTGCAGGGCTCAGAGGTACCCTGTGGCCGCGGGTTGCCCAGGTTAACGCAGAGAGCCCAGTGCCCATCTCTCCTGTGCGCTGCCTGCTTCTGGGCTGTGCTCCTTTGCTTTCAACGCAATGGAAGAGGAATGACATTCTCAGCAGCAGACGTGTGCCTGTAACTTCCTGCTCTTCTGTCCTCTCCTCAGGTGTTTAACAAAGTCACGGAAGCAGCGGTGACCCTGCAGAACAGCGGGAAGCTGGGATTTGCCTTTGTGGTGCTGAGCCCCGGCACAGGCACTGCAGCCAGCCCTCTGCCTGGCGTGCCCCTGGTCGTGCCCAGCACGGTGAGTAGCACAAGGGCTTCAGCCGGCCTGTGTCAGGCTGCCCAGGAGAGAGTTTTGGGGGAAAACAGGGGGAATGAAGACACAAGCCCCGTCCAAAACCAGCCAGGAGAGACAGGGCTGTGAGCGATTGCTGCAGATGCAGAGGAGGTCCATCGAGCCCAATCCTAATGGAGCCGCTGAGTGGCCTTGGCCGCCGCTGGCTCTGCTATCCTACAGCAACCACCAGTGGGAGGCACGAGTGCTCCGGGAGCTCTTTGGAGCTGAGTGCTGAGCTCTCGGGTTGTGCCATCACTGGAGCATCCCTCCATCCCAGCTTGTCGTCCTGCCTGGGTGTCTCAGAGCTGGAGCAGTGTTCCTGCCTTGGTGCCCTTTTACAACGGGAAGAGGAAGCCAAAGGGCCAAGTGGCTTCCACCTTCCTCAGTGCCTGTGCCTCTGAGGGATGAGACGCTGATGTCCTGTCCTGCAAGCTGCTGGCCCTGCTGGCAGCACACGCCCTTCGCTGCTCTTCCAGAGCAGCTGGTGCAAGAGCTTTGGTTTGTTGTGCCTGGCTCTGGCTAGCAGAGGGTAAACCCTGTCAGCAGAAGAGCTGTGCTCATGCTGAGCAGAGGGCAGCCTTGCGAGGCCTCTGAAAGACATACTGCATCTTGGTGTAGGAGACTGGGGCGTTTGGATCCAAGAAAGCTGGAGGTGGTGATGTCTGATATCAGTTTCCTTATGTATGAGAACCTGTCTTGCCTTCTCAGCGTGTCCGTCATGTGAGCCATCCCCCCACTGAATCCTCTTTGGTACACTCCCTCCCTCCCTCTTCTGTGCCCTGCAGGGTTACGTTGAACCTGGCAAGCAGCAAGTGCTCAAAGTCTATTACCTGCCAGGAGTGCCTGGAGTCTTCTGCAGGGCTTTCCAGATCCAAGTGGGTCACCTGGAGCCAGAGAAAATCCCGCTGAAAGGAGAAGGGACCTTTCCCAGGATCCACTTGGACCTGCCCAGGAACATCAAAGGTGAGCACTGCCTGTGTGCTCGCCAGGAAGGTGCCCTGGCTTTCCCTCGTGCCATATGCCCATAGGGCAGCTCACAGGCACTTCCAGCAGGCCTGGAGGTTTCAGGGCTGTCAGGCAAACTCAGCCCTCTGGTTGCTTCCTTAGTCTCTGGCAGACAAGCCCATGTGGGCTTTGCCGCAGGAACCATCCTGCACAGCTTGCCAGAGGTCTGGGAAGATGATGGCTGGGCAGAAAAGCTTGGGAAAGCTGTAAGAGAGGCCGGCAGGGATTTTGACAGGGTTGGGTTTGCATCCCGTTTGGTGGCTGAGATGCTCCTGTGTGGCGAGAAAGACGGGTGGGGGTGAGAAGCAGCAGGATCTCCTTTCCCTGCATTGCTGGAGCAGTTTGTGTCCGGGTGTCGGGGGAACGGGGCTTCTCGTCTTGCGTGGGATTTGTGCTGCCCCACTGCTATTGGTGGTGTTCTGCGCTTTCAGGCAATGCCAAATATGAGAAGATCCTCCAAAAGGCCAAAGAAAAGGTGGACAAAGGCAGACAGAGAGAGGAGGCCATTGCTCTGGGGGAGGCTGTGGCAGGCGAGCCCCGCATGGACGACTCGGGCACCGTGGTGAGTAGAGCTGCTGCCCTGTCCCGCACGTGCCACCCTGCTGCGTGTCACTGGAGCCCCTGCGCCCCACGGCACCTGCCCAGGGCCCTGCTGGCACTGGGGGCCTCCCTGCACAGCCCTGGCAACGGACTGTGTCAGCTCAGCGTGCCCCGTGGGCTGCCCACCTCTGGGAGTTGTCCCCAGCTCCTGACTACCCCAGGGAGATGCTAAAGGCTGTGCTCAAGCAGTTGGGTTTATGGGGCTCTGAAGGACACACAGGTCGGTGCAGGGGGGTCTGTTGCTCACCGGCCAAGCCCTGCCAGGTTTACTGAGCGTAAAGCGGCAGCCTGAATGCCCCCTGAGGCTGTGCTGTGTTCTGTCATCTCCAAGAGGCTCCAGCTCTCTCATGGTTCCCTTTGCAGGAGAGCTTTTGTGCAAGCTGCTTTGGCACTGAGTGGAGGCAGGGCCATACTTGGAGCTTTGGAAGGTTTCTGGCTTGCCTGTCCGTCTGTCCAGATCAGCTTTGATAAGTGGGCAGGCAGAGGTGCTTGAGTTCATTTCTTTGGAGATACGATCCTGCCTGAGAGAGCAGGGAGTGTCACAGACACTGAGCAGTGAGACAGAATGACTCCGTCACCCCTCTCAACAAGAGCAGGGTGGGATCCTGCACGTGAGACAAGCTTGTGCCTTGGGAAGGACCTCTGCTAACCAGCCCCTGTGTTTACTTTCCTCAGTGGGATGCTGAGCTGCAGATGCAGATGGAGGAGATGCTTATTGAGGAGCATGCCTTGGAGCAGCAGAAAGCTCTCACGTCCCGTCCTGCGGAGGACACTGCCTTTCACCAGCGTGTACATCGGAGGCTTCTCAAGTTAGTAGGGACTCCTGTGGCCTGTCTCCAGGGGCCCCGAGGGTAACAGCCAGCAGTGCAGCCCTGCTCCTGAGAGCTCTTGTGTCTCAGAGCTGGAAATAGCTGAAGACTTGAGAAAGGGCCTGATGCTGGGAGCTACGATGTGCTCCCTGCGGGCAGCTCGGTGTCCTCACTTGCACAGTGCTACCCTGAGCTCTGGAGGTGCTCCACTCCCCACAGTTGCTGGGTTCTGTTCTCAGAGCTGAGGGGGTGCAGAGCAGCAAGCCCTTCCAGACAGCACAGGCACCACGCCAGCTGACCAGCTCTGAAAGGGGCATCGCAAAGCTGGCGTCGTTGTGCCAAGAGGGGTCTGTGCTAAGCAGGAAGAGCAGGGAATGGTCCAGATCCCTTATGTGCTTTTCCAAGTGGGATTGCCTGCAAAAAGACCCTCTCAGCAATCTTGTAAGCGTTGGTTACTGCATGCGATAGCGTCAGGTGCTGCTTTGGGGACAGATGTGGTTGCAGAGCAGTGGAGGTATCCTCTGCAAGGAAATCCTATGACAAGGTCCTGAAGCAGCTTCAGGCTTGGGCCGAACACCCGTTTAGCGGTTTCACTGAGACCAGTGGAGATGCAGTGGACTTCTCTGCAATGGCTTTTCACAGCATAGGAACTGTGTCCAGTACCCACTTGAAACTCAGCCGAAGATCCCACTGGTGGCTGATAAATCCTAGGCCCTGCACTCCCCATGATTTAGCCAAGTCTTATTACTGGGTGCTCAGGCCTTGGGTTTCCTGGGCTTGGGTTGAGCTTTCACAGCAGTGAATACGCAGTTATCCACTCCATTTGCTTCTCCACCCCACGCCATGCTGGGCTTTACTGAGTGTTCTTACTCCTCCTTTCAGAGCTGAGCTGCCCGAATACGTCCTGGACCTTGGCTATGTCGTTCCCGGTGACATCCACACACGCATCGTGAAGGTCACCAACACCGGGCACTTCCCTGCATCTTTCCATGCCGATGGATATGTCCTGGATAACACAGGTAACCAGTGGTGGAGAGGCTTCACGGGGGCTTGAAGGAGCTGTCTCTGACACATCAGCTGAAGCCATTGGACATGGGGAGATTTGAGTACTTCCTTGGACAGCTTTTTCCTCCTTAGTGCCCCCCTGCTGGGTGCCCCGTTCAAGAGCCTGAGTTGTGGCGATCAGTGCCCAGAGACCTGGTCTGCGTGTGGCTGCCCTAAAAACTCATTGCAGGGGCCAGAAGGGCTGATGCCCTCGACCGCCTCTCGGCCTCTTCTGCTCTTGGCTCCTATGAGCATCATCGGAGTTTCTTTGTGCACTCTGAGGGTTTATGTTGCAAAGAGATGGCCCCTCTGTGGTTCGGAAGTGCTTTGCTTAGAGTTCATAGTGCTCAGCCTTTCTTGAAGGGATCCCCCATCTTCTGTGGGATCCTCTGCTGTATCGAAACAGGCTTCCCAAAGAGGCCTTGAGGTAAGGCTGCAGCTCCGTCACGTGGTGACTGCTGTCTCTGAGGGGTGGTCAGGCATCTCTCCTAAGCCGCTGTCCAGGGAACAGCAGAGCATTTGGTATCTTAGTTGGAAATTCTCCTTTGGAGAGGTCTGTGCATCCTTCCCTGAGATGCCCGCTGAAGAAATTGCTGGAGCTCCTCAACCAATGTGGTTCATTTCTACCACGCAACCCCTGGATTCTGGCTGTGAAAATCCTTTTGCTTTGGGCAGTGACAAGGGGAGAAGAGCAGCTTCTCTGGAGGTGCAAAGGGGTCTTTCACGGAGCTGCCAGCCAGGACAGCCCTGTGGCCTTACCGTGCTTCTGATGTTGCTTCCTGTTGCTTGCGTATCTCAGCTGCTTTATTTTCCTGTGTTCAGGCTTCAGCGTGTGCCTGGACCGTGTGAAGCGCCTGCCCTCCTGTGAGAGCAAGACATTTGAAGTGTGCTTCGACCCACAAAGTGCCAGCCGGCCTCTGGGAAAGGTGGATGTGCTCCTGCCCATCAAGGTACTCCAGCTTTTGGGGCAGGCAGCAGGTTGGGCACAGCAGCGAGTGTCAGCCGGGCTCTCAACTGGATGCTCTGTCCTTCTCTAGGTCAGAGGAGGCCCCATATCGCAGGTCCGCCTCTGTGCCATCGTGGCTGAGCCGTCCCTCAGCCTCTCCAGGGACAGGCTGGAGTTCTCCGCTGTCCAGTGTGGGCAGTGCCAGGAAGAAACCATCCAGCTCCACAACACGTTCCAGGTCCCCTGTCAATGGTCCATCAGTGTGAATGAGCCTGTTAAGGAGGTAAAGCGCAGACAAGGTGTAACACGCAGCTTCTCGGGTGGGTTGTCTTTGCCTCTCTTGCCTTTCCTGCCCCTCTGGCTGCCTGAGCACTTGGGCTGCAGCTGGCTTGAGGGAGCTTTTGAGGGTACAGAGGGTTCACCTGGGCCTGTTGACTAGCTGATGCTTCACTTGCCTGCCATCTTCACCCATTCCTCCTCCTCCTCTGAGGACACTGCCCTGCCAACACGTTTGCCCTCCAGTTCTAGGCAGTGGTGGCCACGTCTGGGTGGGATGAGGGTGCTCCCTGCACCGTGCCAGCATGTCGGAGCACTGCAGGAGCCGAGGCTCTGTCCTCCCAGACCAAGGAGACCTCACGCGAGTGGTTTCTGTGCACAGGTGAACAAACATCTGCCGGCGAGCGAGCATCAGAAGCTGCTCGAGGAGATGAAGTCCGCGCCCTGTGGCTTCGAGGTGCTGCCATCAGCTGGAACGCTCGCTCCAGGACAGCAGTGCCGTGTCCAAGTCCGTTTTTCACCCACGGAAGAGGTGAGATTGGAGGGTGTCACCCCCAGGAGGTGTGGCAGGGCAGTGTGGTAAGGGGAGGCCAGCAGAGGGAGCGGGGGATGAGCTCTGCCTCCACATGGAGCTTTCTGCCAGCCCTGTGCCCGCCGTGCCTCAGTTTCCCCTGCACATTCCCACCCAGTTCGGGAGTCGGCTTAAATGACGGAGCATTGCCAAAGGCAGTTTGCATGTGGGCACCGTGACTTGGAAACTGGCAGCGTGTGACAGGATGGACGCAAGTGCTTCCATGGCAGGGGACAGTCCCAGGGATCTTTGAATTGCTCGTGGAGATTTCACCGTCTCGTGTCTGGCTTTGACCAGAGCCGAGCACTGAGCAGAGAAGACGATCCTTATTTGTGTCCAGTGAGAGCTCAGCTGCCTCTTTCACACAACTGATGTTTGCCTGGTGCTGCAGTGCCAAGACTGTGTCTGAGAAAGCAGACCTTTCTGATGAGCGTTGCGCTCCCCCATGACTAGGTGAAAACCTCTGACAGCGCATTTTAGATCCACCTGGTAGCCAACTCTCCAGTTACAGTCCACAGCAGGACTCACCGCAGTTACTCAGAGCCATGCAGATGCTGTAGCCCCTGCTCTAAGTAAATAGCTCTTTTGGGTTCAGCTTAGAGGTGCTGACAAGACCCCTGAGCCTGGGGCGACTGTTGACTTGGAGGCGCTGTCACCTGGGGCTTCACGGAGGAGCTTTCTGTGCTGCTTCTTTGCAGAAGTGCTACCGGGGTGAGCTGCAGATCCAGATTTGCCAGAGCAGCCAACGCCTCCAGGTGCCGGTCTTGGGACGTGGTGTGGAGCCACGGCTGGAGTTCAGCCCCGCGGAGCTCGAGCTGGGACCGCTGCTGCCACAGAGCCATGGGGAAGAGGGGACAGTGGTGGTGAAGACCCCCTGTGAGGTTTACTCGCTGGAGTTTGACCAGCAGCGCCTTGCTGAGGAGCAGGTGAGAGGGAAGGTCAGGTCTAATATCGCTAGCTATTTTCTACTAGCTCCTTCCCAGCAACAAAAGCACAAGCTCAAAATTCCCTGAGGGTAGAGACAGCCTGGACAGGCTTCTCAGTGCCTCAGTTTCCCTCCTTGGGAAATTTTCCACCTTTGGCATGTGGCTGTACAAAGTGGTGAAGGGCAAAGAGCAGATTGCCAGGCTGTGTTCACCCTCTTTTCCCTGTGTTCTTCCTCAGTAAACACTGAAGATGTGCAGTTCCCATCAGATCAAGGAGGAAAACACTCTGCTGGGATCATTCACACCAGCTCAACTCATAGCTCAGTCGTTCCCTTCTCCATTTTTGATGAAAGCCAGTCCAACAAGGTGGACTCTAAATCTGCCTGTGGAGAAGAGGAGGAGGAAGGTGTTGAGAGAAGACACAGGACAGGTAATAACCTTAAGCTCTTCACCTCTTTTATGTTCATTGTGGCAAAAGGGCCTAAGTGGAGGATTTCAGTGTCACCTGCATCCCTTCACTGCAGGCTGGTGCCATCTTTGCTCCTGTAGACCCTGAATCCGCTCTTGCAAATGAAATCTGTAGGATCCTGAGAAGAGTCTGGGGCAGGGACAAGTGAGAGGCCAGGGAGGTTTTCCCCGGTTTTGCCAAATAAGCACTTTGCTCCCAGAAGCTGCTAGGATCAGGATGATGCTATTCCCTTTCCTGGTGCAGTGCACCACACCTTTTGTCCTACATGACATTGCAAGTGGCGATGGCTTTTGTTGACCTTCTAGGGTCAAAGGCAGGAGCTCTTTGTAAATGCTGTTGTGGTGAATTCAGAGCCCAGCCAGATCTCCCCGTGTAAGGTGTAACATTCCTAAAGCATCCAGCTTTTGGATAATTGTTTCATCCCCAAATGGAGCCTCCCCCCTAGGATTGTGAAATGTCCTGGGTCTGCCTGCCTGGGTCATCAGGACCCAGGACCATGTGAAGACCATGATGACAGTTCATGGAAGGAGATTTGGTCCAGTCTCTTAAGGTACTGCTGGACGCTCGTTCTCCCTCTTTCTGCCACCTCACTTTCAGGGGTGAAGTACTCTGAACAGGCACCTTCACCAGCATCTAGGGCAGACCCTGATCTGCACAAACCTAAAGGAACCTTGGGTGTGATGTTGGTGTCAGCAGTCTTCTCTCCCAGGATCTGAGGGGACTGGAAGGATGGTCAGGATCTAAGGTAGGGAGGTGACTGACTTTTCTATCTCATTCTGCACAGCAGAGCATTGGCAAAGCACCACCAGCAGCAAGGAGGCCGCAGGAGAACTGGACAACAGCCCTGTCTTTAGGGCCATCGCCCGTCACCTCGGCATTGATATCTCTGCAGAAGGGTGTGCAGCCCAAAACCATAGAGGGATTGTCATCATTGTCCATGGGGCACCCCTAACAGGTACTTGAGCCACAGCCCTTGGCTGCAAGGAAGAGGGAGGGTTGAGGGGCAGGACAGGAGAGACATATTCTGTTGGACATATTCATGGTGCTCAGTTGACCATTTGAAGTGAAGTGAGGTGAGCCATAGCTCTGCTGATACGTGAAATGGTCACAGGCGTTCGCTGAGCTGGGGCAGGTGGTGTGGTTTATCTTGTGTCCATACAGTTAGGCTTTCATTCCCCCAGACAGGGCGGTCATGTTGCCATTGCTTCATGAGACCACACTGCCTAGTTGTCCATGTTGCCTTATGGGAGCAGTCCCAGCCCATGCTGACCCCTAAACCATACCCGGACGTTGCACAAGACAGTTCTGATCAGCACAGACTAGCGAATGGTCTTGAGGGGTAGTGGATAGGGCTCAGAACAATGTCCTGGCCCAGGCCTGAGGTCACCACAAGTGACAAAGTCCTCAGCTGAACATGAGGTGGAGATGATCCACCTGGTTCTAGAATTCAATGGTTCTAACCATGCTCAAGTTGCTACCCTCATGGTCTCCCTGAAAGAAAGGGCACTTGTTTTCCAACTGTCCCTGAAACTGAAATCCTGGCGGGGGGCTTTCCAAATCCTGTCCCTGAGCATGCCTCACAAGAAAGTGTCACCAAGCAGTCTTCCTCTCTCTCTCAAGGAAAGACAGCAGCAGCAGTTGCCCTGTCCAAGCGTTACGGTGCTGCCTGCTTGTCCATTGACGCTGTGGTGAAAGAAGCCATCTCGAGCAGGAGCAGCTTGGCAGGGCTCCATGCCCGGGAGCTCTGCATCAGGGCTGCCATCGAGCAGAGCCAGCAGGAGACAGAGGGTGCTGGTAAGGAGAAACATGGGACCCAGAGCAGCACTTTGAAACACACCATGACCATCTACTTGTGCTTGCCCCACAGAAGAAGTTTGAAAGCCCTTGGGTCTCTTCAGAAACATGGGTGCAGCATGTACAAATGCAAAACAATTTCTTAAAGCATCTCTGGTTATTAAAAAAATATATATATATTTTAAGCACTCAGACGGGCACTTTTACTGCCTTTGGCTTCTTGGTGCATGTTCCTTTCTGTAAGAGAGGTGAAGCACACCTGTATCTTTCTCAAAGTTTTTGTATTTCCTCAAAGCTGAATCCAGCTTGCTCCTCGTGGCCATCAGAGAGAACTGCTTACTTCAACAAGGAAAAAGCCCTTTGAAGTGGCTCATTAAGCACTAGATGATTGACTTAAGAGTATGGCTTCACTCCTAAAAGGAAGGGAAGAATAACCTTGCAGAGGAATTTCACATGAGACACATGCTGTATATAGCAGAGATTTCTCCAGAGATTTCTCTATACACCCAGTCAGGTCACACAGCTCATATGTGTTGAGCTGTTCTCCATGTGAGACTGGAGATTTTCAGGAAGGTTTTTTGGGCAGTTGGTGCTCCAGGCTCTGCAGGGTGAGGTCAGACCTTGGCTTGGGGAGTGAGGGAAGTTTTGCATTGCTTAGCTTTGAACCTGGCTGGGAGCTGGGGGAAGGTCTGGGATGGGGTTATCCCACCAGGAATTAGCTCCAGTGGAGATAAGGGTGTGCAGCTGGGACAGGGCTGCATGTTGCAGTCTCTATGTGAGAATACAGGATGGGTGCAGGGTGGTCGTGGAGAACGAACTCTTGGTTTGATCCATAGAGGACCTACTGTGCAGTGTCACCTGCGTGCGCATTTGCTATAGGAGGGACACAGGGCTGTGCATTAAAAACTCTCTGGCTTTAAAATCCAGTACCAGACAGTGCTCTTTATTATGCTAATAATAGAATCTGAGCAGGAGCTGCTTCTAGAAGGCAGTGCTGCTGGTGCCCTGCAGGCTAGGGATGGGTGCTGTGTCTCTGGCAGAGTGCAGGGCTGTGCCCATTGAGGTGAAAGGGCTCTGCTTGCTCCCCACTGAGCCTTTGTCCTCTCCACAGGTCAAACTGCAGTGGTGTCCCTCAGTCCGCAGCTACACACTGAGGCCACACACTACCCAGGTGCAAGCCGGTCCAGCTCTGAGGGTAAATCCAGCCTGCAGCCTAATGGGCTGAGTTCCCAAGGCCAGTCAATTACTGCAGTGGGCCAGAAAAAGATGGATAGCCACACTTCCCAATCCCATCAATGTGTAACGGATCCCACCATCTCCCAGGTGAAGTGTGATCTGCACTGGTTAATGCCTGTTGCCTTGAGAAGTGAAGGAGCTGCTTACAGTGGAGGCTCCATGCTACCCAGAGCCTGGTGTGGTGATATAGAGCACAGAGCACCACCTGGGTGTGGCTCAGGGTGGGATTAAAACCTTGTGTTCTAGCAGAAAATCTCTACTGGGTCATAACGGTTTGTTGGTCAAGTGCAGTCCTGGATAACATGGCTGCAAGGGGTGGGCAAAGCCGTGGGATGCTGCGCCTGGGGATTGCAGGCTTGGGTCTCTGCTGGCCAAGGGATGTGCCCTCCAGGGTCATCCCCTGGAGCTTCTGACCTACAGTATTGTTCTAGTTTCCCACTAGTGAGAAACACAGATCCAGGCCCAGCAGTTGGAATTGTTTGGGGGTTTCCAAAGTGGTTTATTTTTTCTTGTGGTCTTCAACATTGCAGGGCTCATCCAGTTCTCATCTCACCTTTTCCCTTCCCTCCATTGCTATGCAACGATGGCTGAGCATTAATGGCAGCACAGCGGGAGAGCTGGGCTTCATGAGCTGCGTGCTTCCTGAGGACTTGCTGGTAGCCATCCTCTCTGAAAGGCTGCAGGTATGGCATGGGGGAAAAGAAGACGTTCCTCCTACAGAGAGACAGGCAGCAAGGTACAATTCAGATTGAAGGAGGTCTGTATCTGCTGTTCAAGATGTCCTGGGCTGCATGCAGGGATCCTTAGGCGAAGCTGCAGATGCTATAAGTTGGCAGTGCACGGTGAAAGATCAGAGCTTATCTGAGCTGCTGCCCTTGAACCACAAGAGCTGGTGTCCTTTGACATTTGTGTTTAATGAGTAGCTGAAGCCCAACATGTGCAATAGCTGACTTCCTGACTTTTTCACAGTTGAGTGACTGCTACCAGGGAGTGGTGTTTGATGGCCTGGAGACCCTCTTTGCACACACCATAGCATCTGCTCTCCTCTGCCTTCTCAAAGCTGTTGGAAATTTGCCTCATATTTATTTTGTGAACCTGTTTGAAGATTATGCTGCTTTTAAAGCCAGGGAAACAGCTGCAAAAGAGCAGGAAGGTGAGACTCTTCATCTCCATACCTCCCAAATCTTTTCTCTCAAAAGCCCTCAGCAGCATCCATGTGTATCTGGGCTACCAGCAGAGCTTGTAAGTAATGCTTTTATTAATCCATGTTCTGCCTCAGTGCAGCCAGTATTCAGCTCACAGTTGTTTAAAATATAGCAGAGCTAAGGCTGTAATACTTACCTTAGCCTCTGACAGTGAAGCTTGGGTGCAAGTGCAAGCCCTTGTGGCTCAATAACTGTGGCTCAAAGCAGACCACAGCACTGGTGCACATGAGCCAGGCAAGGCACAGGAACTCACTGACTGGCGATTGGGGGTTTATTTGCATTTTGGAGCAGGGATATGAGCTCCCCAGTATCTCCTGGCAGGATGGTAGGCTGGGTCGGGCCAGGGCTGTGAATCCTCATAGCCTCCCCAGAACAGCAAAGCTCTGCTGGCAGTTGCTAATGGTTTCTCCTCTGGTCTGTGCAGGACGGGAGCAGGAAGAAGCTGCCAGGAGGGAGAAAGCACGTCTCTGGGAGATGGATGAGGATGAGTATGATGCCCTCACTGAGGAGCAGAAAACTCAGTTTAATAACCATGTACGACAAGTCCAGCAAGAGAGGAAGAGGAGGTCTGTAAGCCTTGCATAGAAAACTCCCTAGGATAGTGTCCCTAAAGGGTTTGCCCGCTCTGGAGACCTTTGTTGAGCTCAGAGCTTGCACTTCAGCACTTCATTCAGCCCAGGTTGAAGTTTGTTTCACTGGGAGGAGATTGCTGGGTCTGCTTTCAAATCACAATTTTCAGGACAGACAGCACAAGTTTCCCCTGGTCACACCTGGGTACCAGCAGGAAACCTGGTTCTTCAGAGCCAGGAGGGGAGTTACTGCAGCCTTTGCTTTGTGATTGATAGGATTTTTCTCAGTAAGGAGCAGGCTATTCTTAGGGAGAAGAAGGGCTGGGTAAGCCAAGTTAAGTATTGATGCAGGCATATATATATATATGTGTGTGTGTTAGCAATTTGTGAACTGGTTTAAATTGGGAAATCAAGAGAAGGCTTCAGGCATCAGTGCAGAGAAATGGTGGATCAGTCTTCAGTAGTGTGCTGGAGGTGTCCAGGTGGACCTTCTCAGAGAAGTTGCCCACCTGAGACCTTATGACAGCAGGGCTGAGATTTGGCTGGCCCTGGAGGTACCCTCCCACCTTTCCTCACTTTGGATGTTCCCAGCCTCCCCAGGTTGAGGGAAGTACATGGGGATAATCTAACAGTCCTGCCTGGCCTCAGGATCAGTGAATTAAGTTCAGGACCAGCTGGGATTGCAGTGAGCACAGATTTCTGGTGGTGACCCTCAAGGGTGTTTTCTATTTGTCATGTTGAAGGGAGATGGCTCAAGTGCTTGCAAAAAAGCACCAGCAGGAGCTAGAGCACTTGAAGAAAGAAAAAGAGCTGAAAAAGAAGTCTAGGCGGGGGAAGAGGGAGCTTGGAAAAGACAAAGATAATGCTTTGGGGAAGAAAAGCCATTCTGGAGTCGGGCAGGTAGGTAGTTGTGTTTATAGAGATGTATAAAAGGCCTGTGGACCTTCCCGCTGAACTGTACCATTCCCTGAGAAGCCAGCAGCCACACACAGTGCTGGGGACAAGTACCCGGCCCTGAGCAGTGTGGGGCTGTGCTGGGAAGCAACAGCCTGTGTTTGATTGTACTGCTGCTTCAGCGGGGGTGTTTTCCCATGGATTTGTTGGTAGAGTTGCTCTTCTAGGATCATGCTGCCTTTGAGTCATGGCTTCAGATAACTCCATGCATTCACTGTAAAGCTCTAGATAGTTTTAGTCGAGCATTTCTCCGCACTCCACATGCGACTTGCCATCTCTGAGCGATGACCTGTCTGGGATGAGGTGTCTTCTGACATGTCTGGCAGGAGATACACCAAGCCTTAGTTCATTCATTAGGAGCCAGACTTCCAAAGAGTCAACCAGCCACAGGGATGCTCAGCATGCCAGAAACAATCCCAGAAGACCACACTGGTCTTAAGTTCTCTGGGTTTGAAGCTGTTCTGTTTCTCAGCTGGTTTGCAGGACTTCTTGTCAGGCTGACACTGGAGAGTTTGGTTCCATTTGAGCTAAACTGTACAATCTGTGTGCTGAATTGGGATTTGTAGAGCACCTAGCACAGGGCACGGGCAAGGCTTAGGGTGCTGTTATAAAGATGATGAGTGCCCTACAGCATTTGAGTCAGTGCTTTGAAATAGTGTTTTCTCCTGCTCCTCCTGTCCAGAACATTAATGTATCCACTGGCAACACCGATGCACCCAACAGCAACCAGTTGGATGTCACGGAGGAGCTGGACAAGAAAGGACCTGTAAAGCAGCACCCAGACTCTGTTGCAGATGACAAAGAAGATAAGAAAAAGCAGAGCAAGATTCCCCTGTCAGATGTCTGCCCTGTGGTGGCACCAAACCCAGAACAGGAGGAAACCAAAACCAAGACCCAGAGTGACAGCGAAAAGAACTTGGCCCTGAGGTTTAAGATCTACGAGACATCACAGAAGGATGTCACCCATATTTTATCATCCTGGGACAGGGTTCAGGGTATCCTGCTGATCCCTTTGAACGAAGAGGAGATGCAGCAACAAACAGAACAGTGGCGCCAACATTTATCCAGCTACAGGACTCGGAAGAGCAGAGAGAAGGAAGGTCTGAAAAGGCTGGAGAAAGAGCGCCTGGAGAAGGAGCGGCTGGAAAAACTGAAGGCTCTTGAGGACTCAAAGTCATCTCTGCTGGAAGGGGAAGGTGCAGAAGGGTTAACCAGAGACCAGCATGTTGGGGTGCCCTGCTTGGACATCAAGGTGCTGCACTCAGAAGATGTGACCAGGACAATCCTGGAGAGCAGCAGGCTGCCAGCAGCAGAGCAGGTAAAGCCCTGCAAGGCTCAGATGCTGAGCCTGCCATGGCCTTGGGCCTTGGTGCATTGTGTCCCACCAAATAAGAGTGGCACAGACCCTTGTCCAGGCCACTGATGATGTTCCACAATGTGTCCACCGCAGCCATGTGCCTGGGGAGGTTCTCACCATCCCTCAGATGGGTGGAAAGAGAGGGTGCTCTCTGTACAAGTATTCTGTTTGTTCAGAGAATTTCCCAGTCCCAGGGCAATGCAGCTCATGGTCATTGCTTCCTTCAGCTGAGTCACTCAAGGAAGAGGTTTCTCTCTAGATCCCTCTTGTAGGTCGTGGCACTGCTCTGGAGCCTGCCCACCCTGCTGGGCATAAAAAAGCGTTGTACTCCATAGAAATAAAAAAAAACCACCAACATTGCCAAAAACTCAGTGCCTTTAAGGAGGGAGTGTGAGGGTGAAGGTGGTGGGAGTATAAACAGAGTTTTCTCTTGTGCTTTAGATCCTGGATGACCTGGGGCTGGGTCCCTCAGGGCCTCCCATTCCCCCTACCACTTTGTACTCTGTGATCCACTACCCGGAGAAGCGGGTAGCCCCCACAGTAGGAGAAGCCCTCAAGCACTTCGTCTTTGCTGTGCCAGAAGGTGCTATTTCAGAAGAAAAGAAAACTGAAAGTCTCCTCCTGGATGTTCCTATTGTGCGCACAGTGAAGGTGCCAGAGCAGGGGCCAGGCTGGATGGGGGGGGCATGAAGGAGGGCATATGGGATGTGAAAGGATAACTGTGGAAGGGCAGTGAAAATGTGATGGGGTGCCATGTCTGCAGGCATCACTTCTGCTGTCCAAAAGAGACGGCTCTGCTTAAGACATAGGATGATTCTATAACATGAGAGAGAAAAAATACTGCCTCATACCCTCAACTTCGAGGAGAGGGTCCTGGGCAAGGAGAGGTGGTGTAGGCAAAACAAAGGCCAATGAGGAAGGCCAAGTCCATGCTCAGATGCAGCTGCTTAAATTCTCTCTCCTGTTTGTTATCCAACATGCAGCTTTCTCTCCAGGAAGGAGATGTCTTGGGGCAGATCTCACCTCTCTCTCCCTTTTCTCTCTCCCTTTGGTGCTAAGACCTCAGAAGAGCAGATCACCCCCACCAAGAGCCAGTCGAGGAAGGAGAAAGCCGCGGGCAGCCGGGAGGCTGTGAGGGAGAGGCAGGGCTCCAGCCGGGGCAGGAAAGGTGTCCAGGGGCGGGGCACAGCAGCACCTCCCCATCCCCGCAAGGTGCACCGAAGTGTCATGGACATGGTCCCACCCCCAGCAACATGCGTTAGGAGGTGAGCTGTTAGGGAGGTGATCCCTCTGCTTCATGGCCATCTTGCCAAATGAGGTCCATCATCCCCAGTGCCACAGGGATCCTCTGATGGTGCCTCCATGGGATGGCGAGTCCATGATCCTCCTCCTTGTCTTAGTTGTTTGTTAGCCATATCTGAAGCCTCCTCTTTAATTACCAGGCTGAGCAGCTGCCGGTGGATAGTGCCTGCCCACGGTGAGGTAGAACTGAAAGTCTTCTTCAGCTCCACAGAGGTTGGCCAGTTTGATCAGGTGCTGCATTTTGAGATCCTGGGGACAAACCGACTGTACCAGCTGCACTGCAGGGGCACCTGTCTGTATCCCACCATCAGCCAGGACCCACGGTAAGGATGGTCCGTGGGAGCCTCCCACACTGATTCCCCTTTAACTCAGAGCCAGGACTGCCCCATGTACCCCAGTGACCTTCTGACTTGTGCAGAGCATGCTGCTTGAACCACCTAACATCTCTTCTCATGCTTGGAACTGGGAACCAGTACTAGTACCTCAGCCACCAGTAATGGTTATGGCTTTCTGACCATGATTTCTACTTAGAGTATCTCATAGTTCCTCATTGGACATTTTCTCTGTCCAGGGTGGTGTTCCCTCACCAGAGGAAGAGCAAGGCAGATGATGACATCATCTTCAAGCAGTATGTCATGGACACTGGTGTATTCCACTTTGGACCACTGCGGTGTGGGAAGTCAAGAGAGTGGTATGTGCTCCCTGCACCCTGTGAACATCCTGATGTACTGCTGTGCAAAGTGAGATGTTGGGATGGGATCTCCAGGGCCTTGTGCTCTCATGATCATGCTTAAGACATGCTGTCCCAGTGGCACAGTTCAGGACAGGCCCAGACAGAGACCCAGGAAATAGATACATGGGGTTGAAGGACCACAGGTTTGTGAGCATTTGACAGGTACACTGGTCTTAGAGGAGCTGGGGAGAGGTAGAGCTGATCTTCCTACCTGGTTGGTGCCTTGGTGTCCCCCCTCCACATCTCAGCTTTATCACCTATGAAATGAACTTTATGGTGCTTTTATCGAGTGCTTTGAGTTCTACAGATACACTAAATAAGCAATTATTCTGCTGATGGTTTTGTAAACCATTCCTTAGTCTGTAATATTAGTAAGACTATGATTTGACCTGCCAATATGGAGGATAGGAGGGTGTGCAGTGGGCTACAGAGAAATAAAACTGGGAATTATATTTTCCTGATCCTTACTGCTGGATAAAGTCTGCCTAAACAAGTTGGCTATTGTAGCATGTAACTTTTGTTTTAATATTAGAAACGAAGCTCTTGTCTTCATGGGAGCTCTGCAGAGCTGATGGTATTTTGCCAACCCGAGGAAATCAAATAAAAACAGTTTAAAAAAGAAAACGGGATCTTTAGCCAGGCTGATGAATGCTTTTGGGTTTCTATTCATGTTCTTAGTCCTTTACCTCCAGATTCTGTTTCACACCTGAGAGGGGGGACATTGTTGAATTTAGCATTCCTCTTGGGAATGAATCCTTTCTGTTTCTTTCCCTCAGGCTTTGAGCTAACCCATTAAATACAAGGCAGTTTCATTACTTGTTTGAAAGAGATAAGCTAAACTGTTTTAAAAACCTTTTTCAAAAGCATTTCTTTATACCCTGCAGGGAAGGAAATCTAACAAAGAAGGGGGAAGAACCCATGTGCCTGGTGTACCTTTATTTTTGTCTTTGAATTGGTATTTTATAAAATGCTCTTTAAGTGGCCTGTGCATCATCAGGCTTCTGGGATGGAGGCACCAAGTATAGGGCAGACATCAAAGTAGCACAAGGATGAAGACACAGGCTGTGCAATATGCCCCTGGAAGTGATCCTTAGCCAGCTTGTTAGACTATGGTCTTCCAGTGAGGCCTCCTGCTGCCAGGACATGGTGCTTTCCTCAGTGTGTTTCAAGGGCGGTGGTCACCTCAACAGCCTTTTCCCCTCTTGTGGACAGGTACAAGGCATTGCCCCATCCTAGCAACTGTGAGAAGATCACCATCCTCAACATCACTGCCTTGGAAGCAGAGGTGCATTTCTGCTTTGAGCATGATCTCAAAGCGGACACATTCCTTTTAGACCCTCCCAGCATGAAGCTGAAACCAAATGAGAAGCAGGTAGGAGATGGGTAGATAGGGCAAGCACAGGTAGAAGTGCCCAGGACCTGTTCCTCCTGCTCACTGAATGTTCTTCTGTGTTTCTTTTTGTGGGGATGGAACCAGGAGCTGAGCGTTTGGGCATACCCCACTTCAGCTGGCCTCATGGAAGACAATCTCATCTGCTCCATTAATGGCAACCCAGAGCCAGTGGTGTTCCACCTGTGCTGCCAGGGGGTGCAGGTGGAGCTGAGGGTCAGCCCCAGGCAGTTGCATTTCGACAGGCTGCTGCTGCACAGGTCAGTCATCCCACCCCACAGGCTCTGCTGGGGACATGAGCTGTTAGCCAGCTCCCTTCCAGCTTCTTTTGCTGGCTCTGTGGCCACTCAGATGGGAGGCTGGCTGCTTCTTCTCTTGCTCACCATTCCTTGCTGCCTTGCATATCTCATGACTTCCACAAGCTCTGTAGCGCCCAGCAGTGCTGTGCAATGGGCATCCTGGAGCACCCAGGTCTCCCCAGGGACCTCACCTCTGGGACTTGTGGCAAAGGGAAAATGTTTAACAATGGTTTTGGATGTGGGGATGACAGCTGCAAGCTGCATTCAATTGCAAGGCTGGCATGCCAGTCAAGCAGCCAGTCCTGAGTGTTGTCTGGTCTCTGCAGGAGGGACAGCAAGACCCTGGTCCTGCAAAACTGCACCCCACTGCCTGTGGCCTGGCGACTCAGTGGGCTGGAGAACCTTGGCAAGGACTTCTCTGTGTCTCAAGCTGAAGGCATCATTGGTCCCTGCACGGAGTTTGGCGTGCATTTATATTTTAAGCCTATGAAGGCTCTCAGCATTAAGAAGACGATCCGACTAGAGGTGAGGGGGACTATGGGCTCCCTGCCAAAGCAGGGTGGAGTGATCAGGTCTGTGCACTTAGGGATGGAGACTGTGCTTGAAGGGTACTCTTCAGAGAGAGCAAAATGATGAGCCTTCATGAGATTTCTTTCTGCCTGCATTGCTGGGTAACCAGGCCCTGGTTGTCCAGACTTTGACATGCTCCCTGAACCCTTCTTGGAGTCTGTCTGGGGTTGTTAACATTGAGCAGCAAACCTTCACCTTGGAATGTTGCTCTGCATGGTTTAGAAGCTACATTTTGGTGAGGATGCTGAGTGATTGAAGAGGAGAGGGTTGATTGGATCAATGCCACCTGCTCTGGGACAACTTACACTTCTCATGGTTGTTTTTAGATGCCTGCCATGGTGCTTTAGCAGCAGAATTTCCTGCTGTAGGAGAGCAGAGTTGGGCTGACAGTGTTTGTTACTGCAGCCAAATCCCACTGGGTCAGCCCATGAGATGAACAGGTTAGGAAAACCTGGGAGTCCACAAATGCTTGGCAAGCAGGGGGAGGTCACAGTGGAAGCAGCTGGCAGAGACAAGGACTCATATGTTGTCTACCAGAAGAATTGAGGAGAATGATTTAAGCAGTATTTGTTTCTTGCTGTCTTAGGTTTCAGACACACAAAACGACCTGGGGGTTGCTCACACTGAAAATATCCGAGTCTTTGCAGAGGCCTATGATGTTGCTCTGAACATCAGCATTTCTAAAGGTCAGTGGATGTCCCCAAAGTACTCCTGTTGCATTGCCTTGTGTTGGCACATAGGCAAGCTAAGCACTTGGTGTGTAGGATGAGACAGCATATAAGTGTGGCACAGATCTGTAAAGCACATATCCTGCAAGCTGCTTGGAGTAAAACACTGCCAGGGCGCAGCCAGTCGCTCACCTCTGAGCTTCAAGATGTGCAGCTTCATGTGCAGATTGATATATCTCCTGTCACTTGGTATACTCTGCAGCAGATCACAAATATTTCTCATTTCTTACCTCACTCTGTGGTTTTTCTGCAGGTACAGATGGCAGCGTGGATTTTGGAATCCTTAAAGTCTTGGAGGGTGCAAAGGAAGTGCTGACTCTGAGGAATAAAGGGAAGTACGAGATTGCGTACAGGTGGGTCCAGCTGCCTGCTCTGTGAATGCATGGTGCCACCATCTGCCTTCTCCTCTTGCCCATGACTAGAACCTGTTCCTATGTTTGGCTATGTCATGGTCTGAGTAAATACAAAACCTGGGCTCTCTGATCTTAAATATTTTAATAGAGAATCCAGCCAAACAGTTCACAGCTCAGCAAGAACCAGAAGGAGAGAACCCAAAACATAAGCCACTCATTGCTGAGGGTTGTTGCATTCTGTTATGGGTGGCTCATCCCTCTTAGTGAGACTCTTTACAGGAGGGAATGAAAAAATGCAGTGTCAGGGTTAGCTTGCAACACTCATGATTGTCTGCACTGTGTGTCAAGATTTGGGAATCCCCAAGCAGAGCTGGACTCTTTTCTCTTGATGTTTTTTATGGTGATATGCAATGTCCTTGCTGTGCTGGAGGCCTCTGGACTTTCAGCTGCAGCAGTTTTGTTCCTTCTCTTTCTCCCAGTTTCAAGCTGGAAACCACACATACCAGCATACCTGACTTGGCATCCCACTTCACTGTCCAGCCACAGAGGGGCGTGTTGGCTAGCTCTGAGCACTCTGCGCAGGTCCAGCTGCTCTTCCACCCTAAGACGGAACTTAGCATTGAGAGCAAACCCATCCTACAGTGCCAGGTGAGCTGCCTGGGCCAGGCAGTGGTAGCACACAGTTACAGGTGGTAGCTGGGGAGTGGGAGCAGGACATGTGTTTCTGGAAGGAGGGCTTTATCTGGGGAATCCTCTCTCACATTTACATGACAAGGTCTTTCAGAAACCATTTGTGATGCTTCCTAAGCAGAGCTGAAAATCTGGCTCTGGAGGAGGCACTTAAATAGGGACGGTGAGCTGATGGGGAGCTGGGATCAGGGGACAGAGGTAGAGGCTGTCCTTTTTGCTGTAATTACCAAGCTATTCTCTGGTTGCAGGTGATTGATCCCCACATCTGTGAAGAAGATGAGACCATTGCCATCATCCCAGTGAGGGTGTCAGCAAAAGCTGTGTTCAGCAAGTACAGCATTCGCCCTGCCTCACTCATCAGCTTTGGTGCCATGGTGAGTGGCACCAGGAAAACCTGCAGCTTCATGCTGGAAAACAAAGGCATCCTTGACTTTAAATTCTTCATCTACCAAGAAGACCAGGCTGCCCCTCTGTTGCCAAAGAAAAGGTGAGAGGGGACCTGCACCATCCTTCCTGCCTGATGAGGCGCCATGGCATGGCTAGGGTGTGACAGGCAGCCAGGACACCTGGGTTACTGTCCTTTAGCATCACAGGCTTGTGAACAGGGAGCAGAAAAATGCTTCAGTATACCCATGTGTAGGATGAAGCTGGTGATACAGCTGACCTATCCTTAAGCTTCAGCACAATGTGCTGCAGGCAGCCCTCTGGGAGCAGCCAGGAGCCTGAAGGCTTTCCTCCATGGCAAGGAAGGCCAGCTTCAGCCTCTGAGAAAGGCAGGGGGAGCTGTGCATGATGGATGTTTCCGTTTTCTCCTCTTAGTGCACATCAAAGGAAATCTGCTCACTCCCAAGAGAGTGAAAATGGAAAGCCAGTGGTTCTGTCAGCCAAGCCAAGCAAGCACTTGTTGCAAAAGGACCCAAACCCTGTCCCACAGGTGAGTCGTCCCTGCTCCCCAACACATACTGCTGCAGGCGGGGGACTCGTCACCACGGGGTGAGGCATGGTCCACGTGATGGAGGGCCGTCATCTCCCACCCACAAGCAGAGGCAGGAGCTGCTCAGTCCCACTGACAGTCCCATGCTTGGCCCAGACATGGAGCTTGCATGGCAAAAGAAGGGAACAGGTCCTGTGTTTGGTAGCTGCTAGCCAAAATAAATGTATGAATGCCACAGATGCAGAATGTTCCTGTTTGAACGCTCAGTCCACAGATATCAGATGAGCTTGGTTTTTCTTCTTCCCATCATTCTTTCAATTTCCCATCATTTCTCACAGTTTTCTGCTCTCCTATTTTACCCCAAGAGGCTGAAGGATCCCTGCAGCCACATTCACCCTTTACACCCAAACTCCTTTCTCCTCACTCAGGACAAGCCTGCAGCTCCTCCTGGCTTGTTCGTTTCATCCTGGGGCTGCCTTTGAGCCATGGAGTCATCCTTCCCTGCCCTGGGGCTGGGGGCTTGGGCCTGCCTGGAGGTGAAGGAGTGGCATGCTCTTTTCTGGGGATGCTCAAGGTAAGGCTGTTGATTTGCCTCTTTCTTCAGGCTCGTCTCACCATGGGCATGTTCACAGTGTACCCAGGCTTTGGCACCATACCTCCTGGGGGCCAGCAGATGATCATGGTGGAGTGCTGTGCAGAGCCGCTGGGGACATGCAAGGAGCTCCTGTCCATCGATGTCAGTGACAGAGACCCCATGGATAATCCTTTTGGCATCCCGTATACCCTGTTTGCTGAGTCCTGCCTCCCAGGTATACCCTGTCCACTGGTGCTGATCAGCACTTAAACTTACTGCTTGAATAGAGAGGCACCCTGACCTTGAAGGCCCATCTTAAAATCCTCAGAAGTTCCAGTCTTTTTCAAGTGCACCAGTGAGGAGAGGCTGGGAGGGATGCATGGAAGGATAAAATGAAACCAATACCCTTTAAGACTGAGGGTGACTGAGCTCTATCCTCACAGCCAGCTCTCCCACCCAAGGTTGGGTTTTGCAGTGGCCTGGGCAGAAGGGGCTCATCAAGCCTTCTGAGAGGCCAACAGGGTCCAGATAAATTCAGGAGGATGGCATCTCCATCCTCAGTACTCCTCTGATCTGCTTGCAGCATTTGTGGTCGATGACATAGAGTCCATCTTTGAGGAACATCGAATCTGCAGCAACAACAACCTCTGCCACATCCTACGGACAGTGCAAGACAAGGGCATCTTCATCACAGATGAGAACAAGTTTATCTTCACCGATGTTCTTATTGGGCACCAGGCCACAGCTCGCTTCAAGATCTGCAATGTGGGCAAAGTCCCCTGTAACGTCGTCCTATCCATCAGACCTCTCTCAAGTAAGGTAAGGACAAGAGGCCAAGGTGACTGTTGCTGTTTAAAGGCTGTGTGATAGCCTGTCTCATTCTCCAGATTCATTGCTTCCTCTTGCTCAGACTAGTTCAGCGCTGTGCAGATCAGACTATAGGGGAGTGTGGCAATGCTGCGGTGGTGGGTTGAATTCAGTGTCTCTCAAGCAACGTTTTGGCTCACCCCTCTCGGTCTTTGGTAGGAGACCTGAACCCTTCTGAACATCTCTTGGAAGCATGCTCAGATGGGGTCTTTTACTGGACTGTGCCTGGGCTCAAAGCAACCATTTCCTTGGGCTCCCTGTTTTTTTTTCTTCTCATTAAGGGTCAATTCTAGAATTTGCAGGGTTTTCCATGCAGTCTCCACCACCCATATGTGCTGGGTTGACTGCCCAGAGCACAAAACAAGGTTTTGCACTTCTGGCCCTTACGGCAGCTCCCCATGCAAGGTCATCACCACGCTGGGATGAAGGAGCCTGTCCAAGGAAGGAAGGAGGGAGTAATACATGCTGTGTGGGGCTGTTCCCAGTGATTCATGTATGAATAACACTGCATCATGTTGAAGAATGCTTCCTCCTAACCCCATTCTGTGGTGTTCCCAAGCTTAACAGCCGTGTTAGTGACATTTTCGAGGTGGATCCTCTTCGAATGTGTATTCCCAGCTGCTCCCATGCCTTTGCTACGGTGGCGTTCACTCCCCAATCGATGGAGACGTATCAGTGCACTTTTGAGGCTTCCCTTGATGTCCGGGCAAGGTAACTCCCCTGTTGGGGGAACCTTTCTGACAGCTGCCTCTCCTGTGTGAGGACATAGACCTCTTGTTAATCCTAAGGCTTTCAGTCACCTTAAGTAAACTTAGCTTTATAGAAAGCAGTAACTACTAGATATAGCAGAGTAGAAAAATAAGGGTGATAGTTTAGCCAATAGGAATGATTATGAAGACAGTAAAACATGAAGTAGCCAACTGGAAGTGACTGAATCAAAAAAAAACCCAAGATGTGTAAAAGCTGAGTTGGGGCTTTCCAAAGACAAGGGATTAGATGAAGATTAGATGCCGGAAAGTCAGCATGCATTATTTCTTCCCTGTTTATAGTAAAATGATATGATCTATGTAGATACCTGGGGTATATTAAGTTACTTTATGTTAAAGGAGCATTTGGACCCCTTATAAGAGCGGAGTCCATTCTCTCTGTCCCAGGACCTATGTACCGGGACCCTGATGTGCTCTTCCCAGACCTTTGGTCACTGAAGTGGGACAAGATAAGTCAGCCTTCTGCCCTAATGAGCAATTTTTAGTGTCCTTGGAAATCATTTGTGCTAATGGTGTTATTTATTTATTTTCCCCTTCTTGTTTTCATACTATTTTCATGCTCTGTGTGTGCTTTTTTGCATATGTCTCCTATCACCACAGCCAGTGCATTTACCACATCTCATATGTTTGCTTCTTGTCTGTTGTACTACATGAGTGAAATTATTATGTGTTATGCTGGAAGGCTTTGGCTCTTCAGCCATTCCTCCTGTGAATGGCCCTGAGCAGATGGGGAGGAGAAGGGTGAGGGTGAATTATGTCATGGGGAAAAGAAGCACCAGCCAAGGCAAACACAGTGGATGGCCTTGCTTCATGGCTTGCCCAGTGGAAAAAGGGTTAGTGCCTGCTGTGGTGATTCCACCTCTGTCTCTTCTGCAGCCGTGCAGCGATGAAAGCACAAAGCCTGGTCTTTGATATCAGTGGAGATGGGAATTTGCCTCGGGTGACAGTCCTGTGCCCAGTCCTTCACAATAAGAGAGGGAACCCTCTGTTGCTCTTCAAGAAGTTGTTGCTGGGTGATTCAGAAAAACTCCCTCTAGTCCTTCATAACAGTGGCATCATACCTGTCCAGGTGAGTACCTGCCATGGGGCTGCTCTGGTCTGGGAACAAGTGCTTGTTCCATGAAGGAAAGGTCCCAGAAAACATGGTAGATGTGGAAGCAGGTCTTGGGAATTCTTTTTAAGCAACTGATGGATGTCTGTTTCCAGGAAGGGAGTTTCAGAAATGCGATATTCTCATCAGCCTGTCCTTTTCAGTTAAACACAACACCAGAAAGTTGGTGGGGTACTTCTCCCCCATCTCTTTTCTCACGTTTTGGTTCTCGTGTGGGCACATATGATGTCCTAGCTACATTAGATTGTATTTGATCCTCTTTTACTGCAACTTAATTAATCTCAGTTGTAGTTTATTCTGCTCATTACTTTTAGTACTTTCTGTCCTTTTTGGTTATATTTTAATTACATCCCAATGCCTCTGAACACTTTTTTTTTCCCCTTCCTGTCTGATTTTACTTAAATTTTGTGCTAAGAGCTGTGTGTGAAGGGAGAGGCTGCTGGGCTCCCCATGCTAGACCAGCAGCAGTACAATGTTAATCCACATGCCATCCTGTACCCACACCAGTGTGGTCGTATTCTGTGTTCCCTTTCCTCAGCTGATGATTGACCTGTTGGATGAAGGGGGAGTTTTCTTCTTGAAAGCCAGGCCCACCACACACTGTATCTACCAAGCTGCAGACATGAAGGAGGACTCACCTGAAGAAGGTAAATTCATAACCATGAAGTGTGGTCATCCACACAGGTAAAATGTGTGCCCTACTCTTGGCTTGTCCAAACAACAGCCAGATGTTAGAGATAGTTTCTTTCCTGGGGTGCTCTGTACCCCTAGTTTTTCATGTGGACTCTTTGCAGGGTTTCCTCCTATCAAGTTTTAGGAAGTTTTTCTGTTCCAGACATGGTGGTTTGAGCTGTGGGGGACTATCACTAAGTCAATGCACCGAGGTCTTCGCTGCATGTGGGAAATTAACAGGAAGTTAACAGTCTGAATGGAGTCAGCCCTTGAGCCCACAGCCAGACAAGAAAAGCCAAAACCACTCTTTGACTCAGATTTATGTACGGCAGAAGCTGGCTGCATGCAGCCTGAGTGAGAGTTGGGTGTTAACCTGAGATTAAGACACTTAAGCAGTGATATGCATGGTGGTGTTATAGTCTTGTGAACCTAGCAGAAGAACATTGTGAACACTGTGGAAGAGCCTGCAGTTAGAAACGGGAAGAGTTTCAACCTCTTACTCCTGTTTATACCCCATGTATAGCTTTACCACTTGTCTCTGATTTCCATTGTCATGTAGACAGGAAGCCTCACACCGCTGCCCTGGTCCTGCATCAAGGGGAATCAGCAGAGTTTGATGTGCTTTTCAAACCCACCCTGGCACAACGTGTGAAAGGGAAGATCTGCCTGTCAGTGGTGGACAACCCATATGAAGAGACCAGCATTCAGCTGTTAGGTGAAGGCTACGAGGATGACTTCACGCTGGATAACATCCATGGACTAGTGTCAGACAACAAGGAGGAGAACACTGAGAGCAATCTGGAGGAAGACATAATTGAGGGTAAGAGAGGAGAGGCTGCTAAGATGAAGCAAGGAACAGGAAAATACACATCTGCTCACACTGTGACAGCTCAGGTCTGGTCCAGCCTTTGGGAACAGCTCCTGTTGCCTTTTGTAGCCTGCAAAGCAACCACACATAAGAACACAGGGGAAGATCCTCTGTCAGTGGAGAATCTTGCAGGCTAGCAGGGAAGGGTCAGAGATGCCAGCATTCAGCTCCTGTCTCTGAAAGGAGGTCTGTTAGCCCATAGTCAGTTATTGAGATGAAGAACATGTGTGGTAATTTGTGTCCTCTGTGTAACCGGGCCTGTGCTGTTGCCCACTGGACCAGGTAGCCTGTGAGAATGCCAGCTGCATGCACAGGCACAGTGCATACTGTACAGCTGTCTCTCTGCACAGCACAGCCACGGGTTTAGGGACGTGTTGGGGCATATTCCTGAAAGTGGCAGGATGGAGAACTGCATCTTCCAGAAGGAGAAAGGCTTGGAGAAAGGAAGAGTGGGATATACATATGTCTGTGCATGTGAGGGGTCAGATGGACCTCACTGCATGCTGAGATCTCTTGTTCTTATTCTTAGCAGCTGCCAGAGTGGAACACATCCAGTTTGGGGACTGTCACATTGGGACACCCTACACTGTGACCTTCACGATCAGCAATCGCAGCAAGGTGGAGGTGCTGCGGTTTGAGTGGCTGGTAGACCCCCCATTCCAGTTCTCCCCGCAGGTGAGCTAGGACAGCTCTGCCTTTCCCTGTTGCTCAAGCCCTACCCAGTGGTTTCCTGGGAGCTAGCGGGAGTCACCATAGACTGGTAAAAGGAAGTTTCCAGTGCCATGTAGGAGATACTATCCCTGGCTTTACTGGGGCACAGCCATCAGCCCTGCAGTAAAGACTGTTACAGGATGCAGCATCTTTTTTTTGTACTTTCCTCTGTCAAACCTCAGACAAAGGCACAGTAAGATGCAGGTTGCTGGCACAGCTGCTCACCAGCTCAGTCCCTTTGCTGTCAGTCCTGCCCTTGCCAATGATTCCAGTTTGGTCGTGGCTCTCTGGTTCTCTGTAGGTGGGACACCTCCATGCTGGCTGTGCTAAGGACATCACAGTGACCCTGAAATCAGATGTCGCAGTTGCCTTCAAAATGCACCCTGTGAAGTGTAAGGTTGCAAGAATCGCCTTCCAGCTGCCACCAGAGGAGGTGATGGACTGGGACGACCACCTGCACACCATTGAGTGGATGGATGCCAGCAGGGACTCAGCAGCCACGTGGCCTGTGAGAAAGGTAAGAAATACAATAGCAAAAGCTACTGAGCTTCTACAAAAAGAACTGCCAATGGCAGCAGACTGACATCTCTGCTGGCTAAGCAGCTCCTGCTTCCTCCTTTATTTAATACATCCCATGAGGTTAAACAGCAGTGCATTTTAGAGGAGAAGTGGATGCACAGTGTCCTGACATGCTCACACAAGATGGGGAAGTCTTTTGGAAAGAGATGTTTAGCTACATGCAAACTATCAGTCTCTGCCAAAGGCTGAAGTGTTGTAGCCTGTGTTTAATGGGAGGTCACACTTTCTGATTTCATTGCATTTTATGGTGTTAAAGTGTCTTATCTGATACAGTGCCTTTTCACCAAGGAGTTAAATTCACTGTGCTCTGTCTCTCGGAGAGCAACATTAGTGCTCTTCTGTGTATGCTGTGTAACCCACCAGCGTGTTGTGTGTGTGCTCTGAGCTCTGTCTACATTGACACCAGAGATTTTGGTTGTAGTCTCTGTATCATATGGGATATCTCATTATGGAGCAGCCCAGGCACTGTAGGACAGTCATGCAGGAGTCTGGGTGTCATCTCCAGAAACTCTTGCTTCTACTGTCATTATTGTCAAACACACTTACCCAGTGATGGTTCTTCCCTAGTTTCTGAAGCACTGTAAAAACTGTTAACCAGACTTCTTCCTCATCAGAGCTTCAGCAGTCAGAGACCTTCCTAAGGAATTCATTCCAATCCCAAAAATACCTGTCACCCAGCCCCCACCACTGTGTCTGTTGCCCAACATGACATCTGGAAGGCACTTTCTCATAAGACAAGAAGGAAAAGGTGCTTTCTAGGTTTGTTCAGTCTTGGAGGTCTCCATCCACAGAGCTCCTTCAGGGGAACTTATTTCTAATTTAGAGGCCTTCTGAGATTTATAGGGGCCAGGAAAAATGTCAGACACTCTACAGGAATGAAACACAGGGACTGATACCCGGTCATAGTCCCCATGGGCGTACACAGTTGTGGTGGTGATTGCTTTGATCAATAGGTAGAAACAAATAGGCAACAGAAGGGTCAAATTTTGTCATCTTTTAGGCAAAATAAATGGGAATGGTCCTTTCTAGCCCCTATATGTGATTTTAAGGCCAAGAGACTCCCTGCTCAGCCTGGCTTTTTGGGTTTTGCTTAATGATTCTTCCCTTTCCTCTATGGAGGTGATCAAGACAACCCCAGAACCAGCTCACACTGTCCTGGAGAAGAGCAGCCGTGAGGTGGAGCTTCACCTCAGTGCTGTTGTTGACTATGCTGAGTTCCAGATGGATGTGGACATGATTCAGTTCAAGGAGACCTTGCTCTTCCAGACAAGGACAGTCACGTGAGTGCTGGAGACCAGGCAGAGACCTGCAAGAGGGAGTTGCCTTTCCCAGGGTTGACCCAGAATCTGCTTCCCCAAAGATGTGCTGTGCTCTCTGGTGGCCTCTGCTTTTCCTTCTAGTCATGGTCCTGTGCCAACAGAAGTTACACTGACATATTTATTGCTCAGCCACTTCTTCTAATTCTTCTAAAATCTGTTCTAATTTCTAAGAGGCTGACTGGCCTTGGAGGGGGATGCTGCTGCCTGCTGGTTCTTGAGGTTTCAGTTTCCGCGTATCCTGGGGTCCTAGGGATCTCCCACATGTGGATCTGAGTCCCTTCCTAGAACTTTTTGTGCAGTCTCACCTGCTGTTCTTCCCTTTAAACAAGTCATTTATTGTTTCATCCTTTCCGGGTCCTGGCTAAGTGCTGAGGCCCACATATCTGCATACAAAGCCAAGCAGGAGATGGTAAACACCATGCTGCCAAGACATGCCAGGAGAGGTTCTGCTGAGAGCAACCATGGTCTTGCTTTCTTTCCATGTTGCCTGTCCTCATCTGCTTAAGAATAAGTTTGCAGTCAAAATAATGTCAAACTGTGATATAAAGACCAGAATAAGACCCTTGAATTAACCTCCTGGGCACCATGTCTGCCTTTTCGTCTTTAACATCCGAACTTTAAAATACCTTGTCTTGGGGCAGCCCAGGGCAGCAATCTAGATGAAACAGAGACACTTGAGGAAGAAGATGCTCCTCAGCATAAGGAAAGGGGTACTGGGAGTCCACCATAAAGCATAACTTTTCTACTTGCTTTGTAGTTATTGGATGCTTTCTTTTTATTTCTTTTTATTTATTTATTCTCTTTCTGAAAAGCAGTTTCCAGCTGTCTAATACAGGGAATGTGGCCCTGGAATACACCTGGATGGCAGCTGTGGAGGATGAAAGATCAGTGAACCGTACTGGGGAGCTGCTCCTGTCCAATCTGAATGGTAAGGCACTTGCTTTGGGTGGGAGCTGGGCATGCCCAGGGTGTTTCAGTTGGTAGCTGAAGGCTTGGGGGGAAGACTGTGCTACTTCACCCCAAAACATGAATTGCTTTTTCATCCCTGTCCAGGCATCTGATTTTATCAGCATCTCCCCAGCTGCAGCTGTAGACTTTCTCCTTGTCCCCCTCTCTGCCTTTCATACCCTCATATGCTTGCTCTGACACTTGTAGTCTGCGTGGGAGCTGAGCCTGGGTCAGGACTGGCAAGAGGAACAGGAGGGCAGCTCTTTGAAAAGTCTCTGAGACTGGGAAAACTGATGGTGTAACACTAAGTTAGCTGATCTGTATCACTGTCTGTGTGTGATCCCCCAGTCCAAAGCAAATGCAATGTCACTGTCTAAAACTGACCTCCTAACTCGGGCACAGAAGTGTTGCTGCTGGCAGAGACCCTGCTCCCAGCATGTTGGAGCTCAGTGGTGGGGCTGTGACTCATTAACTCATAGCAATGTCCTTGTATCTGAGTTCTTGTTTTCCTTGGGTGGCTGCAAGGAAACAGGGCTGTGTGTCCAAGAGGTCTCATCATAGAATCATGGAATAGTTAGGGTTGGAAAGGACCTTAAGATCATCTAGTTCAACCCCCCTGCCATGGGCAGGGACACCTCACACTAAACCATGCCACCCAAGGCTTTGTCCAGCCCTGCCTTGAGCACCGCCAGGGATGGAGCATTCACAACTTCCTTGGACAACCCATTCCACTGCCTCACCACCCTAACAGTAAAGAATTTCTTCCTTATATCCAATCTAAACTTCCTCTGTTTAAGTTTTAACCTGTTACCCCTTCTCCTATCACTACAGTCCCTAATGAAAAGTCCATCCCCATCATCCCTATAGGCCCCTTTCAGACACTGGAAGGCTGCTCTGAGGTCTCCACTCAGCCTTCTCTTCTCCAGGCTGAGCAGCCCCAACTTTCTCAGCCTGTCTTCATACGGGAGGTGCTCCAGTCCCCTGATCATCCTCGTGGCCCTCCTCTGGATTTGTTCCAACAGTTCCATGTCCTTTTTATGTTGAGGGCACCAGAACTGCATACCAGAAACAGGATATAGGAGAGCAGTCAAGCCTTTTGTTTCCTAGCATGGACAGCTTTCTGATGGTCAGGGTGAGAGATCTCAACCAAAGTTCTTCGTGCTCTGAATATGCTTATCTCCCTCCCCTGGGGTCCAGGTGTTGACTCTTCCCCAGCACAGGGTGCCCTCATGCTGGAGCTAGTCTGCTGGACTGCAACATTAGCTGTCTGGTTGTTAGTTATGAAAGCCTCAGAAAGAGGAAAGAAGGAAAGGGTGTGAAGGACGGCAGCACTGTTCCCCAAACCCTTTTCTCCACCACACACAACAAGCGAAGCTCAGTTCTGCAGGACTCAACACTGTCCTTAATGCTAAGTATTGAGGCTGGCTGGGCTGGGATGTGAAACAGCACCCAAAAATTCTCACAGATGCTGTAACACAGGTATCTCTGTTAGATCCTGGACATGGTTTGGGAATGAATGCTGGCCAGAAGTGGTCCTGCAGAAGATGTTTGCATCTAGCTCCCCAGTCCAGCATGGAGTGAAGCAGCAGGCTTCTGTCCTGGGCCCTTTTGATTTGCTAACATAGACATAGCCTTCTTGTCCACCATCTGTGTGTCTTTACAGAGTGATGTTCAGTGGTGTGTTTTGATTCAAGCAGTTCTCTGGGTCTCTGCAGGGCCATTTCACTGTGTTTGCTGCCCCCCACCGTGTTCTCCCACCTGTTCTTCCGCCTCTCCCCAGGACTTTCTGGGATTATGATTTAGCGAGCAGTATCACAGAAGAAAAACACAATCTGGACACTCTGCCTGTTCCTTCAGTGGGAGCCCTCCTGCTGAAAGCACTTGGCCAGAGACACTCCAAATGCATCCCAGCTCCATTTTGTCCACTGCAGCAGGAGGCAGACTTGCTGGGAACAAAGGATTTTCTTCTTGAGAGATGTCATGCTTCTTCCTTACCGCAGGGGATTCTCTCTCCTCCACTTGTGGTACCTCTGGGAAGCTCCATCCCAGCCGTTGTTCAAGTCAGCTGGACCATGAACTGGAGCACGTCTCTTCCTCCCTGAACTCATCTCTGAATGCCATCAGTGGCAAGTCGCCATTCTCTGTCGAGCCCCGCAGTGGCACCATCCCAGTTGGCCAGAAGCAGCTCTTCCAGATGAAGTTCTCTCCAGTGTACGTGGGGGACTTTGAGAGCTGTATGCTCTGCAGGTAGGAAATGTCCTGGCACTTTTCAACTCATGCTACTGGTGGATAGTCATGGTTGTGCCTCTGGGATGGGTGAGGTGAGAACCTGTGGACAACCAGCCACAGAGAGATAGCAGAACCAATCAACATGCAGGAGTAAAGATGGTCATCCAGCTTTGGTAGAAGCAGGTATGGAGGCACTGGGAAAAGATATTGCATGAATTATTAAGCTCCTGTAGGGATCTCTCTAGAATGAGAGGACAAGAAAGGCTACCAAGGGGCCAGCCAGTCCCTAGCTGTGCTCCCTTATCAGTCAAGCATGACCTCCTTATATGCAGAGAAACCTGTGCACTGCAGTTGATCTTCAGACACATCACTGGTTATGTTTGTGCCATTTTTTCTGTCTCTGTGGCAGGGAATGCAGTTCTGTTTTATTTTCTGCGCAGTACTTGCATGGAGAGAGGGTGCAACAGTACGTGCTGTACAAGGAGACAGGCAAGCAGCTGGCTGTCTGGAAATGTTTACCTGGCTAATATCAGTCCCTTTCTTCCTAGTATTCCTAACCTGACACCAAACCAGAAGTGCCCAGAGGTGGCTGTGAAGGGGAAAAGTCTGATGACAAACTGCCACTTTGAACTAGAAGACTCTGATTACCTCACAGCAAACAGGCGCAACCCAAAGTTGCCGGACCCAAAGGAGACAGTGTTAGATCATAACACAAGAGTGATTGAGTTTGTGGCAATTGGGGTGTGCAGCAGAAGCAGCAGGTAGGTGTGGGCATGGCTTCTCTGGCTGATGGTCTCCCAGTCATGCCCCTTATCCAGAGAACCTCTCTAGCTCCTCTTCCAAGCCCCAATGTACATCTGTACCTTGTCTCTGATCAGCTGACCCTTGGCCACCAGTCTGTCCTGGGCCTGGAAGAAACTGGTCAGTGAAGACCAACTAGGCAGTTTTTGGTTCTCTTTGTCCTTTTCCTCAATAGTGTGGGTCAGTCTGGGAGGACCATGTATCCCAAGCTTCTGCTTTGTGGCCAATACAACCTTTGTCCCTCCAAAGAACATTCTTGCTCCTTTGAGATTACCAATTGGACGGGGTCAGCAAAGGCTGCAGCTACAATAGAGAGCACCATTCTTCCAAGAGACTCTTACTGGACTTGATGTTACGGCTTTCATTTGATCTTATCGATTCAACGTGCAAGAGTTTGGATAATTTCTTTGCTAATTTCTCTGTGGATAGCTATTAATTTTTAGTCACCTGAGACACAAACAAGGTTCCTAGAAAGCAGGTGAAATGTCTGTGCTCCCAGTGTGGTTCCCAGTACCAAATAACTCCTTCCAGATGGTGTCCAGGACTGTCAGTTCCTGATGCCTGCTAGAGGACAAGAGTTGTTCACATCCCAACGCCTCCTTAGTAGTCCATTTTGTTTTGTGTTCCCAGGACATTCACAGTTACAAACCCAACCAGTTCTGCATACTCCTTCCAGTGGACTTGTCAAGACCCTGAAGCTCCACGAGGACAAGAGGCTTTCTTCTGCCTCACAGAAAGAGGTCAGATCCAGCCAGGGAAGAAAGCAGAGGTGGGTGCAGAAAATTAAGACGGTAGATATATAGCTTCACTACACATGTGTGCCACTTTAGCACTGTATATGTCTACACTACTGGGCATCCCCTCTCACTGTGAGCTTGCCAAGACCATGCAGAAACCTTTGACTGTAGTGTAAATGAGCTGGCAGATGAACCTGTTCTCACCCTGTACCCCACCTCTGCCAAGCTTTAGACACAGCTGCCTATCTCTGAGCTCACAGCAGCATAAGGTTCCTTGGGTTTCTTGATGGTGTAAACTGCACACACACACACTCCTTGCCCTGCCAAGGGCAGCAACTTTCCTTCATTTACCTCTTTCTTTCACAGATGAAGTTCCAGTTCATCCCACAGCACCTGGATGTGACGGAATCATTCTGGATCTTTACAGTCCCTGAGCAGAACATTTCAGTCCCAGTTCTGTTAGTGGGCAATGCGAGTGACCCACTCGTGACTCTGAACAGATCTCACCTGAGCTTCCAGTTGCTGTTAATCGGTGAGCACCATGGTTATACCTTGCATGCTCAGATGTGGACTGCTCCAGGGGTTTAACACTGCTGTTGTTCCAGCAGGCTCCAAAAGGGAAGCTGGAAATAGAAACAGGTACTTCTAAGCACATCATCCAGCTCCTGGCACCCAAATGTATGAGGGGGAGGAAGGCATGTGTCAAGGACAAGACATGTGGTTGCAGCTGTTCTCAAGAGGGAATCTGAGGGAGGCAGGGGAGTCCAGGGGGTCCCCTTGCATGAAGAAAGGTTGCAACAGTGCATGCTGTACAAGAAAGGTTTCCATATTGGCATTCTGAGTGTGCCATGCTGCAAGCGATGGTCCTCACTGCAGATTGCGTGCTGTGCTCAGCTGGCAGGCAGGAGTCCAAGGGGCAGTGGTGGCCCAGTGGCCAGAGGAGCAAATGATTTTCAGCAGTTACTTTGTCCTCTCCCCAGGGCACGAAGTACGCCAGACTATGTATATGATCAACAGTGAGAAGGAAGCCTTCAGCTTTGCTTTCAGGGAAAGCTCTCTCTTCTCAGAAGGATGCAAGGCCTCCGTGAAGGTAGAGCCCCTGAAAGGCTCCATTGGTCCTCTTTCGAGGTAAAAGAGCTCACTGGCCACATTCCCTCTCCTGCATGCCAAACACTGCACTGCCATTTTGCTTTTGGGATTTTCCCCCTTGGTAGTCACCAGGTGCCTCTCAGCAATAGCAGGCATCTGCCTTGTTTCATTCCTTTCCAGTTGGGACACTCTGAAACTGCAGTTTTCTTGGTAAAGTGCTTGTGTCCAGGTTACCCTAGTCTTCTAGGTTCCCTTCCTAGAGAAATTCACACTATAGATCTTCTAGTTTTGATGACAAAAGCATGTTTTGGGGTTTTAACCCTGTGATATCTTAAGCCAGTAGCCTTAAGTGTGCAAGGTCTGCTCTGTTCCCTCCTTTAGTGACAGAGCCCACCACGCATGGTCTGTGCAAGACCACCAAGAGGAGCAAAGCACACAAGCAGCACTACAGGCACCATATAAGCCCATTGTGGGAGTACAGCAACAGACTTACAAAACTAGCTGTGTTTCATAGGATCCCCTGTTAGAAAATGGATGTTCTTGTAGACTGCAGCCGTGGCTTTCAGTCAGACATGATCATGAGTTCAAGCAGTGTTAACAGATCACTAGCTCATCTGCTGATCCACCGTGGATGTCCCTGTGCCCATTCATGGCTTGCTCTGGGGTACAAAGAGCATGTTAGCTCCGGGCAGTTTTGCTATGGCTTATAAGATGCTGAAATTTTGCTTTCCATGGGGTGTAATATAAGAGAGCATCCTATATCAGTTACTGTGGCTCAGCTGAGAAGTGGTAATTCCTCAAATCTTTGTAGTTTGGTTGTGTTTGATCACCTATCCAGAGATTACTCACAGAAATTACAAAGAGGCAGTTTGGTGGCACTCATGTTGTACAGCTGTCATAGGAGCTGGATGATTCTTCTTTGGAAAGAGGATGTTACTCTTGTCATACAGATCAGAGAGACTGGGGGTCTCTGAGTACCTTATTCTGTGTTTGGGACAGAAGCAGGCTCTCAAGGCAATGCTGCCCTCCAGGACATGGACAGGACAGTAAAGGTAGTGTTAGCTGCTTTGTTGTATCCTCTGCTGTTTCATTGCATGGAATCATCATACTCTAAACAGCTGTCAGCACGGAGAGTGGAAGCCCCTGGAAGGGCAGAATGCCATTCCTGGTTTCTTCCAGGCCCAGGGTCTCACCACAGCTGTTGCACAGCTGCTCTCCCATAGAGAAGGCAATGTGGGGCCAAGAAAGCGAAAAGATAGTGAATGGAGCAAAAAAGGTCTTTTCTTCTCAGGCTTCCCATTACAGTCTCCTTCATACCAACAATAGAAGGAGAGGTGGTCTTCAACCTCAAGTGTGATGTCAAGAGAAAGACCCAGCCTCTCTCCTTGAACATCAAGGCCACCAGCTACAGCATGAATGTCTCTGTCGGGTGCCAGGACAGCGATGGCCATGTCACTGAGCTCAGTGCACACAAAATCAACATCATTGATCTCAAGGAAGTGAGTAGCACTGTTTCCCTGAACCGTTTGCTCCACAAAGCCCTGCAAGACTGCACCTTAACCAGAAGCTTTGCAGACAGTTTTCAACAAGAGGGAAAGTTCTTCTTCATTTACGGGTACAATCAGGTCTCAAGAGGGAGGGAGATGGATCATTCACACAGGTCATTAGCTGAATGGGAAAGATGCCAGAGCACATGAGGGAGGAGCACTTAGTGGGCTGGTCAGCAATTGGTGTGTGCTCCAACCCCTCATCTTCACCACCACCTCCCCCACAGGTGCAGCTAAATGAGAACATCAAGCGCATCTTCAGCATCTGTAACAACAGCAGGTTCAGCTTCACATTCACATGGGAGCTGTGCGGTCCAGCAGCCTGTCAGCAGGTCCTCACCATCACCCCTTGGACAGGCACCCTGCAGGCAGAGGAGAAAGCAGAGTCCCAGCTAGCATTTCACTCACAAAAGTTGTGCTCTTTGAAGGATGTTAAGCTGACACTGCGGGTGAGGACCAACATTTAGTAAGGGACCTTTGCCTTCCCTATGCAGCAGCTTGGCAGCAGGAGCCCAAAGCCAGGGGTGAGCTCCACCACTAAAGAGCCTGAAGGAGGCAGAAGAGGCTCCTGCTGCTGAGATAAAGAGTCTGACAGCTTCAGAATGGAGAATTTTACTAAGTGTTTATCTGGGAGCCTTTTGGGAAGCACGTTTGTTCCAGAACATATCCACTAGGCTCTCTCTATCCCTAATTTGGGAATGGGAGGAGGGGGGCCTACCTAGATGTGCATGGGGATGGAGCTGTTTCTCCTTACCAGGCCCTTCCTGAGCCAGGTCCCACAGCTCAGAAAGGTCTTGCCAGCTCGTGGCTGCACAAAGCAGAGATGTGGCTCTCTAAAAACCTTTCCCTGGATGTGGTTCTCTAAAAACCTTTCCCTGAGAGGGAAGCAAGCCTTTTACCTTCAGTTTCCATTCTGGGAACAGAAATCCTTTCAGCGTTTGCTGAAATTCCTTCAGCATTTGCTTTTTCTTACTGTCACTGCAGCCAGCTGTCCCCATCATCTTCCTTAGCTGTCTCTGGTGTTTGTGGTTGCAATTCCCTTATTTTCAGCTGGTTCATGCTGTCTTTCACCCCACCAGATCAGCAAGGGTCCCACATTTACCCTCATCTCTTCCCCAGCCTACCATGGTTTGGGTTTCTGCCAGGAGAGCGGCAGAAAACCTTTTCTCCTTCTTTCCTTTTGCTTGATATCAGTCCCTGCCGCCTCAGGTTGACGTTGTGGATCCACCGGGAAAGGTGGTGAAGCTAGGAAACGTCTGCATTGGGCAGACGGTGAAGAAGATCGTCACCATAGCCAACAAGAGTGCAGCCCCTCTGGCCTTTCAGCTCAGAGTCACATCCACCGCGCCAGAGTTGCAGGAAGCTGGGGTAAGGCCCTTTCCTTCTCCGCAGAGCACTTTGGTGTGCCTGCAGGGGGCGATGAGGCGCTGTGGGTGGGAGCTAGTAGCTAATGAGAGCTGTGGGCTGCCCTGGCTGCCTGTGCCTGCCCTGTCCTCCCTGCTGGCACTGCTCTGCCAGCAGATGCTTGCAGTGTGAATGCTTCAGCTGAGCTGGGTGCCAGGAGACCCGGAGAGCCAGAAGGGAGAAGGCGGCACAATTCCTCTAAGCTGTTTTAGACACATACATCAGGATGCAGCCATGTATTTTAGGTGTGGAAAGGTGAGGGAGGTGAATCTTGCAAGAGGGAGATTTACAGCTCTGTTTGAACTTCCGTGAAAGCTTTAGAAGACAGAGCTGAGCTCAGCGTGACCAGGTGGGCACGTGGCAGAAACACCTTTGGTATTAGCTAGGAATGCCTAGGAGGGAATGAGTGGGAGTGGGGCAGTGTTGGTGGGGACAGAAGAGGAATTGGAAGCCTCTTCCGTGAGTCTGATGAGGGAGGCTCCACAGCTCGCTTGCCAGATGAAATAGTCTGCCTTCATTTCTTGGGGTAGGTTCTGTGCTTGAAGCCCAGCAAGGAGCTAAAGCTGAAGCCCAGAGGAGACAGAGGCAAGGTGGAGGTGACCTTCTCCCCGAAGCGTCGCATCCAGCCGTTCAGCGGGGAAGTGCTGCTGGAGTGCGGCGGGCTGGCGCGCTCCCTCTTTGTGGTGCGGGGCTCCTGCCAGGGCAGCCTCGTGAGCTTGGACCAGGAGCAGCTCAGCTTTGGAGCCGTGGTGCAGCAGAGCTACACGTGGCGGCGCGTGGTCATGCGGAACGCGGGCGACACAGGAGTCAGGTAAAGCAGAAGCGCGCCCCCTCTGAGGGCTGAGAGCTTGGATGAGGGTTGTGTGGGGCCGTAGTGTGCCCAGATAGTTCCCCTCTGCTTCTCCATCCCGGTGGAGAGTTGTGCAGCCATGGCCGTGCAGTCAGGCCCTAGAAGTTAGCAAAAGGGTACAAGCCCCCTTGCCTGTGGGTGCAGTGGGTCCTGCCCAGCCTGAAGCCTTATTGCCAGGTGGCTCAGCATCAGGCGTGAGATGTGGTGGGAAAACCCACAAGAGACTTAGAGCCTCACACTGAGACTTACCCTGCCTTCAGAGCTCCCCGTGGCTAATCCTTCTTTCCTGTGCTTGTGCTTTCCTGGGCAAGGTTTACGTGGGACGTGGAGAGCTTCAAGCCGGACTTTTCCATCAGCCCCACGAAGGGTTACATCAGCCCAGGGAGGGATGTCCCCTTCGTTGTGACCTTCCGCCCCTCGAAGCTGAGCCAGGCTGTCCAGTACGAGGGGCTGCGGTGCTTCATCCAGGGCAGTGAGGCGCTGCGGCTTACGCTGTCAGGATCCTGCGTGGAGGCCCCTGGCCCCAAAGAGGTAACGCAGCAGGGACAGGATGGGCCCCTGGAGCCCAGCATTTGCACCACATCTCTCCCAGGGCAGGAACTGAAGGACACTTGTGAGCACAGACTTGCTCGTGCCAGAGTATCCCAGAGAGAAAGTGCTGGGCAGGATTGCCAGAATTCCTGAGCCCTCTCATTGCCTTTCTCCCGTGTTCAAGGTGCTGCTCCTGCAGTGAGCAGCTGGGCTGTCGTGGCTCTGCACTGCAGCATCCGTGCCATGGGAACACCCTGCCGGGCTCTTCTGAGACCCTCCCCACAGAGCCACCCCGCTGGATGCCGGCACTGCACCCGCAGCCACACTTCTCCCCCCTGCCGGGCCAGGGGTAGAGCATTCAGCAGTAGGAAGGGGCAAGGCATCTGCATCCAGCCCCTGGGAGCGGGCAACTTGGCAGCTGTTGGCTCTTGCTCCCAAAGAGAGCGTGGAGGTCCTCTTCATCCTGCCCATGAAGGAAGGGGCTGTGTGGCTGCAGATCTTGTCCTTGCACTGGAGTTTCCTTTCAGGACTCCCCGTTTCCTTTCAGCCAGCATGCGAAAGGCTTGTTCTGCTCCCTTCTTCAACAACAAGCAGCTGGATTTACTCCAAAAGCTATGGCCAAAGTGTAATTTTTGCACGTGACAAGGGAAAAGCTGCTCCCTGTGCTCCAGGTGCTGGTGTAGAGCCAGCGTGAGAAGAGTGGGAAGGGTTGTGGGTGCGAGCCAGCAGCCTCTGTGCTCCTCTGTTCCAGACCCTGACTTTCAGCTGCAGTGTGCGTGAGAGGCAGAGCCAGACCATCCTCCTTTCCAACCCAAGCAACGAGGCCTGGACCCTGCAGCCCATCATTGAGGGGAAGTACTGGAAAGGGCCTGAATTTATCCATCTGGAGGCCAGGCAAAAAGAAAAGGCCTACCAGGTCACCTACAGACCCCTAAGCATGAGCTCTGAGAACAAGAAGCATCAGGTACGTGAGCTGTGCCAGCGTGCTGAGCCTGGTGGCACGACCCTCGTAGCTCCCCCTGCTTTGGGCAGGAGGCTGGAGGAGATGGCCTTCAGAGGTCCTGTCCAAGCTGAAGGTGTCCTGTGCTCTCTGTTGGAAGCTGGGTTTTGTGGTGGCTGGAGGCCAGGCCCGGGCAAAGGGCAGACGGGAACTCGGGACTGACCCCACAGGTGTTGGAGCAGCTAAGCTAAAAAGGCAGGCTTTCTGAAGGGCAAGAAATGAAGTTTGTTCTGCGCAGCTCCTGGTCGCTGCTTGTGGCAGCCCAGGGGGCTCAGAGACCCCCATGCTCAGCGCACAGGCTGCACAGGCTCTCCAAGCCCTGGGCACGACCGCTTCTGCCAGCACCACCTGGCTGGTGTCCTTCTGCAGCTTGCAGGGAGCAAGAAGGGCAAAGGTGCCCTGCAGTTTCTCAGTGCCCCCCTGGCCGTGAGCAGGCAGGTGGGAAACGAGAGAGATCTCTTGACAGTCATGCAGGAGCTTTGGGAGGAGCCCTTCCTGCAGGTCTCAGGCTGGGCACATGGGGGTGACTAGCCCCTCTGCAATGTTTTCTGTGCCACGCCAGCGACAAGCTCCTAAATGAAAGGGGTCAGTTGAGAAGGGCTCTGGGGTGCTGGAGCTGCTCCAGTGAGAGCCTCAGGCATGGAACTGTCCCGGGGTGCTGCAGAGCCGACTTGTCCTATTCGTTGTCTGTAGGGCTCCATCTTCTTCCCCCTGCCGGACGGGACAGGCTTACGCTACCACCTGGAAGGAACTGCTGAAGCCCCCCGGTGTTCAGGGGCCATTTCCCGGCAGGTTCCATGCAGGAGTTCCCACACGGAGCTCATCCCTGTGTCCAACTGGCTGCACAGACCACAGAGGTGAGTCCAGCCCAGGAAGTCTGGTCCCATCAGCAATCCCTGCAGCAGCACAAGGAAGGAAGCTTCCAGTGCCTGGAAGCGCCTTCCTGAAAGCTTTTCCCTCTCCTTGGCCATGTCTGGCCATCCCCACGTTCTGCCTGTGCAGAGCCATCCTGGAGGGCTTTCCTCCAAGGGGGATGAGAGCTGGCGCCCTGTGCCTGAGGCACTGAGGATGAGAGGGGCTGTATTGTACCCCCACAGGATGGGTATCCTAGGGGAGTCCTTCCTGTTGACCTTCACCGCATCCTTCTCACCCACAGGCTCCTGGTGGTTATTGACATGCTCAAACCAGAGAACGTGGAAAGCAGTTCTGTGCTGCAGGGGTGTTCCTACATTGACGTGCCAAGCTCTGCAAAGAAGGACTACCAGCTCACCTTCTTCTCCTACAAAGAAGGAGTCTTCAGGGCAAAGGTGAGTGAGGACACTGGTGTGCAGGGCCCTTCAAGGAGCTCTTGGCTCACCGAGAAGCTACACGCCTCTTTTCATACCTCCGCGTGCACGGGTCCTATGAAATAGCACACGTGCTTTCTCTGGTCTGGCACTCTTCCTCGGTGGGTGCTCATAGCCATTCCTGGAAGCAGGGCGCTGAGCTCACTGGGCTCTTTTGGGTCTATTTTCATGTGTGCAATGAGCAGCACTTGCCTTTCTGTCTGATTCAGGTGACCTTCCTCAACGAGACAACCGGAGAGTACTTGTTCCACGTGGTGACTTTCAAGGTGACGGCTTCGGGACCCATCGGCACTGTGAAAATGAGCACCGCTGTTCGGCAGAGGGTGTCCTCCACCGTCAAGGTGGACAACCCTCTGCCTGTCCCGGTGACGTTTGACATCACCTGCGAAGTGCCCGACGTCAGCGCTCCACAGCACTTTACTGTTCCTGCACAGTCGAAGGTAGGAGCAAAGCTCCTCCGGCTCGCTCTGCTCTCCCTGCTCCTGGCTAGAGGGGGTGCTCTTGAAGAGTGATGCCTGAAAGGAGCCCTCTGGGGCTTCTTTCCGTGGTGGCAGCTCCCTGCCGATGATCTAGAGAGGGAGCAGGGTGCGAGAATATCCCCAGTGGGAATCCTCCTGCGCTGGTGGAGTCTGCCCTGCTGCCCCCTGTAACACGCTGCCACTGGGCCTCACGTGGCAGGTCCTTGTGCCACGTGCCCCTCCTTCAGTGTGGTGCTTCTAGCTGTGAGTGGCTGCAGGACAAGCCTCAGCCCACGGCCGGGTTGTCTGCAGCCTGGATTGACAGGAGGCGGTGTGTGCCCTGGGGCTTTTTAGGGTGGGAAGCTTCTGGCATCATGCTGGAGGGCTCTGAGCTGTTGGGATCTGTCCCTAGGTGAACCGTCTCCCAGAAGGAGCAAGGCTGTGCCCGAGAGAGAGGGAATGAGAGCAGGGAAGGCGGCACAGCCTTCCAGCACTGCCTGAGCACAGCAGGGACCAGCTGCCCCCTTCTCAGGCTGGCGTGTTCCCTGCCTCTGCCTGACGCAGTGGCTTTTTCCTTCCTCCCAGGCGGATCTTGTCTTGGAGTATCAGCCCCTGAAAACGGGTGAGAGCACCGGGCACCTGGTGCTCCAGAGCAGCGACTTGGGCTCTCTGTCTTACAACCTGCAGCTGAAAGCCATCTCGCACAGGCCAGAGAAGCCCGTGTATTTCCGCACCACGCTGGGCTCCCGTCAGACCATCACCACCAAAATACGGAATTTTGCCCAGCAGAAGACCGAGTACCTGCTGCAGGTGAGCCCGGGCTGCCGGGGCTCTGGCTGGCAGGCAGCTCCTCTGGCCAGCACCAGCCCTCTCCACCAAGGGGTCCAAGTGCCTCTGGCTTGGCCTGGCAGAGCCAAGGTGGCCACGTGAGCCCAGGGGTCTTGCCACTCGTGTGGGCTTGTTGCCAGCTGCACTGTCCTCCCGTGTGGGCGCGTGTCTGCTGCCCTGGTCGGAGCTGCTTTTGCAGGCCCTGTGGTGCCTGGGCTTGCTTCCCCCTTGCAGCCCAGGTCTGGCAGTCAGGGGTCTTGGGGCTTGGGTGCAGGGTTGTCCCTGATGGGCACGTTTGCACAGTTGTCATGCCCATTCAGGGCAGGCGCTCACCAGGGGTGTGGTGTGGGTGGGAGAGGCCAGGGCCAGGGGACCATCGTGTTCTTCCCGAGGTGCTGGCTCTGCTGTTGTGACCCGCCCTCCATGGTCTCTTATCTCCCCTGCGCAGACCGACTGTGCCGACTTCCAGACGGCAAAATCCATCAGTGCGGCACCTGCCGGCGCTGGGGGCTCGGACCTGAGCGTGGAAGTGACCTTTGAGCCCTGCCAGCTGGGCGAAGCCAAGGCCACGCTGCAGCTCAGCTCCGCATTGGGCGGGCAGTACCGCATCCCACTCATCGGCCTTGCACTGCCCCCTGAAGCCCAGGGCCCCTTCCTCATCCCAGCCGGCGGCTCCACCTCCATCTCCTTCAGGAACGTCTTCCCGAAGGCCACGGCGTTCCAGTATGCAGTAAAGCACCCGGCCTTCACCGCGGAAGACCCCAGCGCACCGGTGCCGAGGGGATGGAGGACGGAGCGGCACCGCAGGGAGGGACTGGGAGCACAGCGGGGCCGCCTGCGGATCGCGGGGAGGCAGGAACCGGCCTGTAGTGCTTGGGTGGATCCCGCCGTGCACCGCGGAGCTGCCCGCGGTACGGAACCGGATCGGACAGGCTCCCCGGGTGATGGGGGCACCCAGGGGAGCGCGGGGCTGCAGGCCCGGAGCCCCAGCAAGGGCTCGGGTTACGGTGGCTGTGTCAGGGTCAGTGCCCCCCGAGCTGCTCTGTGTCTCCCATCCCCATACATCTGTCCCTGAAGTTTATTTTCGAGCCTGTCAGCTGCTGGGCGCTAGCGGGTCAGGGTATGTGTTCGGCACCGGAGCTGTGCCTGCGAGCCCCGCGCTGATGGCTTTAGCAGAGCGGCTTACAGCTCCCGCGATGCTCCTGGGGGTGGCCGGCTCCGGGCTAGACCTGACCGGGGCTGGGGGACACGGGGGTCTCGCCGGGCAGCAGGCAGGAGCTGGCGCTGGGATGGCCATGCCTGTCTCCCATCAGCCTGCTTTGCTTAGAGCAGGTTGAGAACAGAGGTGGTGTCAGCCGTTTGGGGAAGAAAAGTTCATAAACATCTTCTGTAACAACTTTCCTGGATTTTAAAGTGGATGACAGGCCAGTGGCAAACCCCTCTACCGAGTTAGGCACTGGAAGCTTTCGCATCTTCATTGAAGGCTAAGGTAAAGATGCTATTTAGGCTGAGATTTTGGGAAGAGTGGGTCCATGGGATGGGTAGAAGTCAAAGCAAAAAAGGGAAAAAGACAGCGTTGCATTGGCCGGGAATCGAACCCGGGCCTCCCGCGTGGCAGGCGAGAATTCTACCACTGAACCACCAATGCTCCAGCTGTTTCAGATGTTGGTTGCACCTCTACCTATATGACTACCTGCACCTCTGCCTGCACAGCTGCCCCTGCCTCCAGCGGCTCTGCTGCAAGGGGGCTGGTACTGAAGGGCCATTGGGTGACCCGGGACGTTGAAGCGGTTGCACGGGCTGGAGCAGGGTTACAGGTCTCTTCATTTAAGGGCAGTTGATGAGTTAAATATCCCTGGGTTCCGAGCTGTGACTTCCTGGAGAGGAACAGGTATGGCTTATGGAAACTTTGTGTGCTTGGAATATCAGCTGAAGCGGTGAATGAGTAGCTGGGAAGGTCCAAAATCATGGTGCTGGGCATTGGTCTGGTGGGTCATAATACCATACCGGCCAGTTCTCTGCTGCTGTCTTATGCTGTATTGTGGGTACATGACCCTCATAACCCACCCTGTTGGAGAGGGTGTTTAAAGACCTGGTGACTTCTCTGCAAGCACACAGCCATGGTGAGTGGCCCTTGAGTCTATCCTGGGCTGAGAGTCCACGAATGGTGTAAGAGGCTGCAGGCTGGGAGCAACAGGAGGGCAGTGAGCTGCTGTTGGACCTGAGCAGGGAGGAGGAGGGAGCTCTGGTTACACTACTGGGTTCCTTCATCGTTCCCCATTTCAGTACCACTTTCTTTGGCATTTGTTGTGGCCAAAAATTCGTTTCTGACAGCTTACTGAAGATGAGTTGAGGGAAAGAAGAGGAAAGGTGTTTCCCTAAATGCTTGTTTAATTGTATACTTTTTTTTTTCCTCTCAATATCTGAGTCGGTAATCCAAAGTTGTCACAATTTGGCAATAAAATGCTCCAAATGGCGACTGCTTTGGCCATGACAAGTACGTTTACTCCAGGTGGTAAAAGTGTCCAAGACCTGTCTGGTTGCCCAGCTTGTACATATAGCAGTTCCAGCTCGAGCATAGCCTTCTTTATGATGCTGTACATCTGGGGAAGCGGTTCTTTCCCTCAGTGACACTTGTTTTCACTCTTAATTGCTGCCTAACTGACATGGCCAATAAGTCACAGATTGTCTCATTTTCAGGTCAGCCCAGGCTGCTTTAGCTTTCTCTATTTGTTAAGCCAATTAATGGCCTTCTCTGGGGTCACTAGTATGTTACAAGGATATAAGGTTGTTAAGATTTCCTCTGTGCTTCTTGTTTCTTTCTGTTGCACACCCGAATCCTTTAGAACAGGGCAGATATAGTTCAGAGCTTTAGGCACGCTTTCCTTGCAGCAGCTATTTGTGCTTTTCCTGTTTTTCCCAGTACATACCAAAGTCATCAAAAGTGTAAAAGCTGGCAAAGCAGTTCAGGTTTCATTTTGTCTGAGTGATAGTTCTGGGCAGGTTTCACCACGCTGCAAGCCTAGCCTCCATTTTCAGAGGATCTCAAAGTGATCTACAGAGATTGATATTAAAATTGATACGATCATCCTACTTAAGGCAGCTGTTCTTTGAGATGCAGAAAACAACCCTAGATCAGCTAGATACAGAGTAGAAAAAGCAAAGTAACATCAGGTCTCGGAAGGGGAAGGGGGGGAGAATCTTCTGCTAGAACTAGGTCAACACTTTCATAGACTCATCCACTTCTGGAAATACTGAAGGTGATTAACTATAATTTATAAGCTTAATTTGAAAATGATTTTCTGTCTCCAAATAGCATGATTTTTGTTTGGAGATCTGAAAGATGTAAGCCCTACACAGTGTGGGAGTTTCAAAAGCAGAAATGTGGAAAGCTAAGTTATATAATAAAATAACAGAGGAAAAGGTATATATGCTGGCTGTGAATCGGGAGTAGTGTGTTTTCTGGGAAGTTTTGTGCTGCCTCTTAAAAAGTACAGGAGAAGAAACAGGATGGGATGTCCCTGCCCGAAGCAGGGGGTTTGGAAGTAGATGATCTCAAAGTCCTTTCCAACCCAAACCATTCTAGGATTCTATGATTCTATGAACTAATCTAACTCAGTGTGGGACAGAAACCTGGCAGCTATTCCGATTATCCACTTTGAGACAAGGATTATCATAAGCATTTTCTATTAAAAACTCTTGTTTCAACAAGTCAAACAACTCAAATATCCACTGTTTATGTAAGAAGGGAGTAGGCATTGTGAACCTCCAAAGGGTGGAACAGAGATTATAAAGTCACCCAGTGGGACAGATCTAGTAATGTCAGTGCAGGACCTAAAACCACAAGATTAAGTAGGATTCACTGTTAGGAATTTTTTAACCGGTACTTGACTCTCCTGGGGTTACAGTGTAAAGGAGAATAGCTTTATCCTTCTCCACAGTACCTGATTTTGTCAAGTGTATCAACCTTCAGGAAAAATGCCTTGATGAAAGGTGATCTATGCAAGCAAACAGGATGCTTTATTTGCTTGATGATGCTTTCAGTGGAAATCATCACTATTAACATTAGAAGATCTACTGTGATCCAGACTGCTCGCTATGTCAAAGGTATCATCTCAGAATAAATCTCTGTAGACTAGGCTGGAGTCCCAGGTTAAACCTGTGCACATTAACTTTGCATGTTGACTAATGTTCAACTCTTGGAGGGAGCTGACAGCCCTGTCTGTGAAACACAGAGCACAGTCCAAACAGATGCTAATCCTGTGTGAAAAATGAGGCAAGATTTCTTGGGCTACATCTGTGTTAGTCAATCAAACAGTTCTGGGACAAACTGGCTTTATATTCTTACCTTACATCTGTATTGTGTGCCACAGTGCTGGTGTCTCTATTCCCCTCATTTTCTGCATAGGAAGAAAAAGAAAGCCTGTTTCTGCAGCTGACAAGGCATCACCTAAGCCATAGCATCCACCATGCTTGGTGAGAAAAACTGGAGCTTCCCTCCAATGAATCAGAAACTTGTCCTACAGTTATCAAAAGAGAGAAGAGGTGGCCAGGGACATGGGCCATCACCTCTGCCAGCCATGTTACTCTCTCAGCTCCCAGCAAGCCATCCGCTCACTACAGAGGACTGGCCCTTGCTGCTTCCCCAGACCTGGTCTCAAACCATCCTGCTTGCCGTATGGGCAAAGCCCTGTTTTGAGGAACTTCATGAGGTTGGCATTGGCCACCTCTCAAGCACGTCAAGGTGCTTCTGGATGGCATCCCTTCCCTCCAGCGTGTCAACCGAACCACACAGCTTGGTGTCGCCGGCAGACTTGCTGAGGGTGCCTCAATCCCACTGTCCATGTCACCGACGAAGATGTTGACCATGGCTGAGGGCACCTTTACCGGTAGGCCTCAGGACAAAGGAGCTATGTTTATTTGGCTGCTGATAAAAGTAATTGTGTCAGTCAGCAATCCCTCAGGCAGATCTGGGGCAGGAACCTGTTTAAGAGCTGTAGTGGTATCTTGTTTTCTGCAACAGGAGACACTGCTATTCTGCAGTGCTAGTGCAAAGAATATATTTCACTCCCTGCCCTCCTGACTCTGTTCCTGCCAGCAGCTTCCTTTCTGCCTATTTATCAATCACCTAATGCACTAAACAATGATATCAGGGAGGAAAACAGAAAGTAACCACTGAAGAAATTGTTAGAAGCAACCTATGTTTATTTTCATCTCAGCAGGGTAGCAGGTTTACTCCGTCACAGTGAGTTACGCAGCTGTGTAACACTGGCAGCCAAGCTGCAGTTTTCTCCAGGTGCAAACAGCAGCAAGGAGCACAGCTTCTCTCTCTGAGAAGCTTCCTGAGACACTTTCACAGGGAGCAAGCCTTAGCACAACTCTCCAAAGGACACTTCCTCACACAAGGTCCACTGAGGTCACTGAAGAGATTTCTCGCAGATCCACGGGGCAAGGATTTCACAGCTGGAAGCACGAATGGCACCATCCAGCAGAACGCCACAGTTCTGCACGGGGCTGTTGAACAGGACACTGTGGGAGACACGGGCAGAGCACACAAGCGGGAGGACGTTAGAGAGGGATCATCACTTTGGCAGGGGGAAGAACCTCGCACATCTTTGGAAGTAGGAGACTCACTGAAGTTGGACTTCATGACCTTCTGTCAGGAAAGACCCATCCTGGAACATGGGAGGTCTGGCAGTGGGGCTTGCTATGCCCACAGCTCACCCTGAGACTTAAGAGGTAGTCTGTGTCATTTTGGGCTCTCCATTTCCCATCACTAATGAGAGAAAAGTCCCGTCCCATGGGGAAATTCTTGCTGCTCCACTTAAAGCGTTTGGAGACCTTGGGACAGAAAGTAGCAAGTATTCCAGTTTGAATGTGTTGTATGGGCATGTGGAAGATGAAAGCCTCTGTTTCATTACCGTTTTCCAATAGAAAACCTTTTCAATGCAAAGGGAAATTAATGATCAAACAGAAATCCACAGAGACACAAATCTGGTGCAAAAGAGGTAACAGAGGCAACAGCAAAGACTAGAAGTGTTTGGCTACTATTTAATGGGCCATCAAGAAACTCCAGGCACAGCTTTGGAGAGGGACACCCCAGGCTTTATAACTGATAAAAGAGGGGGGAAGAGGAGGATGATTTGGGATGTTCCAGGTGGGCCTGTGCAAAACCTGTTGAGGAACATTTAGGGGAAGGGAAGTGACAGAGGAGGGGACAGGCCATGTGTGAGCAGGGGGACTGTCTGGGTGCAGTTCCAATTCCATGGCAGCTCCAAGCTGCACTAGCCAGGGGTTAGGAGGCCCTGGGAGCCTAGGGAGTGTTGTTTGTGTGTGTTCACTAATGGATTTCAATCCTGAGCAGCCAAAGAGGAGGAAGGGGGCTCATCTGCCTGTGGTTGTGCTTTATGTGAGTCCTATTAGCGCTACATGCTGAAGGCAGTGCCTTGTTTGTTGGCAGTGTGTGTAGCCAGCTGTGTGAGAGTCCTTTGCCTGCACATGTGTCTGTGTTTGTGTGTCTGGGACACATGCTCAGATTTCCTAGTGAGTGATCCTACAAACGGGAATGTAGCAGCTGTGCACATCATCCTGGGATAGAGACTCCCACATCTCTGGTGCACCAGACTGGGCTCCAGCAGCTGGACAGGAAGAACCTGTTAGTTCTGGAGCTGCTGGAGGCAGCAGCCACTCTGAACATAGAAGCTGTATTCATTGCTGATAGACTTCCACAGACTACAGATGGAACATCTCATTTAGAA